GAAATTTCTTTTTGGGACGGGGTGTAATTAATATCCTATGGAAAAAATGAAACGGAAATGGGTAACGTGCGTCACAGTTAATGTTGCCAGGTCCGATTTGTTTTAAATCGGTACATGAGGTCAAAAAAATCGAGATTTAGAGTTGCAGATCGGGATAATAAACAAAAAACAAGGGGTTTTTAAGTCTGGGTTTAATTCATTGCGTTTTAAAGTACTGCAAGTATAGTATTATATTTTTTTTTCTTTTTTTTTTTATAAAACACCAATTAGTATAGCCCCAAAGTAAGCACTGTAATGCTTGTGTTATGGGATACAGGGTAACGGATAGAATACATATACAGTACATATATAAGTACATTTATACAGAAATACATATTAAACATCCATGACTGGAGTACAAATGCTCGTATCCATCACACAAACATCTGCCCCCACCGGTATTCGAACCCGGGGCCTCTCGAGTTGGCGACACCATTAAACCCGGCGTACAAACCACTCGACCACGTAGGTCGTCAAATATATTAATTACATAAATTAATTTTTTTGATTAATCGGACCATTTAGCTTCCCGATCAGGTACAAATCGGGCCGCGTCCCCAGACCCCTGAAAATCGGGACACCTGGCAACACCAGTCACAGTGGGTGTGGGGAATGCGTGCGGAGCTCTTCCCGACAAGCATGAAAGTTTTTGTTGTATAAGACGACCATTGCGAAAGTCACTTAGCAGGTTCTATCGTCTGTACCACGACGAGTGTTCTGAGGAGTTATTCTCTCTTATTGTCCTACCCCTTTCCTTCGGAGGAGTCACAAACGTAAAAATTTCTATGTAAACAAAACAGCGCCCTCACCGGACGTAAGAACAAAGTAGCTTTTCCCATAGAGACTTTGACGATGGCGATACGAATATGGATCTGTAAGAGTTCAGGCTTGGGGTACAGTATCAATTGGGTCATTGCCTTTGCTGTAGTGACACTATCCTCTTCCGCAGAGCCCTGAATCCTCACTCATCACCAGAAACTATCAGAAACTCAATGTCAAACCAAAAGGGATTAGGCAAACACCGCACCCGTAGGATAACAGTGCGAAGACCCGGTAACACGCGACACGCTATGCCAGGTTCTAGGGTATTTTTGCCCGCCCGGTTAACTAGAGCTGAGTTCCGAGACACAGAGATGCCCTCTAGTTGAGCCCAACTTCCACAGGTTCGAGTGGTCTGGAGGCTCTAGAAGGAGAAGACACTCCCGCGTGGGGAGACGCTATCTGCCTGGAATACCTCTAGAGACACTTGCCAATTCTCGCCTTGAGGTCGCCTTAGGATCTCGCCGTCCTAAAAACCCGATGACTCTGTAAAGGTCATCTGCAACTAGTGTTGCCAGGTTCGATTGGTTTTCGGTACATGAGGTCAAAAAAATCGGGACTTAGGGTTGGAGATCCGGACAGTAAAGAAAAAACAAGGGGTTTTTAACACTGAGTTTAATTTATTGCGTTTTAAACTACTAGTGCAAGTAAAGTATTATATTATTTACCTTAATTTAATTTTTTGATTAATCGGGACATTTAGCGTCTTAATTAGGTACAAATCAGGAAGAGTCCCTAGACCCCTGAAAATTGGGACACCTGCAACACTATCTGCGACCAACAGCATACACAATAAAAAAAAAACAACACCAAAAGTAGTGTAATTTTTTTTTTTTTACTATTTTCACTATTCCATTTCGCACACAATTTTTGCCAGTTTTTTTAGAGTTGTTATCTACTCAATTTATAGCTTAAATTAATAAAAAGATGCCAAACTATCAAATTTTGATAAAAAGTAACATTCAAAAACACTATTTATGGTTTTTCTAAAGGTTAAACTAACCATAAAAATGTATTGTGTTTTTACATGCTAAATTTGCAACACTAAAAACTTTTAAAAAAATTTGAAATTGATGCTTCGCGAGATCTTTCAGCTTTTGTAAACTGTGGGAAAATGGAGGATTTTTTTGCTTTTTACCCGTTTCTTTTTTGTGGGTTCTTGTGGGACAAAACTCAATAGCACCCATTGCAAAAAAGGCGACTAAGTTTTCATATTTTATTGCGACAATAGTATGGTTGTAGGAAAGTAAGGCTATGACTATAATTTATAATTATTGTTTTAAAGTAATCTTTGTATGTTATGATATTTTAGCCAAAATAAACTGACAACACTTACATTTAACAATATACTGTGCCTTATATAAAAAAAAATATGCCTATTCTATAGATGCGACACAGATAATGCTAACAGACTGCAGATGCATACCAGGACCAATAGTTTAACATTCTTTTCGGGTTACCCATCGCAGACAGGACATGCTAACTCACTGCACCATCAACCTTTTCGTCTGCATTTTATATGAAAATGTCCAGAGCAGAATTTTATCAGAGAGGGTGAATTTTCCATTGTTTAACATTTGCGTGTTTAATTATATATTTATTTCAGAAACAATGCATACAAGTCTCACAGTTATTTTTGACCAGTTTTAATTTTCTTTCTGTCTGGTCTGAGGTTTTTCTAACCAAAAATTTTTTGTCTCTTGATAATTTAGTTCAGCTAAATTTGCTGATGACTTTTCTACAGTATGAATTGATTGATGGATAAAATGTTTATCAGTTTGTTTATTACACAAAAATTGAGCTAAAAGCATAGGTGTACCTTAACTAATTAATACAAGAACCTAAGTGTATTGATAGTTAATAAGCAAGTGCAGATTACATTTTAGGGTTGCATTGAATGGTGTCTTAGGAAAGCATGGACAAGGCAGGGCTGTGCCTCAGAGTCTTTTACAATAGAGATTAAATATAAACCAATTTCCCCGTTAGAGGCCTCAAGGGAAATTCTATCCTTGAGCATAGAGAATATGCATTTACTTTGCGGTAAAAACTTTGTAGGATAGAGCGTTTAGGAAACAATAGTGATCATAAGTTCTTAATCTCTAGTCTTAGCAGCATTACTCCACAATATGACAAGTCAAGTCAAGCAAAACTGGCACAATATTAATTTAAAATAAGCTTACTCATATTCAGGGCTTATGAACAAATAAAATAACTAACATAAATCTTATAGCTATTAGCAAAAATCTAAATAAAATTAATCACATTTAATGTTGCCAAAACATTTCCCTGCTTTTAAGATTGCAAAACGTTACATATTTAACAGTCTTGTATTTCCAAAACAGAGTAAACCTACTTAGCTTTGGAGTATTTTATGTAACTGTCAGTCCAACATACATTTCAGAGACGACCCTGACACTTGCAAATTACAATTTCAAAAACAGACCCTGAATTAATGCAAGTAGGTAGGTACATTGAAGTGATGACTTCAAAATACTAATTACTTTCATTTAAACTACAATAACGTTATATTAGTAAAACATTTGCAAATATAAGTAAACCCACTTACTCAAAATATGCTCCCAATGTGTACTATACGAAATTTTGCAATTTTGTTGTACTGCAAAGATTTCAACACTAGTTCAACACGAAATAATGATAAAATTCAACACTAAGCCTTATTTTCACGTGTCAATATGCAAAACGAGACCGAGTGAAGGTGAAGCACTATCCAAGTTAAATTGTTAGGCAGATCACACACAAACACTGCAATCCAATATAGCAAATCCAAGTATAGAAAATGCTACACACGTATCAACATTCGACTCTGGTAATAGTTAAGCTCGCGCTAATTGAATTACTGGCGTCACAGCAAATATTTGTCCAGGTAAACGTTGCGCCGCGACAACCAAGGAAACTAGTATGAACACCGGCCCTGATAAATGTTGCGTACTCTAGAAAAAAAACTGGCTTCTCTGAATCACCCATTGAACTAGTGAACCGGGCTTCCGGTGCGCTCAGAACAACGCAACGTGTGTCAGCATCACACGGAGTTTATCATTCAAATGATAACAGCTCTGTATCGCGATCAAGTCGATAATATCACTAAATTATTCGATAGGTGAAAGGGGACATACCTTTGTAAAAACTTGTCTTCTATTGAATCTCACTATTTGGTCCAGTCCGCTATTGTGAATTTAACACTGAAACACTCCAAAAATAGTCCACAAATAGTTTATATCACTGATAAATATTCACACACGCAATATAATACGGAAAACGCAAAGTATGCGGCGGATATGCGCTAACTCAAGAAAGACGCCATTTTGATTTCGTCAACTAACAGTCATAGATAAGTAGAGTAACTGCGTTTCGTTAGTTAGTCCCGGAGACGATCAATTGGCCTTGTCAAGCCTTACTTATTATTGACGGTTGCATATTTGTTTTAATTAGTAGACTTGACAAGTCAACTTGATTTTCTCAACAAGATCTATTTTGTTTAGACCAAAAAAGAAATATTGGTAATATGAAATAAAAACAATATTATAATATTTAATAAGTTTCATTTTCAGCACAAATTATTTTCATTTACCTTTTCTTAATACAGCCAATAAAATAAGAATTCTTATTAAAAATTTAAGTGCTTTTAATTATCAAAACGAGGCGGTATAATTGTTATTCTGAAGCCAAAATTATTTGTTATGTCTATGAAGTATTTTGTTGCCAGTGTCAAAAATTTCTTCCTACTTTCGGGGGGAAAGTATAGAGGAGGAAGGCAAATTAAAAGTAAACCCATAAACCTTTCTGTTCAATTAGTTCATGTAGGTACTGTCATATCACACCTAAATTCAAATTAAATTTAAATAAAATAGAGAAATGCTAAGCTTAATCCTGAATATGTCATAAAATAAACTATTTCATGTATAATAATAAATTTAATAAATATTATTATGTGCAAACATTTATTAAATGAAACAGAACAGAATTTGAATGAAATTTATAGAAAATATTTATAAAAATCTAGCAGGGTCGAATAGTACTCCTTGTTCAACATTATGAATCTTTACATGATTTTCATGAAGCATAAATTACGCTTTCTCAATTTTTGGGTAATACGTATTAATAGGGTTATTAGAATCAAGGTATGGTATTGAGTAACTTGTCAAAAATCCGAAAGCAGCTGTGCTTTACGTGTTTTCATTCATGAATTTATTGAAAATGGCTGTTTAAACTGTAGTAAACAAACAAATTAGATGTGAAACGCGTAGTTAAAATGTCGAGCCGTCGTTCGATACTCGGTTCAGCTTTAGACGCGTTGCCTGCGCCGTCTGATCCTCTGCGAGAGTTGTTCGAGGCCTGCAAGACGGGGGACGCTGCGAGAGTTAAGAAATTAATTACTCCCCAAACTGTAAACGCTAGGGACACTGCTGGCAGAAAATCGACACCTCTACACTTCGCTGCAGGTGAATAATGCAATTTGATACGGCAATGTGCATAAATCAGCAGTTAAAATGTTAGGTGAAAGGGCTGTATTTTTAAACAATAAATTTTGAGTATTGCATAATTCGATACGGTTATTGAACGCGTTAGTCAGTGTTTTATCTATTTTTGTTCTCGTTTCACTAGTTTTTATGTAATTCATGAATAAGTTATGAGTTTTTCAGTTTTTCTTATAATAAATTCTTGTTTGAATCTCTTGTTTCTGCTATTTGTTTGGTTGATGTATGTTTCACCTTTTTGTTATTATTTTTAATTAAAAACAGTGGATGAATGCTGTAGAATATATATTTATATTATCTAAACCATTCATGTATCTGTTCAATTTTAAAGTCAAAACATACCACAACTCAGATTCGCACCATTTGCTGGAGGATGTCAAAGCATGACAAACATTACTGTATAAAGCATATTCTAGTTGATTAACTTCCCTTACTGCTTGGCTTTTATATGTCAAAGTTCTGCCTGTTAGTCCTGTTTCAAGCATAATATGCTCAGAATATTTCTGCATTTCCTTTGAACTATTTTTCCTATATATTGTTTCAAATGTGATCATGGAGCTTGCAACAGTGCCGAAATATCAAAGACTCATAAAAAACAAGGTACATGGTAATGATTAGTAACCGTTAATAGCTATAATATTTTTCCTATTCCATGATTTATTTATAACGGTATTCACTTGGGGCTGGGGTATTCTATGGGTAACGCGCCCTTTATTTGTGAGTGTGATGGGCTATACATTAGAACAAAAACTATAGTTTAGCTCTCCCTTTCTAAAGTTTGCGAGGTTTTAGGGGTAATCTCTGGTTGTACTAACCCAATATAGCATGTACTAGTTATTTATTGACATATAAAAAAAAACTTTAACCATTTACATAAAGTTTTAATCATATATCATTATAAACTTATGCTTTTTTACAAATGATTAATTAAACAATATTAAATTACAAAGAAATTAACAATTTAAGAACACTGCTTTGTACACAGTAACAACTTTTTCCGACGTGTACACCCAGAGCCGTCTTTCCCAGTGGGCACTTTGGGCAAGTGCCCTGGGCCCAGCGATGGATAGGGACCACCCTCAGATCAAATACAAAGTCCCTAGTTCCTGTATTATCTTAATATGCCCAGGGCCTCCAATAGATCAAAGATGGCACGGTGTACACCTCTTTATCGGGCAGAGTTAAACAGAATGATTCAGCCGCATATTCAGTTCGGTAGGTACATTTTAAACCCACATTTGGTGCATCTCTAATTTAAAGTAAATAAATTATGAACGTTTATCAGGCTATGGGCGCAGGGAAGTCGTGGAGATTCTCATAGCGGCCGGCGCGGCGCTCCAAGCCCGTGACGACGGGGGTCTCCAGCCGCTACACAACGCGTGCAGCTTCGGACACGCGGACGTAGTGCGGGCGCTCCTGGGGGCGGGGGCGGCGCCCGCAGCCCGAGACAACTGGGGCTACACGCCGCTGCATGAAGCTGCCGCCAAGGGAAAAGTGGATGTGTGCATCGGTGAGTAGACAGGGCTTCTAACTTACAGATGATAGACCTTTAGATTTTTTTTAATGTTTAATAGGCAAAGCGTTTGACCACCATCTCGCCTGATGGAAAGAGATGATGCGGCCTAAGATGGTACACGTACACGCTTGTCTAGAAGATGCCTATTCACTCTTGAAGATGTCCAGATTATATTGGTCCGGGAAAACAGACCTCGGCAAGGAGTTCCACTCCCTAGCCGTTCGCATAATGAAAGCGGAAGCAAATCGCTTCGGTAACATAAGGGTGGAAGCCCTCGCCGCGCCTGGTCGTCCGGTGGTGGAAACGGGAAGGGGGTATCAAATTATGTAATACCTTCGCACACTCTCCGAAATGTAACCGATAAAACGCCGAGAGGTAAGCTACACGTCTTCGGTGGTCAAGGCTCTGGAGATTAGCCTCAACGAGAGCGTCATTGCCTATGAGTCTCTTCGCACGGTGTTCCACCGAGTCCAGTGCATCCAGCTGATACCGAGCAGATCCGTCCCAAAGGTGGCAACAATACTCCAAGCAGGAGCGAACTTGGACTCGGTAAAGGTTAAGAAGCTGCTCAGATGTAAAATATCGCCTGACGTTAGGAAGTATTCCAAGTTTTTGGGCAGCGGTTTTAGCAATGGACTCAATGTAGCGACCGAAATTGAGGCTCGATGAGATGTCCAGACCCAAGACCTCGAGTAGGTCTCTCTCGCAGGCTCATGGATTAGATCGATCAACCTACCAAGTAAGACTAGACTACTGGGAGTTGCCAAAAGGAAGATTGACATGGAAATTTACACAGGTAAGTACTATAAAAGGTGTAAATGTGCCTGCTGGAAACTGCCGCAAGGACGATCGACGTGTTCTAAGGAACTTCCAATTCCTTAGAACCCGTCGATCGTCCTTGTGGCACCCTATCCAGACCCATCAAGTCTATAAAAAATGAAATAGCTATATTCAAGTAAGTTGGAGCTACTTAAACACACATTTAACAACAATGCAGACCACATTTTAAAGAGCTTAAAATTCTAACCTTAATCATCATCAGCCTATAAATGTTGGGGCACAGTTCTTCCCTATGGATGGTATAGGGAGATTGCGGATTGGCGGGTGCTAACGACTGCAAAGGCAGCCGGGACTAACAGCTTAACGTGCCTTCCGAAGCACGGAGGAACTCGAGATAGAAGATTTAGTTGGTCACCCATCCAATGACCGACCACTGCGAAAGTTGCTTCAGTTCAAAGATCGCAGTCGAACGCGCTAACCACCTGCGCCATCGAGCTCCTCCACTATAGTGCGGCCAACGAAAGAATGAGATTCTGTCAGGTCGTGTCAGTTCCTTATGGCGACAAAATAAAGTACACTTTAGAAGAAATAAAAAAAGATGTTCGAAAATTAACTCTAATGCTTTCACTATAAGGTACTGACACGACCTGTCAGAATCGCAGTCTTTCGTTATAAACCAAACATATGTTTAAAGATAATCTCCACTTACTCCCCAGTGGATTAGAAATGTTTAGCAGTAGTATATTTGTCATGTGCATTAAAATTTTCTATACAGATACATATAAATAGAGTCTGTGCGGAAAGAGAACGGGCGTGGCGAAAAACGGAACTGAAATGAAATGAAATGAAATGAAAAGTCATTTATTCAGTCTAGGCTGTTACAAGCACTTGTGAAAGTCAAGAAGCTACGCCATCGGTTCGCAAAACTACGACGGGAGACCTTGTACTGAGAAGAACCGGCAAGAAACTCAGCAAGGGCTGCTTTTTTCTCCCTGTATTGATATATACAGAGTCGTCAAGTTGAAAAATGACTTCAGACATACTTCTGAAGTCACCTTCCATTACATTATTTAGGGTATAGATATATAGTTACAACAAATTTTATATTTAGTATATATAGGAAGCGGCATTAGATAGGTACCATACTACTGTTACAAAACTGACTCATACCCATCAAATAAGAAATTACAAGAAACACTATGTCCATGCATTACGATCATTTAGATAATCATTAACTTTATAATAGCCCTTATTCATAAGAGTATTCTTAATCTGAGATTTAAATTTGGTTAGTGGAAGCTCAATCAGATCTTGGGGAACTTTGTTAAACAATGCAATACTACATCCCAGAAATGAACCTCTTGATTTTTGGAGTCTGAAACATGGAACGGCAAGCTTGTTCTTAAATCTCGTGTTTAAGTTATGGGTTTGACTTTTTTTTGCAAATGCGTCATAGTTTCTTCTTACATATATTATATTTTCATAGATGTATTGCGATGCCAGTGTTAAAATATTAATTTCTTTAAATTTTTCTCTAAGAGATTCTCTTGCCTTTAAATTATATATGGCGCGAACAGCTCTCTTTTGCAGTACGAAAATACTTTCTATATTAGCAGCTGAGCCCCACAACAAAAGGCCATATGACATAACGCTATGAAAGTAACCAAAGTAAACCATTCTTGCCGTTTCCACATCAGTTAGGAGTCTTATTTTTTTAACAGCGAAGGCCGCAGAGCTCAGTCTACTTGATAAGGCATCAATATGAGGATCCCATTGCAGATGCGAGTCTAAAGTAATACCCAGAAACTTTGTAGAATCCACTAACTCTACAGGCTGGTCATTTATTTTTAAACTAGTATTAACCTGCCTCACATTAGGTAAAGTAAACTTAACACATTTTGTTTTGCTAGAGTTTAGTTTTAAATTATTTACCGTAAACCAGTGAAGGACTTCAGAGAGAGCACAATTTACTTCGTCATAACAATCATTTCCTCTCCTAGCTTTAAACACTAAAGAGGTGTCATCAGCAAATAGTACTGTCTCACACAAATCTCTTGTAAAGTGAGGAAGGTCATTAATATAAATAAGGAAAAGCAATGGGCCCAATATTGAACCCTGGGGCACGCCCATAGAAATGGGTGCTCCTGTAGACTCAGCTTCATTTATAACTACTTTCTGAATCCTAGCAGAAAGATAAGACTGTATCAGACTTAGTGAAATATTTGATACACCATAATGCTTCATTTTATTTAACAATGTTTCATGGCTAACGCAGTCAAACGCCTTAGATAAATCGCAAAAAATGCCAATAGCATCGTGCTTACTCTCCCATATATCAAAAATGTGTTTGAGAAGTGCAGTTCCAGCATCAGTAGTACTTTTGCTTCTGTTAAAACCAAACTGTTTTAAATGAAGTAGCTTATTTATAGAAAAGTGTGCTAGTAATTGGTTATAAATTATTTTCTCAAATACTTTACTTAGCGCTGGTAATACAGATATAGGCCTAAAATTGCTGGGATCTGATTTATCACCAGCCTTAAAAAGAGGGATAACTTTAGCACATTTCATTAGATCTGGAAACACTCCCTCATCAATACATTTGTTAAATATAATGGCCAGTTGTGGCGCAATGACAGTGATAATCGGTTTTATTATATATGTTGATATTCCCCATAAATCCTCTGTCTTTTTAATATTAATAGAATTAAATGTTTTTATAATACAATCACTACTGATATGTCTAAAATAAAAATCATTACTGCACTTATCAACACTTGACTCAAGGAGGGTCATTGCTAACCTAGAACAAGAATTAAGATTTCTAGTTGATTCAAACGGTGCACTAGAAAAGAAATTTTCAAAAGTGTTGGCAACGGCATCATCTGTCCGAATAATCTTGTTGTCTATTTTTAAAGAATATGTGCGTTCATTGAATTTATTTCTTCCAGTTTCATTATTAATTATATTCCAAATTGTCTTTATTTTATTATCTGATAGACTAATTTTTTTTGATAAAAATTTAGCTTTCGCTATGGCACACACCTTTTTAAAAGTTTTTGAATAGTTTTTGACATATTCTATAAACTTAGGATCAGATGAGGTTGCTTTGAGAGCATATAATTGATACAACTTATTTCTACTTTTGTAAATACCAGGTGTGGCCCAATCACTAAAATTCTTTTTAGAGCTATGGCATTTAATTACTTTGCGTTTGAATATTTTATTAAATTCATCTTTAATTAAATTAAATAAATCTTCATATAAAATATTATTATTATTACAAACTGGTAAGTCCGACATTTTATGATAAACACTATCTTTAAATATATTTATACCCGTTTGTGTAATTGGTCTATAAGTTAGGTCATGTTTGTGTGAAGCATGATGGTGTTCAAGAGAGGCTAATTGTCCACTATGATCAGAATTAATACAATTTATTATTGATTTATTAAAAACTTTCCTATTACAAAAAATATTATCCAAACAGGTTGCTGATGCATGTGTGATGCGGGTAGGCTCAAAGAAGATATGCTCCAAGTTATATGATTTAAATAAGTTTAGAAACCTACCCACTAACGGACACTTAACTAAAATATTTATATTAAAATCACCACATACAACAAGCACTTTATTACATTTACATACTATATTGAAAGCGTCTTCCATAGCGGACTCAAATTGAGTGTAATTCCCAGATGGGGGTCGATATACACATATTATGATCATTTCATCAAGTTCCACACAAGATAGTTCAATATTACGTTCAACTGAAAGTGAAACAATATCTGAACGTTCTTTGTATTTAAGATCATTCTGTAAGATTATGAGAGAGCCTCCCCTGATAGCCGATTTCCTACAAAAACTACTAGCAACTATATAATTATCTAAGTTCATAACTAATTCATAATCTCTGAGCCAGTGCTCAGTAATACATAATATTCTAATATTCTTTGCATTTAAAAATAAGCATACTTCTAGGTCTTTACCAGAAAAGCCTTGTATATTTTGGTGAACAATATTTAGGTATTTAGACTTTTCCTTGGTCATGTTGTAGCTAGAGAGTTCCTCTGTTGTCTTAAGAACTAATTTAAATTACAATTAATGTCAGTATTTGGAACAAATTCCAAGGTCTGATCTACATAATTATGCTGCTCAATAGAAGCAGTAGTGATAGCCAAATTTTTGGCTATGTGTGTAAAATAAAATAATAGCGAAGAAGCTATTTGTCTCTTATTGTAATACGAAAGATAATATTTATCTCTTGTCATTTTATAATTATATATTAATTTATTTATATCTATTAGATGTACTATTTGACTACTATACTGAGTCATGGTACTTAATGCCAAATTTAGCCTATACCTAATATTATTTTCTTCATTTGATAGACTCCTACTATATGGAAATGTAAACATAACTATTCTATTTACATTTAAAGAACACAAAGAGTTATAGTAGGTCATAATGTCATTTTTGTTAATATTGCCTCTATTACCAATTAAAATAATTAAACTTGTATTTTTGTCAAGTTCAAGAGTTAATATTTTTTTCATTAATTGGTGCATTGTGGCACCTGGCAAACAATAATTAATTATGCTTTCACCCAGCTGTTTTTTTAATAAGCAACCTAAATCTTTACCTAATTCGTCACATAACATTATATACTTCTGACAGTTACTCTGCTTAAAAGAATTACAACTAGTTGTGATCTCTGAGTGAACAGATTTAGTGATCATGGACTCGCATACTATATCAGTGTCAGTTTGTTCAATACTATTATTAATTTAATACTAACATTAAGACTTTTATTTGGCAATCAAACCCAGCAATCTGTAAAACGTCAAAGTTTTGTATTGATACGGATTTGTTTGTTGTTGTGATTTCTTGCGGTTTTTTTGTATTTAATCATGTCTAAAAGGGGTAAAACCTTACAAATACGGTAGAAATGCACTACAGCGCCCTCCAATCTAAATCCCATTCTCTTTCCGCACAGACTCTAACCGCTTTTTACTACATGCATATGAATATACTAGCGGACCCGACAGACGTTGTCTTGTCTACACGTCTTTAATTTGAAAATTTCAAACTTTTTTTAATAAGCTAAAATATTCTGGACTATTTTGATGAAAATTACCATTCTCAGATCCCCTTGAACACACACAAAAAATTTCATCAAAATCGGTCCAGTCGTTTAAGAGAAGTTCAGTGACATACACACTCACAGAAGAATTATATATATAAAGATTTGACACTGCGATGGTAGCGCCGTCTGTCGGATCCAATGTAAAACATTCCAAAATCAACAACTACTAATAAATTAAAAATTAATTAAAAAAACATTGTCCAGCGGACAAAATTGTGAATCTAAACCATTCGCAGATCCCCTTGAACACACACAAAAAATTTCATCAAAATCGGTCCAGTCGTTTAAGAGAAGTTCAGTGACATACACACTCACATAAGAATTATATATATAAAGATATACGGTACATACAACAAAATAATATTTTTTACAATTTTTGTCTGTCTCTCTGTTTGTTCCGGCTAATCTCTGAAATGGTTGGATCGATTTTGACGGGACTTTTATTATCAGGTAGCTCATGTAATAAGGAGTAACTTAGGCTAGTTTTATATTAGTAAAAATCTTTTATTTTAGACAAAAAAAAAGAAAATATCTAAAAGTTTACGTGGACGTAGTCGCGGGCGGCCGCTCATGTAATAAATTTCCACAACACTTGAATTCGGAGGTTGATGATAAATCATTTCTAATAGCTTTAAAAGATTATTTAATAGATAAAGCATTTAATAGTTTGGAAGAGTCTTTAAAGTAATAAAATGACATTATTATACATACTTAATTGACATTGTAATATACTTTATTGACATTGCATTTTAATGAGCGCTTAATAATCAATTAATTGATATTTATTTCTATCAAGTACCCAATTGTGTCGAGCTACGTTGAAATGTCAATAATATTATTTGAGTTTTATTTAATTTAAAGTTAATTGTTGTATTGTGTTGCAGTGCCCGAACGGGAACCATGTTTGTAGTTAATGTGTTATATTTTAAGACCTTTTAATCCATGGAAACAATGAAGAATTGAATTGAATAAAGGAATGTTGGTGTCTTTATTGGTAAGGAGATAAGGCTTCTTCATTTACAGGTTCTGATACAGGGTATGGATGACGTCATGCCACATTTCAAATCAATATGTGTCTATAATGTTTTGTATAATTAAAACTATGACGCATTTGCAAAAAAAAGTCATACCCATAACTTTAACACGAGATTTAAGAACAAGCTTGCCGTTCCATGTTTCAGACTCCAAAAATCAAGAGGTTCATTTCTGGGATGTAGTATTGCATTGTATAACAAAGTTCCCCAAGATCTGATTGAGCTTCCACTAACCAAATTTAAATCTCAGATCAAGAATTCTCTTATGTATGTAAGGTAATGATTATCTAAATGATCGTAATGCATGGACATAGTGTTTCTTGTAATTTGTTATTTGATGGGTATTAGTCAGTTTTTGTAACAGTAATATGGTACCTATCTAATGCCGCTTCTTATATACTAAATATAAATTTTATTGTAACTATATATTTATATCCTAAATGATGTAATGGAAGGTCCATTTTTCAACTTGACGACTCTGTATAATAAATCAATACAGGGAGAAAAAAGCAGCCCTTGCTGAGTTTCTTGCCGGTTCTTCTCAGTACAAGGTCTCCCGCCGTAGTTTTGCGAACCGATGGCGTAGCTTCTGACCTTCACAAGTGCTTGTAACAGCCTAGACTGAATAAATGACTTTTCATTTCATTTGATTATGTGAGAAACGAGAAAATACGTGTCCATAATGTAGTTAGATATATTAATTATATCAAAAAAAGTAGATAAGCGACGAGCAGCGAGACACATCGATATATCTGTGTGAAGCAGTTAGCAATAAGGCAAGTTTAAGTGCATTGATATGAACCAGACACAGATGTTATAAAACCATTAAAATTATAAAACCAAAAAAAAAAAGAGCGTACTCCTTCCTTAAAGGCTGACATCGCATTTGTGATACTCCTGGTGTTGCAAGTGTCCATGGGCGACGGTGATCACTTACCATCAGGTGAGCCGTCTGCTCGTATGCCCCCTATAACATAAAAAAACTCAATAGCAAGTGTCTTTTTTAGGTTCCTGTGGTATTAGGGTTCCTTAACCAAAATGGCGAAAACTGAGCTCTTATTGGTTTGTCACTTAAGTCCGTGTTTCACAGGCATTTTATTGAAAAAAAATGACATGAAGATGCGCTCTTTTGCTAAAGCCCTTGCGGTGCGGTGCGGTCTTGCGTAGAATATTGCTCGCACCTTTGGGATGGTTCCGCCAAGTACTTGCTCAATGCTTTGGATAGGTTACAGCGGCGTGCGATCCGCATCATAGGCGATGAGGAGGTGACTAAACACATCGAGCCTCTTCAATTACGCCGTGACGTTGCGTCACTAAGCTCGTTCCGTCGTCTGTACCACGGCGAGTGTTCTGAGGAGTTATTCTCTCTTATTCCACCTTCCCCTTTCCTTCAGAGGACCACGCGCGCTGGGCTTCAGTGTCACCGTCTAACTGTGGCCACAATTCCAACGCGTACAAAGAAATTTGGTGACTCATTTCTTTGTCGCACTATCCGTAAATGGAATGCTCTGCCTGCTCACGTGTTCCCTCCTTCTTACAACCTGGGATCCTTTAAAAGAGGCGTGAAGAAGCAACATGCAGGCCGGCAAGATGAGGATGGCTGGTGCGGCAGGTAGAACTGCTTTATCAGCTATCTTCACATCTGGACTTCACCATCACTTAACATCAGGTGGGGTCGAGTCATTTGTCGGACCTATCTATAAAAAAAAGCCCTTTTGTACAAAGTATTATGGGCATGAATTGGGCATTCTGTCAATTGGATGCATTGATAACTGGACATTATGACAATTTTAATTTATGACATATGACATAAAGCAACTTTAACTTTACTATCTCGAGCTCCTCCGTGCTTCGGAAGGCACGTTAAGCCGTTGGTCCCGGTTGTAACTGCAGTCAGGGTCATGGCTCAATCTCCCTATTCCATCCATAGGGAAGGCCTGTGCCCCAGCGATGAGGGCATCAATAAGCTGATTATGATGATGATGATACTTAGAGATCGTAAGATTAGAAGTACCGTAAGCTACCACCAGTTCCAAGATTGGGTGACCTTTTTTAGGAAAAACTGGCGAAACAAACTCAGAGAGGCTTTCTGTCTCCTTCTTATGTTAAATCATGCAAACAAAAAGAACTAATAGTATCTGTTGATCTTGTAGTGTGTGCTCGGGGTTTGGATTTTATCTGTTGTATAATAATGGGTTCCCAAGCTGGTGGTATATACCAACAATCTTCCCTATTAAAATTTGTATATTTATAAAAGAAGTAATAGTATCTTTGGTCTTATGATGATGTGGTCACTGACCACGTATCGTTTGTTACAGCCTTACTGCAGCACGGCGCGGACCCTAATATAAGGAACACTGAAGGCAAAACACCTCTGGACCTAGCTGATTCAGCCACAAGACCCGTGCTCACTGGTAAGTAACCTATTAAAATACCAAAAGAAGTAATTAATTTACCTTTTAACAAGTTTCAAGTGTGTAAAAAAACGATGTGTATTTTAATATGTTCTCGTCATAACTCCGACCTTGGCACGTATCACAGTATATGTAACATACGAGTTTGTATGTTGTAGGTTTTTGCTTCCCAAGTTCGCTCAAGTTAGTCTTGACCTACATTCCCAAGTCCCAACAGCCGCAGACGGAGACCTTAACATTATGTTAAAAGCTAGTAAACTAGCTTTTGCCCGTCACATCGTCTATTATATTGTTACGTGTCGGGATGAGGATTCGAAATTATATGCCAGTTCACGCTTGGCAGTACTTTATTCACCACACAATTAACACACAATGTTAGTCATAGTACACTCACTAAACACTGTATTTCACTGTACAAGTCTCTAAACAATCGCACTTGAACACTTTTGTTGCACTTTGATCGCCTTTGGATTCGCTCCGAAATCGCTGTTGATACTCAACTGTCTCTGCACGGCGCCAATCGCGCTTATATACGCTGATCGACACATTCTAGAAAGTACCTGTTAAATTGAGAATTAGCTAGCACCCGCGAGTACAAAGTACCTACTTATACCTACGCAGGTAACGCGCATATCTTGTAAACAAGTGCAGATGTCGTTGCACTTTCTCCCTTACACCGCACTGCATAAAGCTCATTTTAGAATCTCCCGCGGTGATCTGGCAAATTCGATCTCTACCACTTTCGTGGTTACGTTTCGAGAGCGTTTGTGACAATATATACATGTATGTGCATATACATATTTCATTTACTATGAACTATGTGCCTAAGCAGTGGGGACATTAATAGGCTGATTATGATACAACTTTTTTATGGCAAGCATTAAGGATATTAATGTGTCGTTCAAAGGCGAGTATTGCGCCGCCGACGTCCTAGAAGCGGCTCGCTCTGGCGCCGACGACCGTCTCGCGTCGCTGCTTACGCCGCTCAACGTGAATGTTCACGCGTTGGACGGGCGCAGGTCCACCCCCCTCCACCTCGCCGCGGGATACAACCGCGCGCGCGCAGTCCGCCTCCTGCTGCAGCGCGGCGCGGACGTGCATGCCAAGGATAAAGGGTGAGTCACTGACTAAATGGGCCTTTGTGTCTTTCACTGTGATAGTTGCGTTTCTTTTTAGGGATTTTCGGTGCAATCTCTTATGTGTCTTTTTCAGGGATTTTTAGTTAGGTTCATTGGTTTAGATTAGTAATTTTATTTTATTTTAATAGTAATATAAGTGTATTTTAGTAATATAAGTGTATATTTGTGCCAAGTCATTAATAGGGTGAATACTCCACAAAAATGTCAAGTGAAATACTATTATAGTGTCTAGGTCTCGTGAAATGCTCTATAGGTAGTGTTGAGAAGGAAACCGTCATATTGGTGGTAGTAACAATATCTTGATACCAGGCTCTTATAGTGTAGGCGCTGCTAGTAACTGCTATAGAAGTAGATCGTCTACATAGGTCAGTATAACTAGTTCCACCACTCTGGCCCTCGTACTCGCGTCCCGCCTCATGCCGCTCAACGTGAACGTGCACGCATTGGAGGGGGGCAGATCCACCCCCCTCCACCTCGCCGCCGGATATAACCGCGCGCGTTCAGTCCGCCTTCTGCTGCAGCGAGGAGCGGACGTGCATGCCAAGGATAAAGGGTGAGTGGCCGAGTGACTCTGTGTATCTTTCACTGTGATTGTTGCGTTTCTTTTCAGGGATTTTCAGTTATGTCCATTTGTTTAGATTAGTAATATAAGTGTCTTTTTGTGACTACTACAGTAAATACTCCACAAAAATGTCAATGATTTTCATTACAAAGGTGAAATACTATTATAGTGTCTAGTCTCGTGAAATGCTCCATAGGTGATTCTAAGAAAAGATCGTCTACATAGTCGGCATTTTCGTGATAGGTGAACGTAGCTAGACGGGATGTAGAAGTAAGCATGGCTGCTAAGACCTGCTACAGAAGGAGACCGTCATATTGGTGGTAGTAAAAATATCTTGATACCAGGCTCTTATAGTGTAGGCGCTGCTAGTAACTGCTATAGAAGTAGATCGTCTACATAGGTCAGTATAACTAGTTCCATCACTCTGGCCCTCGTACTCGCCTCACGCCGCTCAACGTGAACGTGCACGCATTGGAGGGGGGCAGATCCACCCCCCTCCACCTCGCCGCGGGCTACAACCGCGCGCGCGCAGTCCGCCTTCTGTTGCAGCGAGGCGCGGACGTACATGCCAAGGATAAAGGGTGAGTCACTGACTAAATGAGACTTTGTGTCTTTCACTGTAATAGTTGCGTTTCTTTTCAGGGATTTTTAGTTAGGTACATTTGTTTACGTTAGTAATATACCGTCTATTTGTACTAAGTGATTAATGGGATAAATACTGCACAAAAATGTCAGTGATTTTCATTTACTATCTCTCGCTCCTCCGTGTTTTGGGAAGAAGTCTTAAGCTGTAGGTCCCGGTTGCATCTAAGGTCCAGCATCCACAAATTTACACTAGTCTCAATTTCATTAATATAATATATCCCGTCTTAAGAGAAGCCACTGCCCCAGTAGTCGAGACATTAATCTGATAAAGTTTCAATTATTAACATACAATATTGTCCCCTCTGTTGCCTGGACCGCGTGGATTTTTTTAGTATTTTTTTTATTGAGATTTCAACGTGTTGCAGTTTTATGCTTAATGTATGTATACATGTATTTAATAATATAGATGAGCTCGATGGCGCAGGTTTTTAGCGCGTTTGGCTGTGATCGTTGCAACTTTCGCGGTGGTCGGTCATTGGATGGGTGACCAAAAATCTTCCATCTTGAGTTCCTCCGTGCTTCGGAAGGAACGTTAAGCCGCTGGACCCGGCTGCATCTGCAGTCGTTAGCAACCGCCAATACGCACTGGGCCCGCGTGGTGGTGGGTCATGGCCCAATCTCCCTATACCAACCATAGAGTAGGCCTGTGCCCCAGCAGTAGGAACATTAATAGTCTTATGATGATAATAATCATTATTATATAATAAAACTAAATTGATAAAATGTGCCTGCCGATAAAACTTAAAAAGGAGTCCCGGATAAAGGGACTTATATAGTGTGATAGCTCTTTATCCCCCCTCGAACAAGAAAGTTCCCGTTTTAACCTAAAAGGCGTGTTTTTAAAGATATAAGGGCTTTTCCAATCCTTCAACTTGGAAAATAAGTGTAGTAGCGCCATCTGTTGTCGAGTATTTGAACTTGGAAATTAAGTGTAGTGGCGCCATCTGTTGTCAAGTATTTGAACTTGGAAATTAAGTGTAGTGGCGCCATTTGTTGTCGAGTATTTGAACTTGGAAATTAAGTGTAGTGGCGCCATCTGTTGTCGAGTATTTGAACTTAGAAATCATTGTAGTGGCGCCATCTTTTGTCGAGTATTTGAACTTGGAAATTAATTGTAGTGGCGTCATCTGTTGTCGAGTATTTGAACTTGGAAATTAAGTGTAATGGCGTCATCTGTTGTCCAGTATTTGAACTTGGAAATTAAGTGTAATGGCGCCATCTGTTGTCCAGTATTTGAACTTAGAAATTAAGTGTAATGGCACCATCTGTTGTCGAATATTTGAACTTCAAGAAGTTATGAAAAAGTAGAATACCACTGATCTCTTCTGAATTGTCATTTCAAATTAAAAAATTGCAGTTTATAAATTTAATTAGCCTTTAGTTTTAGAATTAACAAAGCGCAAGGGAAAACTTTTAAATATTGTGGCATCAACCTCAAAGAATCCTGATTCTCTCACGGTCAGCTATATGTAGCTTGCTCAAGAGTAGGAAATTCGAATATATATATATATATATACCACGGACAATAAAATAAAAAAATGTTGTTTATAAACAAGTAGTGTAAATAATGAGAAAATGTTATCAAATTTTTTTTTTTACTTTTTATGTCATTTTTTATTTTTTTATTTCAACTACCACTCCAACAATCTCATATCAACTCCCGAGCGAAGCCGGGTATCATAGCTAGTAAAGTAATAAATAAATACAATATTTTGTCCACCAGCGGTCTAGTCCCCCTCCATAATGCGTGTTCGTACGGGCACTTCGAAGTGACGGAACTTCTAGTAAGAGCCGGTGCCGATGTCAACGCTACAGATCTGTGGGCCTTCACTCCCTTGCACGAGGCAGCTAGCAAGGCTAGACTAGAAGTAAGTATACGAAACTAATAATATGGTATTTGACAAGTTTTAGGAAACGATTTACTAATGTTTATAGAGTCCATAAAAAGGATAGTTATAGATTCATCATTATGTTGTGTATTTCGGTAAAAAAAACTAAATCAAAAACTCGCATTTTCAAGTTGCCGCGAAAACGTATCTCTGGACAATATGGCGCCTCACTGGTGTGTGACGTCACACGACTGTTATTAAAACGTCATACGATACAATGTAATGATAACTGTAACCGGAAGTTTACTTGCGTGTGACGCCATTTTAGGCATCGCCAATCCCAAGCGTTTTGAGTCACGTGACAATAGATAAGAAAACTATTATCTTTTTCGTTAGTTTTTCGTAAAATTATGAATATTTTTTCTGTTAAAATAGTAAAAACTAAATACAGATGCTAACAATTGGCACTTTATTTCTAATACTGTCAAATACCCTATTGAGGAGCTGGCGAACAAAACGGTTTAATTACATAAAATTAAATTTTACAGGAGCTGTATAAAACTGAATGACATACCTCCAGTGAGCTTTTGGCATAGTTTTTAATTTATAAATTTAGTAATTTTAACACTGTTTTAGGCGGTTTTGATTGAAAATTATTTGAGATTCAAATTCAATGGACCCGAAACCTCCGGACTGTAAAAAAATGCAGTTTGACCAGATGCGTCATTATACCGTTTTGTTCGCCAGCACCTCAATTGTTTATTGATATACCGGTACCCTTAGCACGAACCATTATCGAATTCTAACGTTTGCGAGTACGAAATATCATGGTCAAATGTATACTGATTTTTAGTACTCGTTACGTAATTTGTGGCGCTGCTGTTCAAGTTTCCATACAAAATTTGACATTGACATTTAGCATTCGCAAACTATTCGAATTCGATAATGCTTCGTGCTAGGGGTGAGGGCGTCCCACGGGTTTGACACACGGAGGGAAAGTATCTTGAATATTGAAGATAGGATATTTTACTGAAAGGAGACATCATTTTATTTTTAATAATAACTAGAACAGCATTCACAATTAAAAAAAATAGGATTGGCCATGACTAAAATGACGTCACACGCAAGTAAACATCCGGCCAAAGTGACATTACATTGTATTGTTTCTGTCGTGTTTGACGTTTAAATGACAGTCGTATGCCATCACACACTAGTATGTCGCCATAATGTCCAGCGACACGTTTTTGCGGCAACTTGAAAATTGAATTTTAATGTAGTTTTTTTTACTGAATTAGACAACAGAATTAAAAATATCCACTTTCTTGGACTCTATAAACTGTTAGTAAGTGATCTGAGATCGTTTTCTAAAACTTGTCAAATACCCTATTGAAAAAGCGCCTTCTATCTAAATTTTAATTATATATATAATAACGCACCTTCCGTACTGTCCGGGTTTCAATTTCCGCAAAAGAAACAAAAGTTAACGACCTCTGTGGCCGATTGGGTTCGAATCCCGGTGGGGGCAGATGTTTGTGTGATGAAAACGAGCATTTGCGCTCCAGCCATGGATGTTTAATATGTATTGCTACATAAATATACTTTTCGTACCAGTTGCTCAAAAAAGTGACATTCTATGCCACAAAAAGCGAACATAACAATAGTCATTTTTAATCTGTTAAAAACAGGGAAAGAAAATTGTACTCAATTTCATTCATCCTCTAGGGGGAGAAAGTGATTTAAATTTAGAATACTTACCGAAATTTATACTGAACTACATCTGTGTTTACACCATTGAGTTTATATATAAAACATTATACATCTTTTTGATAAAGGAGTACGCATTTATTGTGCAGTTATGATTATTAAATAAAATTACGAAAACCGACGAGGCCGTATTTAATTGGACCAATGTTTCCAATGTTAACTTTTGCTTTTAATTGTCATCATTTTTAATTAATGCTTAGCTCATATTATTATTGTGTTAATTTTTTCGCAAATGGTACGAAAAGTAGAGTATTTTTCTCGGTGATAAAGCTGTCTTAGCTTTGGGTGAACTTAAATTCCTCGCTACACTCAGGACTCGTCTTAAATCTCTCGCTTCGCTCGTTTTAACACCCTCGCTACGCTCGGGAGTAAACCTCGAGTCCTTCGTTACGCTCGCGATTTTAATCGTCACCCGCGACAGAAGACACTGCTTTATCCTTGGTTAATAATCTACTATATATATATATATGTGTCAGCATATGTATTCTATCTGTTACCCTAGTATCCCATAACACAAGCCTACAGTGCTTACTTCGGGGCTAAGCTCATTGGTATCTGTTGGAAATATTAATTTATTTTTCTCTTTTTGTTATTTCATAGGTATGTTCGTTGCTATTGAGCGAAGGTGCAGACCCGACATTGCTCAATTGTCACGGAAAATCCGCCTTAGACGTAGCCCCTACCAGGGAACTACAGGAGAGGTTGGCATGTAAGTATCACTACATCATTGTTAGCCTATTAATGTACCCACAGCTGGGGCACAGGCCTTCCCAATGGGTAGAATAGGGAGACATCGGGCCGAACTTGGTGGGTGCTAACGACTGCAGATGCAGCCGGAACCAACGGAGAAGCGATAGGTAATAAGTTTTTGGTCACCCATCCAATTACCGACTTTTTTTATGAAATTTTTAATGTTCTCAACGCAGAAGCGACATTAATTTTGGTATTTTTTGAACCAACGGCGCCTACGTCCTACTTTGGCGTATTTTTTGATTTTTGCTTAAGAGCCCATTTACAAAATTGCGCCGCTGGCTGCCGTACCGTACGGCGCGTAGGTAGATTTGCACTAGTATATATTGCATTTTACGGGTGATGTTTAGAGTCTTATAAAATAAGTATTAATGAACTAATTATAAAAATATATACATATTTCAGTAGTTAAATGATGGTAGATTAGTATTATGAAATTTTTTGATAGTAATTATATTTAATTCAATATCAAAATACGAGGTAAACCTGCATTATTTTTTGGGAAAACTCACGGAGGTTAGATGTTTTTATTGATAATTAATGAGATGGAAAATCAAAATTCTAATACATTATGTTACAACAAAAATATATTTCTGATGTCGTAGTAATTAATTTGATCTAATCTATTGAACATTATTGAGAGATTGAGGCGTTTGAAGTTGTGCATATTATCGTTTTTCTGTAAACTAGCTGTAATAGAACGAATGATCAGTACAAAAAAGGAAAATAGTATTTGCAAATATTCTAAGTTAACTTTTAATACGAAGAATAATTCTACTGTTAAATTCTATTGGAAATAGTCACAATCTTTTCTAAGGGGGTAAATAAGGCGCTCAAAAATTACGATTTTATGCAAAAAATGTGAAAGGGCTCTTAACAAAAATAGTAAGGCGGGTCGACTGGAGGATATTTAGAAAACATTATTGTTTGAATATGTTTTTATTTTAATAGGGATGATTACTATTTTTTTTCTTCGTTTATCAGGTAGATAATCAAAAAGTATTGTACACGTGTTTTTTCCTTTTGCACATAATATAAACATTGCAGAGATATATTGATTTGAAAAGTCGCATGACGTCACGTTTTGGTACACTTTTAAGTGAAAATTCACTAAAAAGTGACGTCACGAGCCCCTACTCCCAAACTTTGACGCGCTATAACCACGTGTAACTTTGTCAATTTTTGGTTGATTGCCCAAAGAAAAAATACGTGTTCATTATTTTTTGATCATCTAACTGACGGACTAAATAGAATTTCGTTTACTGTACCCCGTCATCACCCCCTATTGTGATATGTCTCATTCAAAATGAATTGTTTTTTTTGTAAAAAAAATATCTTTGATCCTCTTTTCTGTAAAGTAACTAAAGTGGCGTTTAAGCGACTTTGCTTTTCCACTGTCGATGTATATTTATTATGCTGTTAGCGTGTTCGGCTGCGATCGTTGAAGTTAGGCAACTTTCGCAGTGGCTGGTCATTGGATGGGTGACCAAAAATCTTCTATCTCGAGTTCCTCCGTGCTTCTTAAGGGACGTTAAGCCGTTGGTTCCGGCTGCATCTGAAGTTGTTAGCACCTGCCAATCCGCACTGAGCCCGCGTGGTGGGTCATTGCCAAATCTCCCTATTCCATCCATAGGGCCTGTGCTGTTGTTTACCTAATTTTTGACAGCTTATCGTGACGTTAACTGAATATATGTAGTTCCTAAATATTATTGTTGAGAATAAAGATCGTGCTGGGCCCTTGAAAATAAATTTAATGACAATAAACTATAACTCACTTGAAGATTAATGAGGCGCACCTAGACAATTGGAATAGTGTTAATGCAAACTAAATGAAATCAAGGTGTACTGTATGTTTAGTGTCATGAGTGATAAGTAGAACCTAAGTCCGGTGTGGTGTTCCAAGGCGAGCTTGACTGCTCCAACCTTGGGTCCAGTACGCTGTCCGCAAAGCTCCTCCGCTTAGCACTGCACAACTCCCTTTGTCCACAGTGAACCCAACAAAACTACTTAAACGCACTGCCGATCGCGTAATTTAAATACCGAAAACAAAATTCCAGATGCAAATTCCGTTGCATAAAACTCGGCCCGAGCACTACGCCGTTCAGCGGCTAGCCTAAGTATATAGACAAAACGACCGCGCGTTCGTCGTGAGAGTTTATTCCAGACTACCCTATTTTAGCCCGTTTTAGACTAAACAATTGTCTTACAGTCGAATACCGCGGGCACTGTTTACTGGAAGCCTGCCGATTGGCGGAGCCTTCAAGAGTCAAAAAACAGCTGTCCTCTTCTAACACACAACATCAGGTATGTTGAATGGTTTTTTGTAACAAACATCTAATGTAGCCAAAAACACGACTAATTTCTTTTAAAGAAAATTTGCAAAAAGCAAGAAAGGTCTCGGGTTCGAACCCCGGTGGGGGCAGATGTTTGTGTGATGAATACGAGCATTTGTACTCCATTCATGGATGTTTAATATGTATTTTTATATAAACATACTTGTATAATGTACTGTATAATATGTATTCTATCCGTTACCCTAGTATCCCATAACACAAGCTTTACAGTGCTTACTTTGGGGCTAGGCTAATTGGTGTGAGTGTTGGAAATATTTATTTATTATTTATTTATTTCATAGCTGTCGCTGAAATTATTTATCTCTCCCGCAGCAGAACGTAGCTTCATCGTCGAGCAGTACAGATTGCCTTCCCGGCGAATGCAGTAGCGAAGCATTGGCCAATTTCCAACATGCAAGCACTGGGGATAGGCCTTTACATTGTGCTGCTGGCAGTCTCTATCCTAAAAGGAAACAGGTAGGTCTTAAAGGATGATAAATTGACAAATAAAGTATAGAAAATTATACATTCGGAAATTAAAGTGACTATAATTTTGTCACTCGGAAATAGTACTGACACACTTGTTCCATCCAGAAAGTTTAGTGGCTGTCCAGTTTTTATTTTGACAAGAAAATAAAAAAAAGGAAGGTCTTAAAAAGGTAACTCGGAAATAAAATTTACGAAAATTTTTGATATTCGGATATAAAAGTGACAAAATTTTTAGTCACTCGGAAATTGTAGTGACTGGCTTGATATCGCCCAGAGGCAGTAGTCACGGTCTGGTTTTTATTATTGATCCAATAAATCCGTTTTGGTTCGGAATCGTTTGTGACAATATGGAAGACAGATTATAATTGAATCAGGATTGATGCTACTTAGTATAGTAGCGAAGCATTAGCTAACTGCCAACACGCAAATACTGGGGATAGAACTCTACACTATGTCATAATAGTCATAATATTTATTACTTCTTGTTGGTTACATTTAGTTCTTAAATTTAATAACAACTCGCAAACATTTGCAAGGGCATTGCAAATTATAATAAAAATATACAAATATTAATTTAAAATTTGATTAAATTACAATAGTGTCTACCCTAAAAGGAAACAAAAAAAAGACCTACGTCTTTAAAAAGGAAACAGGTAGGTTTTAAAGGATGTTAAATTGACAAATGGAAAAAAAGGATAAAAATTTGACATTCGGAAATAAAAGTAACAATAATTTTGTCACTCGGAAATAGTAGTGACACACTTGGTCCGTCCAGAAATTTAAGTGACAGTCTAGTTTTTCTTTTGGGCTTATACATCCGTTAAGTTTCGATTCGGAATCATGAGGGGAGGGAGACAGTGAGAGGTCGACTTAGTACGACAGACTTATATTGGTGTGATTGTTAAAAATTAACTATCACTAATAACGACGACCTCCGTGGCCCAGTGGTATACAGGGCGTCCCACGGGTTTGTCACACGGAGGGAAAGTATATTAAATATTGAAGATATGATATAGATCGATCTGAGTGGCGTGCATTTGGAGAGGTCTATGTCCAGCAGTGGACTAAGATGTGCTGTTAATGATGATGATGATGATATTTGGCTGAAAGAAGACATCATTTTATTTTTAATAATAAATAGAACTGCTTTCACAGATTTTTTGAAAATAGCCTGCCACAACCGGGAGTCTAACTGGTGAAATGTGAAAAACAAAACACATTACGTATTTTATGATAAGCATCGAAAGAGAAAAGAGATCATAAGAATTATTTTTTTCCTAAATAATAATAATCTTAGCATTTTAAATTAAAGGAAGCTCATAAAGTTTAACATTTTATTTAAAATATTTTTTTCATTTAATTTATCTAATGTTCAGATTAATAATGTTAGATCGTTAAGAATAAGAAAAAGAATTTTTATTTGCTCCAAACATGGTAATTACAGGTGGTACAAGTGATAGCACAGCATGTTTTACCAAAGTTTGCCGTACAAATTTCGTTCGTCGCGTTCATTTTAAAATTACATAATCTATACTTATAATAAATCTGTAGAGAGGTCAATTCTGTACATGAAATATAGTTTCAAAATAACTATCAGGGGGTGATTAGTGATCGATACTGATGCCAAATATGCAATCAGTAAAAATTTTGACTGTCTGTCTGTCTGTGTGTATGTTCCTTATAGAAACAAAAACTACTCGACGGATTTTAACGAAACTTGGTACAATTATTCTTCATACTCCTGGGCAGGTTATAGTATACTTTTCATCACGCTACAATCAATAGGAGCAGAGTAGTGAAGGGAAATGTTGGGAAAACGGGAGAAGTTACTCCATTTTTTCAGCTTCCGTCGCGTGTGCAGCCTTAATGGTTAAAGTTACATAGAAATTATGTATGACGGAAATATTCTACATAAAATTGTCTAAAAAATATCCCCAACAGCATATGTCTATCTTTTATGGTTGACTCACAATAACACGTGTAACCTGATAGCTTAGCAGTTCGGAGCATTCCGATTACATAACGTAAATATGAGAATTTTAGTTTGATTATAAATACAGGTAATAAAAATGACCGCTTTTATCTATATATGTATATAAAAGTCAAAGGGGACTGACTGACATAGTGATCTATCAACGCACAGCCCAAACCACTGGACGGATCGGGCTGAAATTGGCATGCAGGTAGATGTTATGACGTAGGCATCCGCTAAGAAAGGATTTTGATCAATTCTACCCCCAAGGGGATGAAATAGGGAATGAAAGTTTGTATGAAACTTTGTCAATTTTAAACCAATCGGGCTGAGACTTTGCATGCAGGTATAAGAAGAATCATAGATGAATGTCATTGTGTTTAATACAAGCCTGAGAAAAAAAACTATAGTGTACACTTCAGCTCTACACCGAAGCGAAGCGAGGGCGGGCCGCTAGTAAATAATATAAAGAAAATTGAAATTGAATTAAATATACTATTTACTACATACTTATTAAATTTATTACTATCTTTAATTATAACCTATGTCAATGTCAGTCAATTTCGATGTCTGTAATGGAATTTTGTAGATATGTCATGTATGCGTCGTCATATTGATTATTCTATAATGTCATTTTACTTAAAATTAAGAAAGAAAGAAAGAAAGAAATAATTTTATTTGAGACATCAAAACAAAACAATAATATAAAAAATAAAATAAAACAATGAAGTCTCAAAACGGTCCCAACTCAGCATAGTGCTAATGTTGCCATTAGCGCTGGTCTTCCGTTGGAACCGGTTTGGTGTCGCACGAATCAATAACATCAAGAACATAAAAAAAAAACATAAATAGAAAACAAAACAAAAAAAAAACAGGAATAAAAATAAAAACAAAACATGCTTGGCTGAACATATCACAATATCTTTGCCACAGCCATTTAAAAAGAAAGAAGAGAAAAAAAAACATTTCTCTCTCCCTAAACATTAAAATATTCATTTAGGTCATATGGACAAATGTCGTTTTCAATAAGTTGTCGCTTACCCTCAATTTGTCGCTTAGGTTATGGAGATGCTTATAAGGAAAGGCGCGCTCGTTAACGAGAAGAACAAGGACGGACAGACCCCCCTCCACGTGGCCACGGAGCATGCGCATCTGGACGCCATGGATCTACTGCTGAGGCATGGTGAGTGATGGATGTCTATGGAGAATCTCTGATAACTACTACAGTACCCGCCCATTTATAAGTCGCATCCAGCTTTAGCAAGAGATACTCGACTAGCTTCGGCTTCGTATAGCGCCGTCTCTGTCACTCTTGTCAACCTGACCTTTAGTCGCTGACTTGTAAATCGTAGTTCAACGCCGCTAAGGAGCGGACGCGTTCTTCTTAAAATATATATACAGAGTTGCTAAAACAAATATATATATATATATATATATATATATATATATATATATATATATATATATATATATATATATATATAAATATTTCGTGAAAGAAAGAAAAAAATTAAGGATGATGACGGCAGTAAATATTTTATGAGACACTTCGCATATCTATTAGTTTTTTGTTATTTGGTTGGAAATAAAAAATGTAGTTTTTCATTAAAATAAATAAATTAACATACATAGTACATACAGTGGTGGTCACATAATTAAAGACACCCCCTAATTAACCACAAAAAACTTAGTTATGGTACTAAAATTAGCTGAAATTGGTATTAGTTTAGACAGTTCTCACTATGGGAACGTAAAACAAACTTTTTTAACGTATTTATAGCTTAGAAGAAATAGATTTTTTTTGTTATTATCGAAATTATCTTTATTACACAATATTCCTAACACATTTGTAAAACTTTCCGGTACGTATCAATATTTGGTCGCATGTCCTTTGGCAGAAATGACAGCACGACATCTCTTGCGCATGGAAGCGATCAATTTTTCAATTTATGTACTTGACGTTAAAAAAGTTTGTGTTATGTTCCCATAGTGAGCGGTGTCTAAACTACTAACGAATACAACTATTTTTTGTCCCACATTGTAAGAATTCAGCGTCGTGTATAGTTTAATAACAATTACACTATATTAAATACCAATTTTAGTTTATTTTAGTACAATAAGTAAGTTTTTTGTGGTCAATTAGGAATTTTCTTTAATTATGTGACCACCACTGTATATATTGTCTTTTACCCAAATGTTTTCTTTTTGTATTGATTTCTAAAAAAAAACTTAAAAAATGTTTTAGCAGCTCCTAATAGATACCGGACTGTTAGTGTTTCGTGTGACAGAGATGACGCTCTACAAAGCCGAAGATAGCCGAAGCTAGCCGAGTATCTCTCTCTCTCTCTCTCTAAAGCTCGATGCGACTTATAAATAGCCTGGTACTGTATGTACATTTACTTATTTAAACTTTACTGCCAAACATATGCAAACGGCGGACTTAATGCCATAGGCATTCTTAGCACGAACCAATATCGAATTCGTGTAGATAGCGAGTGTGAAATGTCATTGTAAAATTTTGTATGGAAACTTGACCAGCACAAAGTACTTAATAAGAATTAAAAATCAGTACTATTAGTCTTATAATAAACTAGCTGACTCGGCGAACTTCGTACCGCCCAAAAGTAATAATTTGCAATAAATTAAAATTGCGACTATAATTTGAGATTTAAACTATCCTATCTCTCAAGTTGGATCGAACTGCACATGGTGTGCGAATTTTATTATAATCGGTTCAGTGGTTTAGGAGTCCATTGAGGACAAACATTGTGACACGAGATTTATATATATTAAGATTACAGTTCTGCAGAGGTTCACTATTTTATTGAATCACCAACTAGGACGACGATTGCAGCAAAAGTTACTCAAACTAAGGTGGAGCGCTCTTTTATAACCCTCCACCTCCACACATTTGTCACTTTTCATAGATTAACGTCTTTATGCAGCTTGTCTATGAACGGTATCATAGCCAATACTTCATAAAGACGGGCACACACTATCCCATAAGATTCGCAAAACCAATGGTTGCTTTCCAATTACAGCATTATTGCGCATTATGCGGCATAATGCTTAACGTTGAGTGTTCCAACTACAGCAACGCTTCGCACAATTGAGCACTCTCAAAAGTGATGCTTTCGTGTGATGCGTGCAATGGTACCAACTTAGAGAAAGAAAATTAACAAGTGTTTTTTCTTTAAGTTGGCATTGATCGAAATGTTTTATTTATATGTTATCGTTAGTAATGTTATTTATTGTTGAAAAATTATAAAAGCATTCGTTTCATTAAATTTTTTTTTTTAAATAATCAAAGTTCATTCAAACTGTTAAAAAATAAATATAAGTATGGATGAAGGTACATACATTGACTTTTTTTTTCAACACTGTACTTAGCGCACTCTGCTGGTGCATTTGAAAACTAATTCACGTTCCAATTAAGCATCAGCATAATTGGGCATTGTGCGGCACTGAGTCGCATTATGCTCTGTAATTGGAAAGCATACAATGTCACCATACAGCCAACACGGCATAGACCCAACGTTTATGCTACCACCTTGAATACGAATGATCAATCGACATTACATCGATTAATCATTCAGATATCAAACTCCGCTACACCGGAAGTGTTTCCGTGTACTAACATGTCTTATTTAAATTATAGAAAATGGCAACATTGGCATAACGTCACATACGGAATGTCATGTCATCAAAACATACTAGCGTTAGAAAAATAACATGTATTGCTTAACTAAAGTAGAGTTTAATAATCTCTTATCTATTAGACAAGTCCGTCTGTCTGTCTGTCTGTGGTGCTGTTTCAGCGGCCAAACCGTAAGAGATAGATAAAGAGAATATTTAAGTTATAAGTTAAGAATAGTCTGATAAGACTTCATACCGGATTTGAGTAACGTAGCACTTCCGGTTTTCGAGAAATCACGAATTTCAAACGAAACCACACAAAATCTCCGAAGTTCTCAATTAATTAAATACGTTTTTTTTTTAAATCAGGTTTTGTTGAACATTTGGTTCACTGGTTTGCTAGTTATAACTAACAGTACACATTTGACAATGACATTTTGCACTCGCAAACGATACGAATTCGATATTGGTTCGTGCTAAGGGTACCGTTCTCTCAAACAACAGGTGCCAAAGTAAATGCTTGCGACTCCCGCGGCGAGAGCGCTTTATGCGTTGCCGCTAGACGAGACTCTTTAGCAGCTTGCCGCCTCCTACTGGCCTGCGGGGCTGATACCAGGCCCGAGCAAACTACCCCCGCGCCTGACGGTGAGTATGGTGACACGCTTAGAGGGCAAGGTCAAATTGGCCTCTAAGAAGCTTGGTGTGCTCAATAGATCGAGAATGTACCGGCCCACCGACTGCAGCTTTATAAGGCACAGATTCGGTCCTCACATGGAGTACTGCTCTCATCTTTGGGCGGGGGCTCCCCAGTACCAGCTTCTCCCTTTGGATCGCATCCAGCGCCGAGCGGCTCGAATCGTCGACGACCAGGACCATTCCGATCAGCTTGATCCATTGGCTACGCTCTGCATCTTCTATCGCATTTATCACGGGGAGTGTTCTGAGGAATTGTTCGGATTAATTCCAGCTGCTGCATTTCGCCATCGTACAACGCGACAAAAATTTCATCCCCATCATCTTGATGCGTGGCTATATCCACAACCGTGCGTTTTTGTAGAATTTTTTACCACGTACGACAAAACTGTGGAATATATTGTCGCCAGCAGTGTTTCCGGATCAATACGACCCAAAAACCTTCAATAAAAGAGCGTACTCCTTCCTTAAAGGCCGGCATCGCATTTGTGATACTCCTGGTGTTGCAAGTGTCCATGGGCGACAGTGATCACTTACCATCAGGTGAGCCGTCTGCTCGTATGCCCCCTATAACATAAAAAAAACGCTTGGTGACACACTTGGTGACTAGGTTAGTGACACTCGAACTTGATACTTTATGACTGACATTATACATTCCTAGTGAGATTCGCTGAGTAACACACCTGTTGAATCGGTTAGTCACTCGCCTAGTGACACTCCCAGAGACTCGCTTGGTTACACTCCTAGTGACTCCAATGGTGACACTCCTATTGATTTCTCTAGTGACACTCCTATTGACTTGTCTAGTGACACTCCTATTGACCTGGCCTGCGGGGCCGACACCAGGCCCGAGCAAACTACCCCCGCGCCTGACGGTGAGTATGGTGACACGCTTGGTGACACACTTGGTGACTAGGTCTTAGTCTTAGTCTTAGTAGTACGGCGGGCTGTTTCCGCAACTCGTCATCTAGTGCCTATTTTGCATGGGGATTGGCATCAGTCCTGCCATCCCAGCTCCTCCAGAAAGCTCAGCAGTCCCCGAATGTTGCTGCAGGTCTTCGGGCTTCCCATTAGAGAAGTCCTTTGTCTTGCAACGCCCCTGCACTCCAGTAGGACATGGGCGCTCGTCTCTACCGCCTCCAGGCAGGCTCTGCAAAGAGGGCTGTCAGAAATACCTATATTGGTGACTAGGTTAGTGACACTCGAACTTGATACTTCATTACTGAGCCTATACATTCCTAGTGAGATTTGCTGAGTTACATACCTGTTGAATCGGTTAGTCACTCGCCTAGTGACACTCCCAGAGACTCGCCTGGTTACACTCCTAGTGACTCTAATGGTGACACTCCTATTGATTTCTCTAGTGAAACTCCTATTGACCTGGCCTGCGGGGCTGACACCAGGCCCGAGTAAACCACGCCCGCGCCTGATGGTGAGTATGGTGGGTGGTACGCTTGGTGACTAAATTAGTGACACTCGAACTTGATACTTCATGACTGACACTATATACTCCTGGTGAGATTCGCTGAGTAACACTCCTAGTGATCGCTTAGTGACACTCTTAGTGATTCAACTAAGGACACTCTTAGAAACTCTCCTAGTGACTTGCCTAGTGACAGGCCTGAGCCCTCGACACCCGCGCCTGACGGTGAGTATGGTGACACGCTTAGTGACACACTTGGTGACTAGGTTAGTGACACTCGAACTTGATACTTTATGACTGACATTATACATACAATGCGAAGAGATGGCGCTTCCATTACAGCTTAAGGCTAGGAAAATTTCGACGCGGCTAATAGGGCGGCTAATAGCAATTGTCAGTGCATTCGCCCGGATTGCGAAGGATGCGGGTTCGAGTCCCGTCTGCTGCCTGGTCCGCGTGGATTTCTTTCTAGTAAACTTTTCTTTAGATTTAAACATCTAGCAGTTAAATGCTTAAAAATAAATAAAATCATGACATTATACATTCCTAGTGAGATTCGCTGAGTAACACACCTGTTGAACTTTGTTAGTCACTCGCCTAGTGACACTCCCAGAGACCCGCCTGGTTACACTCCTAGTGACACTCCTAGCGACGTGCCCTAGTGACATTCCTAGAGACACTCCTAGTGACTCCAATGGTGACACTGCTTTTGACTAGTCTAGTGTTACTCCTATTGACTCGCCTAGCGACACACCTAGAGATTTGCCTAATGACAGGCCTGAGCCTGCGACAACCGTGCCTAATAGTGAATGCCGGGTGTCTCGCTGACAAACCTGGAGGACCCTCCTAGTGATACTAAAACATTTCTTAAGACACACCTAGTGACACTCCCAGAGACCCGCCTGGTTACACTCCTAGTGACACTCCTAGCGACATACCTAGTGACAATCCTAGAGACACTCCTAGTGACTCGAATAGTGTTACTCCTAGCGACTCGCCTAGTGACACTCCTATTGACTCGCCTAGTGGCACTCCTAGAGATTCGCCTAATGACATGCCTGAGCCCGCGACAACCGTGCCTAATAGTGAATGCCGTGTGTCCCACCCTCCTAGTGATACTCAAACATTTCTTAAGACACACCTAGTGACTTTCCCAGGGCCACGCGTTGAGACACTCGACACTTTCCGTGATACTCCTAGCGACTCTCCTGGCGACTCCTTCTGACATTCCGCATTTGCCAAGTTCTCACGCATTCGTTAGTTCCCGAAGTCTCCGACACTCCCAATGACTGACTCAGCAGTTGGCACTCTATGCCTTCTAGAAGCAGCTTAAACGTTATCATCATCATCATCAGCCTATTAATGTCCGCACTGCTGGGACAAAGGTCTTTCCAAATGGATAGGACAATGACCCACCACGCGGGCCCAGGTCTAATCAACAACAAGCTGGGACCAACGGCTTAAACGTGCCTTCCGAAGCACGGAGGATCTCGAGTTAGTAAATTTTTGGTCACTCATCCAATAGGGTGTTTGACATGTTTTAGAAAACGATCTTACGTTATTGACTAATGTTTATGGAGTCCGTAAAAAGATAGTGGATATTCATCATTCTGTTGTGTATTTCAGTATAAATAACCAAATCAAAAACTCCATTTTCAAGTTGCCGGGTTTCTCTGGACAATTTGGCGTCTTACTAGTGTGTGACGTCACACGACTGTTATTAAAACGTCAAACGATACAATGTATTGTCACTTTAACCGGAAGTTTACTTGCGTGTGACGTCATTTTAGGCTCCGCCAATCCCAAGCGTTTTGGGCCATGTGACAATAGATAAGAAAACTATTATCTTTTTCGTGGGTTTTTAGTAAAATTATGAATATTTTTTTTGTAAAAATTGTAAAAACCCCTGCCTATATTCATTCTAAACACACATGCCAACAATTGGCACTTTATTTTTAATACTGTCAAATACCGTTTTACCGACCATTGCGAAAGATGAGTAACTTCAACAATGGAGAGCTAACACAGACAGGATTATGAGCGTTACATTGCTTACACATTTGAGGAGTTAAGAGCCCTTTCACATTTTTTGCAAAAAATCGTAATTTTTGAGCGCCTAGTTTACCCCCTTAAAAAATATTTTGACTATTTCCAATAGAAGTAAACAGTAGATTTGTTCTTCCTGTTCTAAGTTAATGTAGAATATTGGCAAATACTATTTTAAAGAAAAGTTTACTAGAAAAAAAAAAACTAGTAAACTTTTCTTTAGATTTAAACATCTAGCAGTTAAATGCTTAAAAAATAAATAAAAACATAAATACTATTTTCCTTTTTTTGTACTGATCGTTCTACCGCAGCTAGTTTACGGAAAAAACGATAATATGCACAACTTCAAACGCCTCAATCTCTCAATAATGTTCAATAAATTAGATCAAATTAATTACTGCGACATCAGAAATATGTGTTTATTGTAATATAATGTATTAGAATTTGGATTTTCCATCTCATTAATTATCAAAAAAAAACATCTAACCTTCATGAGTTTTCCCAAAAAATAATGCAAGTGTATCTTGTATTTTAATATTGAATTAAATAGAAATACTATCAAAAACTTTCATAAAACTAATCTACCATCATTGAACTACTGAAATATGTATATATTTTTATATTTAGTTCATTGATAAATATTTTATAAGATTCGAAACATCACCCGTAAAATGCAATATATACTAGTGAAAATCTACCTACGCGCCGATCAGTAATCTCTTCTATTTTGTTCAGATGCCTGCACAAACGCGGCCGCCCTCCGCCTTCTAGAAGCAGCGAGAACTGGGGACGTAGAAACCGCTCGCTCTATATTAGACGCGCGGCCGAGACTGGTCAACTGTCGAGACGTTGACGGCAGACACTCCACGCCCTTACACTTCGCGGCCGGGTAAGACAAAGACATACATACACACAAAACGATATACTAAAACTTTCATGGTTACTAACATTACAGGCAGTTCTCGTACTTACGGCATGTTAGGTTCTCGAAATACGCGACGTAAATCAAAGAGACGTAGGTCGAGACATCCCCACGGACGCCGGCCCCACGGACATTGACCTCGCGACAAGTGAATTCTCCTATGTCGAATCGAAACAATAAGGATGATTACTATTTTTTTTTCTTCGTTTATCAGGTAGATCATCAAAAAGTATTGGACACGTATTTTTTCTTTTTCACATAATATAAACATTGCAGAGATATATTGATTTGAAAAGTCGCATAACGTCATTTTGGGTACAATTTTCACTTAAAAGTGACGTCACGAGCCCCTACTCCCAAACTTTGACGCGCTTTATCTTTGTCATTTTTTGGTTGATTGCCCAAAGAAAAAATACGTGTCCATTATTTTTTGATCATCTAACTGACGGGACTAAATAGAATTTCGTTTACTTTACCCCGTCATCATGCCTATTGACGTATGAGGAATAGTGTCAAAACATTGTTCGACGTAACTTGAAGCGACGTAAGTCGAGGACTGCCTGTATAGTATAATAAGTTATTGACGCGTTTGTTACCATGTACCTTGTTCGTGGTTCGTAAATATAAAAACCGGAAAAAAAAGTGTCGTGTCGCTATCCGATTCTGTAAGTGTTGTGTGTCGAGAACAGTTTCGAGTTAACAGTGGGAATGTGAACAGTGGTACGGGTATCGAACGCAATAAAAGACTTCGTCGGAGGGTAGACCGATATGTCTGCCAATAACAGCCTACCCGCAATTACTTCAGTTACTCCGTGATCATGGAGCTTGCAACAATGCCGAAATATCGGAAATTCGCTAAAAACAAGGTATACATGGTAACAATCCCGTAAATATTGTACGTAAATAGTCGTATCTTCGTCAGGTATCTTATCAATTTAACGCATTTGAAGCAGATTTTGTTCTTATACTTACTATAAACTGATTTAATAGAAAATATTTGTGATATTCAAATATGTCGGTTAGTTATATAACGCTCACGTTATTTATTAACGTTTATGGAGCAACGATATTAAATACCCTAGATATACCACGAGCGCTGAAAATGTATCCCTATCAAGAAGTGCTTGAACTCGACTCAAGCACTTCTTGGTTCACAGTCACGCGCGGATCGCTGAGAAGTCAACATGCTGCTGAGCTCCGTGAAAAAATGCGAAATGAATACTTATAGTATGTAAAATATCGTTTTTTCGACAGGTATCTAATCAATGTTTGTTAATTTAACGCATTTAAAGCAAATTATGTTTTAATACTTACTATAAACTGATTTAATTGAAAATATTTGTGTGCACACAAATGCATAGTCGGTAATATAGTCGTCTCTTTTCCTCACGGTTCGTACCTGCTATATTGCTAACAGCGCATTTAGAATTGCGCGTAGAATCAAAGATATAAGGTCTATATTCTTCCGCATATAGCAATAAGTCGTGAAATTTTACGAGCTTACATCTTGGACTGTCATAACTCTTCGACGCATGCGGTTTAATTAAGACCTTATACAGTGTGCTTTAAAGGTGATTTTCGATGTTCAAATAATGCCTGATATTGTTTAGACCACGCCATCATCTTACGGAGCTCCGTGGATCTTCCAATGTACTTTGTGGACAGGTTTCGGGCATGATTTTGTTCGTGTTGGTGTATCTAGGGTATTTAATGTCGTTGTTATGGAGTCTATAAATATATAGGATATTATTTATTCTGTTGTGTAATTCAGTAAAAAAAACTAAACCTAAAATTCAATTATCAAGTTGCCGCCAAAACGTGTCTTTGGACTTTATGACGTCTCACTAGTTTATGACATCACACGACTGTCATTAAAACGTCAAACGATACAATTTTAATGTCACTTTGGCCGATAGTTTACTAGCGTGTGACGTCAATTTAGTTTTGGCCAATCCCCATTCGCTACTGATTTCACAACCGTCATTAAGTTTGTATCGCACATATCGCACGTCACAAACAATAGGGTCGGCAAAACCATATATTTTTTTATTTGCGTTTCGTAAACTACATTTTTTTCTCTATAAACTGGTAAGATAATTGTATTTTAATTCGAAATAGTTTTTGAATTATAGCAGCACATGTCAATTTCTAGGCAAAATTTATGATTGTGAGTTTTCTAAACAGTATTATGTTAAGTTAATACCCTATTGCCCATTCGGATTAATACACGTTTGAAGTTTTATTTAAAATAATACCCTCTGGCCTGTTAAATTTTATTTAATATGTTATTTTCAGCGAAATTATTTTAAAATGATACTAGTTGTAATTTTAACATGAGCCATTTGAGCCATTTGAACTGCTTATAGGGTATTCTCTTTACCCAGTCACATAAAAGTACTTTTAAAATAAAAACTACTATTGATACACTAACTAAACTTATTCAACACAAAGAACGATAATGTACGTTTAAATCAAGGTATCATTTTAAACATTTGAACAAGTAGTTCCACTTCTATGATTTTTTAAAACTTCAAAACGCGATATCTCAATACACTGTTTTTGAATATAAATACCCTTTTCTTTGTGACGTGCGAATAAGTAAATATTACATTTGTTATTGCAGATATAACCGTCTGCCCTTAGCTCAGTTGTTACTCCAAAGAGGCGCCGATGTCCACGCAAAGGATAAAGGGTAAATGATAAATCTGTTTTTCTACTCATCAATTACAGATACACAATCTTAAATTCATTAATAATAATAATGTTTATTTATTCTCACCACAATACAAATATTTTGGTACAGACAATTTATTTGTATTAACAACAGCTATATTTACAGTGAGGAGCGATGGCGCGGATGGTTAGCGCGTTCGGCTGCGATCGTTGAAGTTAAGCAACTTTCGCAGTTTCGCAGTGGTCGGTAATTGGATGGGTGGTGATTGGATCTCGAGTTCCGCCGTGCTTCGGAAGGCACGTTAAGCCGTTGGTCCCGGGAGAATTTGCTGTCGTTAGCACCCACCAATCCACACTGGGCCCGCGTGGTGGGTCTGACCAATCTCCGTATTGCATCCATAGGGAAGGCCTGTGCTCCAGCAGTGGGGACATTAATAGGCTGATGATGATGATGACATTTACAGTAATATATGGTGGAGAGACTGGTGTCCAAACTGGGCAGTAAACTGCCTGTATAATAGAACACAAGGCATCAGCCCACATCCCTGCAAAATGATTAAAATTTACAGTAATCCATATAATAAAACTGCTTAAGTTTAAATAAAATTGTTATTTATAATATGATTACAATACTTTTTATATCTTAGATTTTGATCACTCCCATTCTATGATTATACTTATTATATTATTTATTGACACGCCTAGATTCCGTGTAAACTGCACGGAAGCGCCCCAAAAAATATCTACCACATATGGTAGATACGCTCGTCTGATTTCTGATTCTTTTTCTGAGAATTCCATCAGGTGATTGAAACCTGGTAACATTCTTCATCAGCCTATTAATGTCCCCACTGCTGGAGCACAGGCCTTCCCTATGGATGGAATAGGGAGTTTTTGGGCCATGACCCACCACGCGGGCCCAGTGCGGATTGGTGGGTGCTAACCAGTACAGATACAGCCGGTACCAATGGCTTAACGTGCCTTCTGAAGCTCAGAGGAACTCGAGATAGTAAATTTTTGGTCACCCATCCAATGACCGACCACTGCGAAAGTCGCTTAACTTCTACGTTCGCAGCCGAAACGCGCTTACCACCTGCGCCATCTAGCTCCTAGTAATTTTAAAAACAATTTGTTAATATACTAATAATACTGACATAGGATAAGCCAGACATTGTTATGTTAGTAACTTGTTCTAATAATTCTATGGGTGTTTATTTGAAATAAATGATTATTATTATTATTATAATCTTTTTCTGAGAATTCTATTAGGTGATTGAAACCCAGTCAGTGTTGCCAGGTCTCCAGATTTTACAGGAGATCTCCTGTTTTTCTGAAATTTCTACTGTTCTACTGTTTATCAACATGAATCTACTGTTTTTCTTAGAATACGATTTTACTTTATAAAATTGCATTTACCTCCATTAGTAACGGGGTAACCTTAATTATTATAAATAAATGTTATTGTCTAAAAAAACGAGCTTTGCTCTTTTCTGGGGGGAGGGGGGGGGGGGGAGGTGTAAATCGGAAAAAGTACGCCTCGGTATCTACTGTTTTTTCTTGTAGCTCTTTCCATACATCTACTGTTTTTTTCAATAACGCCTCCCGATTTTTAAAAATCGGACCTGGCAACACTGATCCCAGTAAACCTAGTAACTACATTACGGTAGTATTCAAATTCAAAAATTCAAAATTGTTTTATTTCTTTACCATACATCTGGTTACATAGATAAAGGTGGGCTCTTTTTTTTTAAGTGTAAGACACCTGTACCAAAAAGAACCACTCTTCCCTAGCATGTGTTACATTATGGTAAGGTCATTAATTTTATTAAGATTAAATATATTATTTTATGAGTTACACCACAGAGCTAGTTAAAGTTAAATGGAAATTTACGTTAAAATAAGTTGGTGCAACTCACGATAATCAAAGCACTTCTAAATTAAACAAAAATACAATTTAAACTAAGCGGGGTGTTTATGCATGTGTGTGTACATATAAGACATAAATATAATATATACATATATATTCATACTGTATTTTGAAGTAGTTTTAACGTCCTATATTTCTTGGCCAGCGGTCTAGTCCCCCTCCATAACGCGTGTTCCTACGGGCACTACGAAGTGACGGAATTGCTGGTAGGCGCTGGGGCGGGGGTCAACGCGGCAGACTTGTGGCGATTCACGCCCCTCCATGAGGCCGCCGCCAAGGGGAAGGCGGACATCGTAAGGATACTGCTCAAGGTATGTGGGAGCTGGAACAAGGAGATGGTTAAGGTGATACATTTTTTGGGGAAAGGAGATGGGAGATGAAGAGACATGGGAGAGAAGAGAAGAGATGGGAGATAGAGTAAGCTACTCTAAGAGGACAAAAACAGTCAAGCTTCGAAGGAGACCAAAGTAGAAAGTCACCAAACTGTGGAATTCCTTGCCTGAGCCCTTGTTCCCCGAGCACTACAATCTAGCGGTCTTCAAATCAAGAGTGAACCGGTTTTTATTAGGTAAGCGCGCTCCATCGTAGACCATAATATTGCTTTCCATCAGGCGAATTATGGTCAAGCGCTTACCTATTACCGAATAAAAAAAAAAAGAACTTTTAGGGTGACAGACGGAGCGAGTCACTTTCTATGCGGAAATCGAATAAGTCACTTTTTAGGGAGGAAACTTATAAATCACTTTTTAGGGGGAATGCGAATAAGTTACTCTTTGGAAGGACAAAATGAATTAGTCACTTTTTAGGGAACAAAAGTCATTTTTGGAGAAACAAATGGAGAGCACTTTTTGGGTAGATATAAAACTCGAAAGTCATTTCCTAGAGAGATAAGCGTGAGTCACATTTTGGGGGCAAAAGTCACTTTTTAGGTGGGTAATGAATAAGAAGGTTTATTGGGAGATGAAATGAGAGTCCTTTTCTAGGAGGAACAAACCCAGTAGGTCACGTTTAAGCTAATAATGGGTAGTTTTCTTCACAACTCGAACTAACTAGGGGCGGGGGTCAACGCGGCAGACTTGTGGCGATTCACGCCCCTCCATGAGGCCGCCGCCAAGGGGAAGGCGGACATCGTAAGGATACTGCTCAAGGTATGTGGGAGCTGGAACAAGGAGATGGTCAAGGTGAGACGTTTCTTAGGGAAAGGAGATGGAGATGAAGAGACTGCTGAAGGTGAGTCGCTTTCTAGGACTGTCAAGATACGTGTTTACTCCGTGCATCAATAGATGGCGTTGTATCAATGTGGCCCGCACTATTGATTGTATATATCGTTGAGACGTTTCTTAGGGAAAGGAGATAGAGATGAAGAGACTGCTAAAGGTGAGTCGCTTACTTAGACAGTGGAACCAGGAAGCTACTTTTTAGGAGGACAACTGCAGTAAATTAATTTCTAGGGAGACGAAAGAAGAAAGTCACTTTTAAGGTGACAGATCGAGTTAGTGACTTTCTAGGGAGATAAAACGAAAGAGTCGCTTTTTAGGACTGTCAAGATACGTGTTTACTCCGTGCATCAATAGATGGCGTTGTATCAATGTGACTCGCACTATTGATTGTATATATCAATATGTTAAGTATCCTTAGTGTTTACTTGGTGTGTCGATAGAAGGCGCTGTATGATTATGACTCGCGCTATCCTATTGTTACGTATCATTTATATATGGATGCCGTTAGACTTTAATAAACCTCCCTCTTCGACAACGGTCAACTAGAGCCGATGTTCGAGTCTCAGAGACGCCCTCAGGTTCGAGTGGTCTAGAGGCTCCAGAAGGAAAGGAGACTCCCCCCGTGGGGAGATGCCATCCGCCTGGAATACCTCTAGGGGCACTCGCCAATTATCGGCTTGAGGTTCTCTTAAGATCTCGCTGTCCCCAAACCCGGTGACTCTGTAAAGGTCATCTGCTACCAACAGCATACACACTCAAAACAAAAAAAAACGACGGATTGCACTCCGGGAGTGCAGGCAGAAGTGAAAACTTGAATATTAACGTTGTGCATTTTTGATATTTTGGAATGGTTAGGGCATAATTTTATACGAATTGCTTTAATTATCAGTATAAAAGTACTATCATGTATGTTGTAGAATACAATATTTATTTATTGCGCTATCGTACACAAACATGACAATTTATATTACATTAAAAATGTTTATCTCTCAGAAAAATCAACTTACATGATTCACGTTTAAGCGCACCTAGCGACATCTATTGTAAAAAAAATGCATTTTCTTCGCAATAAAGCTGCCACGTTGACGTCCTAGATAGAGACTTATTATTATAATAGGGTAAAATAAAATATTACTATGTTTCGTCCATTATATTGTGTGTCATGACGCGATCAGCCCACGTGTTAAACCTGACGCGAGTTTAACATTTTTTACCCATACAAACAAAAGTGTACATCGCCGCAAAAAATAAACTGATAGTTCTTCTGAGTTTTCCACTAGTTGAATTTTATAGTTCCATTTCGTCCCTCAAACAAGGACAGTGGAACGAGTAAGCTACTTTAGGAGAACAAATATAGTCAAGCTTCGAAGGAGACGAAAGAAGAAAGTCACTTAGGGAGACAGATCGAGTTAGTCACTTTCTGGGGAGATAAAACTAGAGAGATACTTATGATTTTATTTATTTTTTAAGCATTTAACTGCTAGATGTTTAAATCTAAAGAAAAGTTTACTAGAAAAAAATCCACGCGGACCAGGCAGCGGACGGGACTCGAACCCGCATCCTTCGCTATCCGGGCGAATGCACTGACCATTATGTTAGCATGGGCTATTTATTATAGGGTCGTGGTAGCATAATGGTCAGTGCATTCGCCCGGATAGCGAAGGATGCGGGTTCGAGTCCCGTCCGCTGCCTGGTCCGCGTGGATTTTTTTCTAGTAAACTTTTCTTTAGATTTAGAGTGATACTTTTTAGGAGGACAGACGGAGCAAGTCACTTTTTAGGGAGAAAAAGAGTATATCACTTTAGCAAGGGAAAAGAACAAATCACATTTTAGGGGGGAAATGAATAAATCACTTTTTTAAGATAAAATGAATGTAACGTTTAAGCTCGTAGTAGCTCGAGATAGTAAATTTTGGTCACCCATCCAATGACCGACCACTGCGAAATTTGCTTTACATCAACTATAGCGGCAGAACGCGCTAACCACCTGCGCCATCGCGCTCCTCGGTTAGCATTTTTCGCAACAATAAATTTGCAGTTTATTTGTATTGTACTAGTATTATGAATTATTTTTTTTTGGTAAAACTAAATTAAGCTAATATGCTATTGATATAATTTAACTCAATTTACAATTTAGGTGACAACTAAAAGCCCTACAACTAGTAAAACATAATTTCGAATTATATCAAAACAAAGCTGAAAATTCAATTTTGCTAAAAGGGCTGAAATCTTTTCACTAATCACCCGTTTCTATCATAATATAAACAGACAAATAAATAAAAGTCTCATGATATATAATTTTTATTTTTAAACATTTAACTGCTAGATATTTAAATAAACTAGATGTAAAAAAAAATCTAACAGTAAATTATTACTATAAAAAATAATTCTTTTTTAGTTATAATTTTTATTTTTTAAGCATGTAACTGCTTGATGTTTTAAATCTACTCTAATTTTGGGTTACCTATAATGCGAAGAGATGGCGCTGCCTTGCAGCTTAAGAATGGCTAGAAGAATTTCGTCGCGGTCCGTTAGGGCTGCGGTAGCATAATTGGTCAGTGCATTCGCCCGGATAGCGAAGGGTGCGGGTTCGAGTCCCGTCTGCTGCCTGGTCCGCGTGGATTTTTTTCTAATTATATTTTCATTAGATTTAAAATTCTTTCTTAGTAATTGTTACTATTGTTTTTCTTTATAGCACGGCGCGGATCCAACACGCCGTAACCGCGACGGTCTGACACCACTACAATTAGTGCGATCCGGCGATAGCGACACCGCAGACGCTTTACGTGGCGACGCTGCGTTATTGGATGCCGCCAAACGAGGCGACGCCGCTAGAGCTAGGTAATTTTCATAATCAGAATCAAAATCATTTATTTAGTTTAGGCTGTTACAAGCATGAATGTCTAGAAGCTACGCCATCGGTTCGTAAATCTACGGCGGAAGACCTTGTACTGAGAAGAACCGGCAAGAAACTCAGTAAGGCCTGTTTTTTTCTCCCTGTTTTATTATTTACAGAGTCGTCAAATTGAAAAATGACTTCAGAGGTGATTCATGAAGTCACTTTTCATTACATAATTATTAAATATACATTAATTGTTTACCTGCATTTTGATTGCTGTGTCATACAGTATAAATACAAATAGTGTTATTTATATTCAGTGTGACTAAACATTAACTTCAATATTAAGGAAGTTAGGGCAGACTAACTGCTAGATGTTTAAATCTAAAGAAAAGTTTACTAGAAAAAAAACCACGCGGACCAGGCAGCGGACGGGACAATGTGGGTTATCTACAATGCGAAGAGATGGCGCTGCCTTGCAGCTTAAGGCTAGGAAAATTTCGACGCGGCTAATAGGGCCGTGGTAGCATAATGGTCAGTGCATTCGCCCGAATTGCGAAGGATGCGGGTTCGGGTCCCGTCCGCTGCCTGGACCGCGTGGATTTTTTTCTAGTAAACTTTTTTTTAGATTTAATGATTTCTGTTTTTTTTATTCATTCATGAGCTTTAATGACCTTCAGGAGCAGCAGTACTTAAATAGGCTTAGGATAGAGGACTTTAACGCACATAGTATTCATTTAAACAAACTTTATTGACACATTACTCAACATACAGTAAGGAACAAATATTATAATTATATTAAGTACTATTACGAACAAAACAAACTTCTTTCGAATTTGTGGTATCTCTTATCTATTAGACAAGTCCGTCCGTCCGTCCGTCCGTCCGTCTGTCTGTCTGTGGTGCTGTTTCAGCGGCCAAACCGTAAGAGATAGATAAAGAGAATATTTAAGTTATAAGTTAAGAATAGTCTGATAAGACTACAAACCGGATTTGAGTAACGTAGCACTTCCGGTTTTCGAGAAATCACGAATTTCAAACGACACCACACAAAATCTCCGAAGTTCTCAATTAATTAAACACATTTTTTTTTAATCCCCCATGTCATCAAAAATAAGCAAAGCAAAGACCCCCCTGCCCCCCTATAGTGCTTACGTAAAACTTGAACGGCCCCTAAGTAAATAGGCTAATTGATGTAAGTTGAAAAAAGTTTTACAATTATTTATATAAATAAATAGTAATTTAATAAATACTGCACAAAGCATTTACTGATTATTATTTTAATTATAGTATTAACATAGTCATATGACTATGTTCATCTCGCTATGTACAGAGGGTTTCTAGCGTTTTAGATTAGTTTTTGATATGAATGTTATAAAGTTATGTTTTTGTTGATTTTCTCTAAATAAATCTTTTTGATTATTTATGTGCAATTATGCCATATACATTATGATTGACTGAATAATGTAAACGGTCATTTTTTCTTAGTGCAGCAGTCCTCTTTCACGTTTAATTCAGTCCCAAAGCGCCTCAAACACTCCCCTGTCATGATTATTTGGAAAATCACTAATAACTCAGAAAATACTTATAAATTCAGTAGGCCTCCTTATCTAATTAAAATAATTTCTAATTTCCTTCGAAATAGCACACGATTTATATGCAAATGTTGAAATAAAAAGCCAGCACAGCATTTGTATGGGACCTGTACGAGCTTACAGAGAAATACCCGAATATATGTTAAGTAATAAGTATATTAAATAAATAAAATAAAAATTTCCAATACTCACACCAACTAGCCTAGCCCCAAAGTAAGCACGGTAAGGCTTGTTTTATGGGATACTAGGGTAACGGGTAGAATACATATACTGTATAAGTGTATTTATATAGAAATACATATTAAGCATCCATGACTAGAGTACAAATGCTCGTATTCATCACACAAACATTGCCTCCACCGGGATTTGAACCCGGGAATTCTCGAGTCGGAGACACCAATAACCACTCGGCCACGGAGGTAGTCGAATTATGAATGCATGAATATATTCCTTATTGCACTGAGACAGTTTCTCAGAAATACAAAAACAGAAATATTGTTTTAAACTTTCATGGTCACTAACATTACAGCTATTAACGGGATTGTTACCATGTACCTTGTTTTTTATGAGTCTCCGATGTGTGTCGGGAACAAGTGCGAGTGAATAGTGAGAATGTGACCAGTGTTACGGGTATCGAGCGCAGTAAAAGACGACGTCGGAGGGTAGACCGATATGTGTGCCAATAACATCTACCCGCAATAGGGATGATGACTAATTTTTTTTTCTTCATTTATCAGGTAGATTATCAAAAAGTATTGGACACGTATTTTTTATTTTTTCACATAATATAAACATTGCAGAGATATATTGATTTGAAAAGTCGCATGACGTCACGTTTGAGTACACTTATAAGTGAAAATTCACTCAAAAGGACGTCACGAGCAGGGGCGCGTCAAAGTTTGGGAGTAGGGACTCCCAAACTTTGACGCGCTATAACTTTGTCATTTTTTGGTTGATTTCCCAAAGAAAAAATACGTGTCCATTATTTTTTGATCATGTAAGTGACGGACTAAATAGAATTTCGTTTACTGTACCCCGTCATCACCCCTATTACTTCAGTTACTCCGTGATCATGGCGCTTGCAACAGTGCCGAAATATCAGAGACTCATAAAAAACAAGGTACATGGTAACAATCCCGTTAATAGCTATAAAAACAGAAATGTTATAACAAAAGGCGGCTTCATTCCTAAGGTAGCAATTTCTACCAGGCAACCTTTGGCTAAACGAAACCACAGCAGAGTAGAAAAATAGAACGGCGGGATAGTGCATTGTAGGATTAGAATAAAAAAATTACAACACTGGTGTCAATTCTGGCGTGATTCTCTAAACTTAAAACTAAATTTAAGGGCAGTCTCACCTTTTCATTTTGTAAAGAGAAGGACAAGGATGCACTGTTGTCAAATTTAAGTTCAGCTTTAGAGAATCATGCCAGAATCGACATTATTGTTAATATAAAAAAATTAAACGTAAGTTTTATAAGTATTAGTATAATTTGACAATTATTTGCGCAGAAAACTGATCACACCCCAAAACGTGAACTGTCGCGATGCGCACGGTCGCAACTCTACGCCTCTGCATTTAGCAGGTAAGTATTTAAATCGTCAATAAAACAATACGAGACTCAATAATCATTCAATGTTTGTCTTGATGTGTCATTTTTTTCCTCACTTTCATTTCATACTAGGGAAAGAGATAACTTTATATCATATTGTCACTTTTCTCAAGCTGTCATTTCATAGTTTGGAAGTTGACAAGCGTTTTTATTGCACAAAAAAGGCTATTAAGGTAAGGTCTTTTAGCAGGCCTGGCTACATTTACTAACAATATTAACAATCTTGTTGTAACTAGGGACACGATATCGAATAGAAAGTATCGATACTGTACTCATGAGTAGTATCGGTAAAAAAGTATCGTACTCGTAAAAGTATCGAAACAAAAGTATCGATACTTCAAAGTATCGAGTACATTTCACAGGGCCTTATCGGAGCCTCTGTGGCCTGATGAGCAACCCCTCCCCCCGCCCCGCCGGTGTTAAAATTGAAAGAAAAACAATGGAATTTTACTATAGTACGTATAATCGAAAACAAATAAGGACATGTAAATTCACAAATTGCTATATTACATAAAAAAATAGCTGTGATTTCTGACACTAAAAAGTGTTCATTAATACATTCATAATTAAAATGTTAATTAAAAAGATCGAAATCTTAAACAATTTAATAGTATGGAACTTTTCAGATTTGTTTCAAATTAAACTTACTTTTCTTGAATTTTAATCATTAAAAAACATTATACCCACTTATGTTAACTTGAATCTGACACGTAGTTAACGGCTGCCATTGGCATGCTTCACTCAAGATTATAATTATAGAAGAGGTTACGTCCGTCTTTTTTTCAGGTGGTTTCAAATAGGTATTACACAGCATAGACAGAATAATAGTGTTACACTTGAATAAATCAAATACAGTCAAGCTAAAAGTACAATAAACGGCGAATCAATCACAGTTCCTAAATAAATAAATAATAAATAAATAAATATGGTCGCTAAATAAATAACTATGAAACAAAATAAAGCGCAAAATAAACACAGTCACAGATTGGAAAGAATTTGAATATGTCAGTTTCTGACTTTATAACAACGCAATAGGGTATTTGACAGTTTTTTTTTTAGACAGTACATTTGACAGTATTAAAAATAATGCGTGCTGTTGTCACGTAACCCAAAACGCTTGGGATTGGCATAACCTAAAATGACGTCACACGCAAGTAAACTTCCGGTCAAAGTGACATTACATTGTATCGTTTAACGTTTTAATAACAGTCGTGTGACGTCACACACTAGTAAGACGTCATATTGTCCAGAGAAACGTTTTCGCGGCAACTTGAAAATGGAGTTTTTGATTTGGTTATTTTTACTGAAATACACGACAGAATGATGAATATCCACTTTTTACGGACTCCATAAATATTAGCCAATAACGTGAGATCGTTGCCTAAAACTTGTCAAATACCCTATGGAACGTTTTAGAAGGTTTGCTATGATTTAACAAGATGGCATTGCCATCAATATGAGGCGCTTATCCAAATTAATAAAGGTATCGATACTTGCCAAAAAGTACTCATTTAGTAAAAGTATCGAATACAAAGTATCGAGTACAAAAGTATCGGTATCGAAAGGAAAAGTACTCGATACCACAAAGTATCGATACTTTTTTCGTGTCCCTAGTTGTAACCGGCTAGGCAGGGATTTTTTTCTAGATAGAAGTGTTGTTAAATTCAGTACAATTTCCCTCCCCTAGCCGGTTACAAGAATCTAGAAGTACTGTTAAATTCAGTACAATTTACCTTTCCTAGTCGGTTACAACAATCTAGAAGTGTTGTTAAATTCAGTACAACTTCCCTCTCCTAGCCGGTTACAATAATCTAGAAGTGTTGTTAAATTCAGTACAATTTCCCTTTCCTATCCGGTTACAACAATCTAGAGATGTTGTTAAATTCAGTACAATTTCCCTTTCCTATCCGGTTACAACAATCCAGAGATGTTGTTAAATTCAGTACAATTTCCCTCTCCTAGCCGGTTACAACAATCTAAAAATCTTGTTAAATTCAGTACAATTTCCCTTTCCTATCCGGTTACAACAATCTAGAAATGTTGTTAAATTCAGTACAATTTCCCTTTCCTAGCCGGTTACAACAATGGTGGACTGGTCCCGCTTCACAACGCCGCGTCTTACGGACACATGGAATAATAATTTCCTCTTAAAGAGCCCTTTCATTTCATAGTTTGGAAGTTAGCAAGTGTTTTTATTGAACTAAAAGCGTGTTTTAGATACGGCCCCCCGGGGCAATTGTAGCCTGGTTACAATAATCTCGATGTAGCCGAGGCGCCACTGGAGGCCGGGGCCGCGGTCTCGGCCCGGGACAAGGACGGACTTGTCCCGCTCCATAATGCCGCGTCGTACGGACAACTTGGATTATTAATTTCCTCTTAATCCCTTTAATTTCATAGTTTAGCAAGTGTTTTTATTAAACGAAATACGTGTTTTAGGTACGCTCCCCAGGGTCTATTGTAGCCAGGGGGCAAATGTAACTCGGTACTGTTTTATGTTATTACCGAATTTATAGCTAGGACAAAAAGTTACTCTGCAGAGCCACAAATGTAGCTTATTTAAAAAAATGTAACAGTGACGAGTTATTTGAAACATCTACATTTGCCCCCTGGCTACAATAAGTAGTTGTAAGCATCATTGTTACTTACCATTATGGATGAATAATCTGAAATAACTGAGAAGCTCGATGGCGCAAGTGGTTAGCGCGTTCGGCTGCGATCGTTGAAGTTAAGCAACTTTCGCAGTGGTCGGTCATTGGATGGGTGACCAAAAATTTACTATCTCAAGCTTCTCCGTGCTTCGGAAGGCACGTTAAGCCGTTGGTCCCGGCTGCATCCGCAGTCGTTAACACCCACCAATCTGCACTGGGCCCGCGTGGTGGGTCATGGCCGAATCTCCCTATTCCATCCATAGGGATGCCGTGTGCTCCAGCAGTGGGGACTGGGCTGATGATGACGATGATGATGAAATGTTACTAGCCCAGGATGACCGTACGGTCTTTTAATAGGCTTAACACATTTACTGAAAATTTTAAATTCTTCCCTTCCTAGCCGGTTACAATAATCTCGATGTAGCCGAGGCGCTACTGGAGGCCGGGGCCGCGGTCTCGGCCCGGGACAAGGGCGGACTGGTCCCGCTCCATAATGCCGCGTCGTACGGACACTTGGAGTTGGCTGCCCTATTGCTGAGAGCTGGGACGCCGCCTAATGCCGCTGATAGGTATGATTTTTATGTATTTACGTTATGATCTCTTATCTATTAGACAAGTCCGTCCGTCTGTCTGTGGTGCTGTTTCAGCGGCCAAACCGTAAGAGATAGATAAAGAGAATATTTAAGTTATAAGTTAAGAAAAGTCTGATAAGACTACAAACCGGATTTGAGTAACGTAGCACTTCCGGTTTTCGAGAAATCAGGTTTTGGTGAACATTTGATTCACTGGTTTGCTAGTATAAGTATAATGCGATTTAACTAAGAATAGGACCGACTGGGCGCCACATTTTGACGTCATAGCTGTCAATTCAAACCAAATAGGTAGAGTGAGCAAAAAAAATTTGCTATTTAATAAAACTTAATTACTAAGATTAGGTGAGACAAAACATCAGATTTTTAATAAAATTAATTTACTAAGGTTGAGAAAGAACAATACCGATTTTTATTAGTATTTCTTTATTAAGACTGTGTGAAAAAAAACATTAATCAGAATCTAGCTCTTCAATTTCGCTCATCTCTGCATTACCGCTGGAGAAGTTATGAATAATCATGCAGGTCACATACGAACATGCATCCTATATGTAAACGAAAGTTTTAAATCGAGTTTCTGAACGGAACATAAAGTGACATTTGGTTGACGATTTAGGTTATCAACCATTCATAGCCAATACTCAATAAGTGAAAAGAAAACAAATAATATTAATTATCAACATTTGTTATTGTTTGTTTAAAAATGTTTGGTTTTTATTCTAGAATCAGCTGAGTGCTAAAAAAGTGTTTCGAGATTTTTTTGCAAACCGTACTTTTCAAGCGATATTTGACAGATGGAGGTCATTGGCTTTCCTATTCTTATTTGAATCGCATTATACATTCAATATATTTTTTAAATCAATAGCATATAATGCCAGAACGTAGTAGAAGCCACAATTTTGTCCGGACTTCCTCTGGGAGAAACAGTGTTTGTACCACTTATTCCATTAATATTGATGACCTCGGTGGCCGAGTGGTTTGTACGCCGGTGTTCATGGTGACGCCGACTCGAAAGGTCCCGGGTTCGAATCCCGGTGGGGGCAGATGTTTGTGTGATGAATACGAGCATTTGTACTCCAGTCATGGATGTTTAATATGTATTTCTATATAACTTATATATGTACTGTTTATGTATTCTATTCGTTACCCTAGTATCCCATAACACAAGCCTTACAGTGCTTACTTTGGGACTAAGCTAATTTTTGTGAATGTGGGCATCTCATTGGCACGTTCTTCATTTCTTCTTATTATTGAAAATAAAATGATGTTTTCTTTCAGCAAAATCTCCCATCTTCAATATTTAATATACTTTCTATCCGTGTGGCATGATCGTGGGACTCCCTGTATAATCATGATTTTTTTTCCACAGATGGGGTTTCACACCCTTACACGAGGCGGCACACAAAGCGCGGACGCAACTATGCGCCCTATTGGTGAGTTGCAAATTGCACCTTATTCACAAGTTTTAAGATTGCATTTGAACTTTAAGTGAGATGGTTATTTTCGTAGCTGAATAGTGCAAGATAAATATAGGGCCCAATTTTGTCCCAATGTAGCTTCCTGCTGCTGGATGAATTGTCTAAGTCAGTCCTTTGTAATATACATGTTACGGCTAATAGCCGAAGTGCGGCTACACCTAGTTTTAGCCGGCTACAACTAGGTGCAGCCCGCTACATGCGGTAAACTTACTCCTTCCCCGCGTCTATACCGCGCTGCCAACTTGACGAACTCTTTAGTGCCTACTCACTGTAGTTTTTACTACAGAGGGACTCTCCACATTAAAAGAAAAGAAATCTTGTTCCGGACTGGCATAGTTTATGGCTTGTCTAGGATAAGATATCTTATCTACCGGGGTGATGATACAAAATCGAATCAATCAGGAAACGCAAGATACGAATCTCAAAATAAAACGAAAATCCTTAACTGAACTGAAAACCTAGTTCTAGCCGATAATAAATAGGATGCACCTAAGTTTAACCTACAGTGTGCGGCTGTACCTAGTTCTAACCGCTATAATGAAGGCTAAACCTAGTTGTAACCGAAGATAAGTAGGGTACACCTAAGTTTAACCGCATGTGGCGGGCTGCTCCTAGTTGTAGCCGGCTAAAACTAGGTGTAGCCGTACTTCGGCTATTAGCCGTAACATATATATAGAATATGGCTGTACTGTATTAAAATGTATGTATGTAACAACTTTGCAACCTGTATTCGCAATAAAGATGATTTGGATTTGGATTTTGGATATATATATCAGGGATGTTACGGAGCTTCGACTCCGGTACCATTAAGTTGGAACTTCCGATTATTATTACACCTTCGGTTACGATTTCGGCTCTGCTCGGAACTTTTAAATCGGAGGTTTTAATCGGAGGTCGGAGCATAGCAACGGCGGCCTGCGTAAACTGTTACGAACTGTTTCATACCTGTCGTGTTGGGAGACTGTATTAATAATAAGTAAAGGAGACCCGACACTTTTCATAGAAAAAATGCTAAACTTGTATACAGTTGAATTTGGTCTCAAAATAAAGCCAAAATTATTTGCTACATAAAACTACTTTTGCCTTATTTTTAGTGAATCGTGGAAAGAAGTTATATAATGATTAATATTTTTTGATATGGAAACCCTATATCTTCAAGGGACAGAATTTTACTTCAAAATATTACTCAAGTGACCATGATTCCTTTTTCTAATTAAAAAACCAAATGTCAATTTGACAATCCTAAAATACAAACAGATTAATCATTCGCATTTCGCATCCGCTCCCGCGTACTGTGATTGTGAATGTTCTCTGCTGTGATTGCCTTTTAGTGCGTTATTTCTCTTGACGACCCGGCTACATATAGAGGTTATATCGACAAACCTACGTATTTGACATTGACACCTAGCTGCTGATGACAAATATTGCCAAACTACGTTACCCAATTATGAAACACAGATAAAAAAATTAAAAAAGTATACAACTTTGGCACTAAATGCCGAGGTTATTTTATGATTAAAATAAAAAAAGGTTGACTGAATAATGTTTTTATTTGTTCTTAAATGAAAAATATCTCTCTTGTGACCACTTCTGACTCTACCTCTGACCCCAACTCTGCCCAAGCGCGGATCCAGGGGGGGGGGTCATGGGGGTCATGCCCCCCCCCCCCCCCCCCCCCCGGGCTGGGTACAGATGGACTAAACCCAGGGGGATTTTTGAAGTTATACTTCTTTAGGCGCGTTATGAAAAAATGATGAGAGTGAAATTTTAAGATGCGCGCGCATCACTGTAACACAAAATTTTAACAGCATGAAGTTGGTCGCTAAAGCGACCAACTTCATGCACTGGTTGCAACTCAATGCACTGGTTGGTTGCTAAAGCGACCAACTTCATGCGTTACTTTTGTGTTTACCGCACATTAAGAAAATCTACCAACAAAATAGAAATAGAATCTCTATTTAGTGGGTGCTAACGACTGCATTGTGAAGGCCTATCAAAAGTATTTATTAATCTGGAACAACGGAACCAAAGCGCGATTCAGGAGACTACAGCGCCATCTCTTGACCATTGGTGTAGTAGAACCAAAAACCACATCTTTATTTTTTGTAATAAAGTAACAGTTATAGGTATTCATATTTATAATATTTATCCACATGTTTCTATTTTGTATATTCGGAATACGTGTTTGAGTTTCATACAAGTGCAAATCACATATGTTCTAATAAATTATATTCAGTAGCGATTTTAATTGAATATTTTGATTATTTATTTATTTTTTCAAATTAAAACTGAACTTTATTGACTGTGTCCTTTTCCAGACTTTTTATTAATTTATTGTAATTAATTATTTGCATGCAATTAAAAACTAATTTTAAACGATGCCAAAGAAGGATAACTTCTCACGCGCCTACATAAGTACACGCACCCATTTTTTTTAAGTACTTTCAATATTTAATATACCACAACTATATGACCCCACACTGGCGCCAAAGCTGGCTATATGACCCCCCTCTGTCGCCAAAGCTGGATCCGCCCTTGACTCTGCCTCCGACTCCGACTACTTCGGCTCCGATAAATTTACCTCCGTTGCATCCCTGATATATATATGATAACATAGGTCAAACTTCAAGCATCTTTGCTTCATACTCCTTCACCTTATTAGGTTCAAATTGAAGCATTCTCTGTAGAAGAAATCTTAGCTTGTCAATTTCTGGCGTATTATTATCGGTAAGAGGGTCAACAACAAATTCAAGCGCATTTTTTGTCAGGAATCACTTTGCCCGATAGTAAATAGGGAAATTGCGCTTAATACTTGTTTAAAAAGTCCTGTAATTGTTTATCTAGCTGGCCCACGGCGCAGACCCTTACCTCAAGAATCAGGAGGGCCAAACAGCGCTAGACTTGTCTGGAGCTGCTGACGTCAGATCTCTGCTGCAAGACGCGATGACGTCACAGCCGCTGGCGCACGTGGTGACGTCACCGCAGCCGCCCCCCGCGCCGCCCCCGCCCCCGCCCCCCGTCCTCATGCCGAGTGGGGGCTGCGCGAGACTACAGCCGCCGGTAACGTATCAAGACGCGATGACGTCACCGCCCCCGCCCCCGCCCCCCGTCCTCATGCCGAGTGGGGGCTGCGCGAGACTACAGCCGCCGGTAACGTATCAAGACGCGATGACGTCACCGCCCCCGCCCCCGCCCCCCGTCCTCATGCCGAGTGGGGGCTGCGCGAGACTACAGCCGCCGGTAACGTATCAAGACGCGATGACGTCACCGCCCCCGCCCCCGCCCCCCGTCCTCATGCCGAGTGGGGGCTGCGCGAGACTACAGCCGCCGGTAACGTATCAAGACGCGATGACGTCACCGCCCCCGCCCCCGCCCCCCGTCCTCATGCCGAGTGGGGGCTGCGCGAGACTACAGCCGCCGGTAACGTATCAAGACGCGATGACGTCACCGCCCCCGCCCCCGCCCCCCGTCCTCATGCCGAGTGGGGGCTGCGCGAGACTACAGCCGCCGGTAACGTATCAAGACGCGATGACGTCACCGCCCCCGCCCCCGCCCCCCGTCCTCATGCCGAGTGGGGGCTGCGCGAGACTACAGCCGCCGGTAACGTATCAAGACGCGATGACGTCACCGCCCCCGCCCCCGCCCCCGCCCCCCGTCCTCATGCCGAGTGGGGGCTGCGCGAGACTACAGCCGCCGGTAACGTATCAAGACGCGATGACGTATGTCCGGGATAAACTCTAAAATTAATGCATGGATTTACTTCAGGCACGAATGAAATATTCGTAAGAAGTCAGGTCAACATATAGGCTACATATTATCACGCTATCACCTACGGGGAACGAGCAGTGAACCTTTATTTCTAACTCCACGCGTACGAAGTCTCGGGCGGCCGTTAGTTTATACTAAACTAATGCCCCGCCCTCGCTTCGCTTCGGTATTTTATCCCCTTGAGGGTAGAATTGATCAAAATCCTTTCTTAGCAGATGCCTACGTCATGACATCTACCTGCATGCCAAATTTCAGCCCGATCCGTCCAGTGGTTTGGGCTGTGCGTTGATAGATCACTATGTCAGTCAGTCAGTCACCTTTGAGTTTTATATGTTTAGATGTTGAGTTCTTATCACAGATATACAGGGAGAATGGAATGAGCAGGCCCTCATCGTCGTCAGCCTATTAATGTTCCCACTGCTGGGGACTGGCCTTCCCTATGGATGGAATAAGGAGATAGGGCCATTACCCACCACGAGGGCCCAGTGCGGGTTGGCGGGTATTAATGACTGCAAATGCAGCCGGGACCAACGGCGTAACGTGCCTTCCGAAGCACTGAGGAACACGAGATAGTAGATTTTTGGTCACCCATCCAATGACCGACCACTGCGAAAGTTGCTTAACTTCAACGATCGCAGCCGACAGCGCTAACCACTTGCCCCATCGAGCTCTTCGATGCATGCCCTGCCCAACTATAAAAAAGTAAATTTGAGTGAAACAAAATAACGATATTTTTCTAGGTGATTGAATTTTATGCGAATACGCTTAGTTCATTATATTGTCTGCGTCTTTGTCGTCTATTGGCTGTTTTTATCTCTCTTTCTAGCTAAATGATTGCTGATTTCCTGCGAATTTGGTTACTTACGGGAGGCCCATAGTTCGCCTATATCCGCCCGGATATTGGAGAGTGGGTTCGAGTCCTGTCTGCTGCCTGGCTGCATGGTTTTTTTTTCTAATGATATTTTAAATCTAAAGAAAAGTTTACTAGAAAAAAATCTACGCGGACCAGGCAGCGGACGGGACCTGGTCCGCGTGGATTTTTTTCTAGTAAACTTTTCTTTAGATTTAAACATCTAGCAGTTAAATGCTTAAAAAATAAAAATAAAATCATAATGATATTTTTTTAAGATTGAAACGTCCGGCAGTTTAATGTTTAAAAAAATGTGAGCCGTTACGGGACGCCTGGCAGATATGAAACACTAGCCGGCTTACGATAAAGACACTCGGAAAATTGCTCGGGATGCGTGCGGTAAAAAATTACAGGTCCTGCCTCGAAGGGCGCTGACGCCGTACTGATCGGCGAGTATTTGAGCACTAGTATCAACGATATTAAATACCCTAGGATACACCAACACGAAGTAAATCGTGCCCGAAACCTGTCCAAAAGGTACATTGAACGATCCACGGAGCTCCGTAAGATGATCGCGTAGTCAAAATCAATATAAGGCATTATTTAAATATTGAAAGTAACCTTTAATACATACTGTATAAGGTTTTAAATAAAACGCACGCGTCAAGGACTTCTGACAATTTGAAATGCAAGCTCGTAAAATTTTACGACTTATTGCTATATGCGGAGGAATTTAGACCTTAGTTCTTTGACTCTACGCGCAATTCTGATCGCGCTGTTAGCAATATAGCAGGCACGGACCGCGAGGAAAAGAGACGACTATATGGCGACGTATAACCGACCATGCATTTGAATATCACATATTTAATATTAAATCAGTTTATAGTAAGTATTAGATCAAAATTTACTTCAAATGCGTTAAATTAACAAACATCGACTAGATACCTGTCGAAAAAACGACACTTTTCGTACTCTAAGTATTATATACCTGTCGAAAAAACGACACTTTTCGTACTCTAAGTATTATTTTCGCATTTTTTCGCGGTGCTCTGTGACATCTTGAGTTTGTAACGGTCCGCGCGTGACTGTGAACCTCTGTGAACCAAGAAGTGCTTGAGTGGAGAGCACTTCTTGATTGGGACACATTTTGAGCGCTCGTGGTGTATCTAAGGTATTTAATATCGTTGATATATTGCATTTTACGGGCGAGCGTTGCCACGCCAGAAATCGACTTTACGTGCGCCAGAAAATGTTTCACATCAAACATATATAAAACTAGTGTGTTGCTTTGACCAGGTGGTCGCCAGCAACTACTGGGCTGAAGGGTCTCGTGGCAGCCTAGAAGACGCGGCAGGCAGACCGGCTTCTGCGCTGTCAACTTCCGAATCTCTACAAGCCTTCCTTGCCAAGTAAATAAATAAAATAATAAATATTTCCAACACTAACCAATTCCAATTTTTTGAAAACTGCTTATATTTAAGGATTGGGACAAACGATTTAACAGAAATCAGAATTCAAATTAAATTAATTAAATTAAAAAAATAGAAGCAGCCGGGACCAACGGCTTAACGTGCCTTCCGAAGCACGGAGAAGCTCGAGATAGTAAAGTTTTTGTCACCCATCCCATGACCGACCACTGCGAAAGTTGCTCAACTTCAACGACCTCAGCTGAACGCGATAACTATTGGCGCCATCGAGCTCCTCAAGTGAAATATATACAATAATTTGATAAATTTATATATATATATATATATATATATATATATATATATATATATATATATATATATATATATATATATATATATATATATATATATATATATATATATATATATATTACTTAAAGTTTTTCGCAATAAATTAAAACTGTAGACCAAGATAAGTTCCCTAAAAACCGGGAGATTTTCTACTAAGTTTAGTAGCGCTCTCCCTGAACTGCCACTCACTTTTATAAAAATCCTTGTCACACTGTGTTTTTGAATAATTATTTCGTTAGGAACTTATGTCAGTGTTGAAGAAGGATATTATATTAACAATCAACAAATTATAATAAGAAATAAATATTTCCAACACTCACACCAATTAGCCTAGCCCCAAAGTAAAGACTGTAAGCTTGTGTTATAGGATACTAGGGTAACGGATAGAATACATATACTGACACATATTTTAGTATATTTATAAAGAAATACATATCAAACATACATGACTGGAGTACAAATGCTCGTATTCATCACACAAACATCTGCCCCCGCCGGGATTCGAACCCGGGACCTCTCGAGTCGGCGACACCATGAAACCTGGCGTGCAAACCACTCAGCCACGGAGGTTCTCAAAAATAAAAAAGTTTATTTCATAACTATATCGCATGTTATTCTCTCATTCCCCATCCAGCATCGGGCTCGAACAGCTATGCTCCGTACTCGAACGAGAACAAATAACCGTGGACATATTGTCTGAAATGTCTCATGAAGACCTGAGGGCTGTGGGAGTCGCCGCGTACGGACACAGACACAGACTGCTGAAGGCGGCCAGACACAGTCTGAGGACTGCCAACGGTGAGTGTACAATGTGTAGATAGATTGATGTCATTATATCCTGTGAACGGACTCAGACACAAACTGCTGAAGGCGGCCAGACACAGTCTGAGGACTGTCAACGGTGAGTGTACAATGTGTAGATAGATTGATGTCATTATATCCTGTGTACGGGCACAGACACAGACTGCTGAAGGCGGCCAGACACAGTCTGAGGACTGCCAACGGTGAGTGTACAATGTGTAGATAGATTGATGTCATTATATCCTGTGTACGGACACAGACACAGACTGCTGAAGGCGGCCAGACACAGTCTGAGGACTGCCAACGGTGAGTGTACAATGTGTAGATAGATTGATGTCATTATATCCTGTGAACGGACTCAGACACAAACTGCTGAAGGCGGCCAGACACAGTCTGAGGACTGCCAACGGTGAGTGTGCAATGTAAAGATAGATTTATGTCATTATATCCTGTGTACGGGCACAGACACAGACTGCTGAAGGCGGCCAGACACAGCCTGAGGACTGCCAACGGTGAGTGTACAATGTGTAGATAGATTGATGTCATTATATCCTGTGTACGGACACAGACACAGACTGCTGAAGGCGGCCAGACACAGTCTGAGGACTGCCAACGGTGAGTGTACAATGTGTAGATAGATTGATGTCATTATATCCTGTGTACGGACACAGACACAGACTGCTGAAGGCGGCCAGACACAGTCTGAGGACTGCCAACGGTGAGTGTACAATGTGTAGATAGATTTATGTCATTATATTCTGTGTACGGACACAGACTGTTGAAGGCGGTCAGACGCAGTCTGAGGACTGCCAACGGTAAGTGTACAATACATACATAGATTTATGTCATTATCCTGTGTACGGACACAGACACAGACTGCTGAAAGCGGCCAGACACAATCTGAAGACTGCCAACAGTAAGTGCACAATACCATTTATTTTTTTCAGATACCTAAGTAATTGGGTTTAAAATAATTTCTCACTAAACTTGTATTGCTTCTCCTAGCAAAACAAAATCTGCGATAAGCGGTGAACTTTTGATTTAATGACACAGCGATCTATTGAAAATCAACTTATAGTCTGTCCATTATATTATTATCTTTTTGACAGATCGATCGAAGTAAAAATAGTGACACCCTATCACATAACTCGTTCGATTTTATGCTAGAACATTGTTTAGTCGATTATAAGTATCGAAATTATTTTAGTTATCAAAAATACTGGTGTTTAATAAATTATTACAAAATCTCATTAGATTTATTATTTTACCTAGTACAAATATTGTGTGCTGAGCACGAGTTGCAACAAAATTCTTCTTTTTGAACATTTTATCAAACGTTAAGTTGAGTAGTCTTTTAAGAACTATCAACCTCCTTTTCATACTTTTTTTTATAACGCGTTTAAAGTGACGTTTTACTGTAAAATAATTTTGTTATTTTATTCTGTCAATAAAAATCGATTGGAAAATTTGCCTACGTATTTTTCTCTCGTGAAATATTTAATTATTTTCACAAGTCATATAGTGTTGATTTGTTACTTTGCATTGAGCAAACCGTTTGTAATCTGTGGCATAATCTTAGTAATCATTATGTGTGGCACATCACTAAGTAGGCGGTACCCGTCCATGAAGTACAATATTTTTAACGTAAACAATACGAAATTTCATGGGCGTCGACCTGTCAAAAAGATAATAATAGAATGGACAAACTATAGTAAAATTTCGATTTTATGTCACAAGGATCGACTGATAATATAGGTTTCTTGAAAGGAGATTGGGCATTTTAGGGATTTTTATCTCTCAATTGTACACTAATGAAAATACTGCCAAAAATCGTTATTTAGTTATTGATGGCTGAATACCAAATTTCAGCAATTTTCGTATCCTCAGAAAAATATGCGATATTTTTAAAATGTAGAATGATTTCCTTTGTGATAAGCCCGCCCGGTGCTTGGTGGCCGATTGCTATACGGGATGTCGGTCGTCTCGCCATCTCAAGTGATATCCGGATCCCGCGTTCCGAAATGTTAACTTAGGTTTCCAATGTTAACCCATTAATGTTATTTACATTGTTAGAACTAGTCCAAGATACGAAAATACATATACAAAGAATAATAGAACATATTATTCGTGTGACTATGATTTATTTACAAAAGACGGTTGAAACAAAAAATCCTTAAATAAAATAATGTATACTACTCGGGGTTCCAGCAAAACGTTTCGGAAAAATCACCGTTGTTCTGTCAATGTGAACAGTGTCTGTCAGTGTCACTGTGGTCACTGTCAGAACTCAGATCTGTCAGTCAGTCGATTTCTCGCTATTGCCGTCTAAATTGATGCTAATGATGTAATGCTAAATAATAAAATGTGTAAACAAATGTTACCTGCAGCATGCTCAACCCCTTTTAGAATTATGAGCGTGGTTATGTGTATGTATGTAGGTAATATTAAGTATAGAGTAGCATAATAGCGGTTATGTACATATATTTCTTTAAAGTCCAATAACTTTACTCAGAGAGTACGGATTTTGAAGAAATAAAAAAAATCCTAAAAGTATTAAATATAAGCAATATTTTTAAGCTTATTTGATTGATGTACAAAAATCTTTAGTTCGTCCCCAAGCTCCATACTAAGATGCCCAATCTCCTTTCGATCAAATGGCAAAACGATATATCGGGTATTCGGTTAATTTTCACCATTGTGCGTCAATGGCGAACTCCAGGCCCTTACCAGTTGGACTGACGACTTCAAGCGACTCGGGGAGACCCACTGCATGCGGAAAACTCAGGATCGTTGTGTTTGTAGATACATAGAGGAGGCCTTTATCCTTCAGTGCACGTCCATCGGTTGATTATGATGATGATGATAATGATGAATAATATTTTGTTGACAGAATGGTATGGCGGCACCACCCTTCTGGACGTCAGCACCACTGCGGAAGGAGATTGTGACAGCGAGTACACGATCGTCGAGAGAGAGATGCAGGTATTACAGCGTAATCGCTCTTACAATGTTAGGAATAAATATGTTCTTAACTGATTAAAAAAAAAGAGGTAGATTACATTTTGAGAGAAGATGCTAGCCAAGTTGTACTGACTACGACACCACTATTGCATTAGGATTATTCCTGTAAAAATAGCTAAATGTTTTAAATAAATTCAATCAATATTCAAGATGCTACAAATCAATCGCATAGTTGCATATTCTAAAAATTCAAAACGTAATTCTAATTTTATCCAAAACATCTATCTATATATATAAAACTCAAAGGTGACTGACTGACTGACATAGTGATCTATCAACGCACAGCCCAAACCACCGGGCTGAAATTTGACATGCAGGTAGATGTTATGACGTAGGCATCCGCTAAGAAAGATTTTGATCAATTTTACCCCCAAGGGGATAAAATAGGGAATGAAAGTTAGCATGAAACTTTGTCAATTTTAAACCGATCGGGCTGAGACTTTGCATAAGAAGGATTTGCAGGTATAAGAAGAATCATAGATGAATGTCATTGTGTATAATATAAGCCTGAGAACAAAAACTGTAGTCTACACTGCAGCTCTACACCGCTAGTGATTACATAAACTTTAAACTAAATTTAACATCAGTCTCTCCTTTTCATTCTGTATAGAGAATAATAATAATAATCTTTATTTCGACCAGCATATGTAAGTAAAATTATGTCTTATAAACAACGATATCAAATACCATAGATACACCAACACGAACATAATCATGGCCGAAACCTGTCCAAAAGGTACATGGACAATCCACTGAGCTCCGTAAGATGATCGCGTAGTCAAAAACGATACAAGGCATTTTTTGAACATTGAAAGTCACCTTTAATGCAAACTGTATAAGGTCTTAATTAAAACGCATGCGTTAAAGAGGTATGACAGTTCGGAATGCAAGCTCGTAAAATTTTACGACTTATTGCTATATGCGGAAGAATATAGACCTTATTTCATTGACTTTGCACGAAATTTTGAATGCGCTGTTACCAACACAGGAGATACGGACCGCGAGGAAAAGAGACGGCTATATTACCGACCATGCATTTGAATATCACAATTATTTTCTATTAAATCAGTTTATAGTCAGTATTACCAACAAAATTTGCTTTAAATGCGTTAAATTAACAAACATTGATAAGATACCTGTCGCAAAATTACACTTTACGTACTATAAGTATTTTTTTCGCATTTATTCTCGGAGGTCTGCGGCATCTTTACTTTTTAACGGTTTGCGCGTGACTGTGAACCAAGAAGTGCTTGAGTGGTGTTCAAGTGTGTCTTACTGTGGCCACAATTCCAACGCGTACATAGAAATTTGGTGACTCATTTCTTTGTCGCACTATCCGTAAATTGAATGCTCTGCCCGCTCACGTGTTCCCTCCCTCTTACAACCTGGGATCCTTTAAAAGAGGCGTGAAGAAGCAACATGCAGGCCGGCAGGGTGAGGATGGCTGGTGTGGCAGGCAGATCTGCTGTATCAGCTATCTTCGCGACTGGACTTCACCTTCACTTAACATCAGGTGGGGTGGAGTCATTTGTCGGACCTATCTATAAAAAAAAAAGCACTTCTTGATTGGGACACATTTTGAGCGCTCGTGGTGTATCTAGGGTATTCAATATCGTTGCTTATAAACTATAGGCACCATATATAAGCTTAAAAATATATAAGACAATCTTTAGCATCTGCTGCCGAATTAGGATTTTCATCTTATTTTTCAGCATTCAGAATGCCCCAATCCGTAGAATGACAAGGATACACTGTTGTCAAATTTAATTTTATCTTAAGAGATGTTGAGTAGTTTAAAAATCTAAACGTACAGACAACGGGAGCGACTTTCATCATCATCATCAGCCTCTTTATGTCCCCACTGCTGGGGCACAGGCCTTCCCTATGGATGGAATAGGGAAATTGGGCCTTGACCCACCACGCGGGCCCAGTGCGGATTGGCGGGTGCTAACGATTGCAGATGCAACCGGGACCAACGGCTTAACGTGCCTTCCGAAGCACGGAGGAACTCGAGATAGAAATTTTTGGTCACCCATCCAATGACCGACCACTGCGAAAGTTGCTTAACTACAACGATCGCAGCCGAACGTGCTAACCAGCTCATCGCCATCGAGCCATCGAGCTCCTCAGGAGGAGGAGCGATTTTGTATTTTATTTTATTTTTTGATGTGTAACTTCTTTCCTCTCGCTTTCCTGCAATTTGTGGGAGTGATTACGTGAAGTGGGACGGAAGTGTGTAACAGGAAGTTTGGGAAGCGTGCGCTTTTTAATTTGAATTTAGAACATAATGTTCAAATGGCTCAGTCCTATTGTAGTAGGTTTTATTTCTTTTTTACTAATATAAGGTGAGGTTTCAAATGTTACACATCATACGCGACTACTGTAAGGCTCGCTCGTTTTTATTTATTTATTATCTTAGAACAGCTTATGGAAATAAAAATAACAGCAAAAAACATTACTAAAAGCTATTGACAAGCTAACACATATATATTACCACATATGTATATATATTAGAGCTATTAACGAAAATCGGAGACTCATAAAAAACAAGGTACATGGTAACAATCCCGTTAATAGCTGTAATGTTAGTGACCATGCAAGTTTAAAACAATATATATATATTTATAAATATAAAATGTATGTGTATTTGTTTGTGTATGTATGAAATTTACGCCGCCGTCTCTCCCACTTCCTTCTAATCCTCTCCATCCAAAGGTTGTATGGAAGAGATCGCTTTTAGCGATAAGGCCGCCCATTGTAACACTTAATTAGAACTTACCGGTGTCGGTAGCGTTGTAAAGTATCTGAGTATTTGACGACCTCCTTGGTCGAGTGGTTTGTACGCCGGGTTTCATGGTGACGCCGACTCGAGAGGTCCCGGGTTCGAATCCCGGTGGGGGCAGATGTTTGTGTGATGAATACGAGCATTTGTACTTTAGTCATGGATGTTTCATATGTATTTCTAAATAAAAATATACTTATATATGTACAGTATATGTATTCTATCCGTTACCCTAGTATCCCATAACACAAGCCTCACAGTGCTTACTTTGGGGCTAGGCTAATTGGTGTGAGTGTTGGAAATATTTATTTATTTATTTAGGTTTGCCTATGTATTAAAATTTCTCTTATTGTATTGTTTTTTCTTTTAATTTAATTTTTTTTGCCCCTTTTTGTCTTTTTCTTATCTAATTATCAGGAAAACATTTGCCTTGTGTTCCGCACAACCTCCCTTACTCGCTTACCTTATTTTATTTCCAGCTCATTGGGTTATCACTCACACGTACAAATACACACACACTCGACATAAACACACACACATAAAACGACACAAGACTTTCGTATTATTGTTTTAAAACTATGTAAAAAAATTATGATTTATTATTCTTTGATATAATGTGCTAACATTTATAAGTCCATTTTTTTGTTTAAACATTAAGATCGATAAGCAAACTGTAATTTTAGGTATGGAAGAGCGGAGTCACCTGTCACAGGCATTATTTGCTTAAAAGGTGGCTTCAATCATGAGTATAGAATGTAACTAAACCATGTTAAAGAAAATAAAAAAAAAAATATTATTATTATTATCTGGAAGAAATCGCTCATTAGCGATAAGACCGCCCTTTGTGTAATGTTGTATTTTTCTACTTGTTTTGTTACTGTGTTGTGCAATAAAGAGTTTTTATCGTATCTTATATTAATTAATTGGCTCTGTATTTATTGTAACTAGCAAACCCGTGAACCAAATGTTCACCAAAACCTGATTATTTAATTAATTGAGAACTTCGGAGATTTTGTGTGGTTTCGTTTGAAATTCGTGATTTCTCGAAAACCGGAAGTGCTACGTTACTCAAATCCGGTTTGTAGTCTTATCAGACTATTCTTAACTTATAACTTAAACATTCTCTTTATCTATCTCTTACGGTTTGGCCGCTGAAACAGCACCACAGACGGACGGACGGACGGACGGACTTGTCTAATAGATAAGAGATGTTTTCTGTGGTGTTTAATAAAGTTGTGGCGGCGACATCTATATGCCCCACAGATATACAACGGATATAACAAATCATTACTCACCATACTCAAGACCTTACATTACCTGCACTGCGATCAATATTAGTATGGAAGCCTACATCGCGCAAATGAAATTCGAAGGCTAACTCTTCATATATACGATTCCCGACCAACATCAGTCGGGCCGCGGCCCCCGAGCTACCTTCACCCAGCTCGGAGGAAGATCTTCCCCTTTGGCCTTCCTACAAAGTGTTTTGTATTGTATTGTATTAGCCTGTATAATGATGTGTAATCCTTTTTTATCCTCAGGCGTCTGTGCGAGCTCACCGAGACCATGCGGGTGGCCAGTTCAGTTGCTACAAAGTAGTCAGGGTAAGTTAGTATTCATCATTAGCCTTTTAATGTCCCCACTGCTGGGGCACAGGCCTTACCTATGGATGGAATAGCAGGATTGGGCCATGACCCACCACGCGGGCCCAGTGCGGATTGGTGGGTGTTAAAGACTGCAGAAGCAGCGAGGTATAGTTAATTAATTTTTGGTCACCCATCCAATGACCGACCATTGCGAAAGTTGCTTAGCTTCGACGACGCCGCCGACCGCGCTAAACACTTGCGCCATCGAGCTCTCCAAATACAAAGTTTATTAATTTTAGTATTTTAAATCAAAATTTAAATCATTGTGTAATTTAAATTTACTTAAATAATATACATATTATTATACTAGCTGTCCCAGCGAACTTTGTACCGCCATAAAAAAATAGGGATTGGTGGTAGAAGGGTAAAAATTTAGGGTTGTATGTATTTGTGTATGATGTATCATAAAAAAAATAAAAAAAACATATATATCTAAAATAAAAAAAAAAATAGGGGTTAACCCTTAACATTTAGGGGGATGAAAAATAAATTACATCCGATTCTCAGACCTACTGAATATGCATATAAAATTTCACGAAAATCGGTCGAGCCGTTTCGGAGGAGTTTAACCACAAACACCGCGACACGAGAATTTTATATATTAGAAGATATTGTTTGTGTTTGTATGTTAAGGAACTCCAATGTACTCTCAGAGGTGGGCGTTAATAGTTGCGACACAGTTTTTATAACTAATGCAATTATTATCGTGCACATTAATTGTATTCACTGCCTTTGTTCTGTTGATTTGAATTAACAATTTGCAAAAATTAATCTCTTAAATAATAGTTTATAGTATGCCTAATATTCATTATGGTCATGTCTAAGCCTCTGTGTCTACGACTGTGAACCACAGAGGTTTAAGCGCCATCTTCCTTCAGTAATATTTCACTCATCATCATCATCAGCCTATTAATATCCCCACTGCTGGGGCACAGGCCTTCCCTATGGATGGAATAGGGCGAATTGGCCATGACCCACCACACGGACCCAGTGCGGATTGGCGGGTGCTAACGACTGCAGATGCAGCCGGGACCAACGGCTTAACGTGCCTTCCGAAGCACGGAGGAACTCGACATAGATAATTTTTGGTCACCCATCCAATGACCGACCACTGCGAAAGTTGCTTAACTTCAACGATCGCAGTCGAACGCGCTAACCACCCGCGCCATCGAGCTCCTCATTAGATTTTTCACAAGTGCAGCCATATAAATACTACTCTTTGAGTGCAGCCCTCACTTTGTGTCGGACAGTGCTAGGGAACAGACGTATACCTTCTTGGCGACGAAGTGAATATAGTACAGTTAATTTTGTCAGTGAAATAAGTGTTTCAATAGGGATGATGACTATTTTTTTTCTTCGTTTATCAGGTAGATTATCAAAAAGTATTGGACACGTATTTTTTCTTTTTTCACATAATATAAACATTGCAGAGATATATTGATTTGAAAAGTCGCATGACGTCACGTTTTGGTATTTTCACTTCAAAGTGACTTCACGAGCCCCTACTCCCAAACTTTGACGCGCTATAACTTTGTCATTTTTTGGTTGATTGCCCAAGAGAAAAAATACGTGTCCATTATTTTTTGATCATCTAACTGACGGACTAAGGGGGCGTCCATAAATTACGTGAGATGTTTAAGGGGGGAGGGGGTCGAGTCAAATCTCATCTAATCTTATGTTGTATCTTATATATGTCTCGGCAAATATCACGCAATTTTTTTTTTTATTGAAACAAAAAAAAATGTACAATTTGCTCCATTTAGTCCAGATTGTACATGCTTAAGATTTAAATTCTCAGCAATATTGGTTACTAGTCTTAAATAGGTAGTCGTAAATAAAAGTACGAAGCATTTTTTTTTTCTTTTTACAATATCAATCCAACGCGTTTACCTAAGAAACCCACATTATGAAAAATCTCACGTGAGATTGGGGGATGGGGGCCCTCCCCCATAATGTTTGAATAAAATCTCACGACATCTCACCAGGGGGGGAGGGAGGAACAGACGCCCCCTAAATAGAATTTCGTTTACTGTACCCCGTCATCACCTCTATTACCCATAATCTCCTAAATGTTCCAATAAAATATATTTCAGTTCATTTATTTATTTATTTATATGCATCGTCTTTTCAATTTAGATACAAAAAATAGCGAACGGCCGCCTATGGGAACGCTACCAGCATAGAAGAAAAGAGGTCTCCGAAGAAGCGAGCGGTCCCAACGAACGAATGTTATTCCACGGGTCCCCCTTCATAAACGCCATCGTTCAGAAGGGATTCGATGAACGACACGCCTACATAGGTACGTTGGACCAATAATAGGGTATTTGACAGTATTAAAAATAAAGTGCCAATTGTTAGCATCTGTGTTTACAATGAATAAGTTTGGGTTTTTACTATTTTTAGAAAAAATATATTCATAATTTTACTAAAAACCCACGAGAAAAAAATAAAATAAAAATAGTTTTCTCATCTATTGTCACGTGGCCCAAAACGCTTGGGATTGGCGGAGCCTAAAATGACGTCACACGCAAGTAAACTTCCGGTTAAAGTGACATTACATTGTATCGTTTGACGTTTTAATAGCAGTCGTGTGACGTCACATACTAGTAAGACGCCATATTGTCCAGTGAAACGTTTTCGCGGCAACTTGAAAATTGAGTTTTTGATTTGGTTATTTTTACTGAAATACACAACAGAATGATGAATATCCTTTTTACGGACTCCATAAATATTAGTCAATAACGTGAGATCGTTTTCTAAAACTTATTAAGAGCCTTTTTTCAAAATTGCGCCGCTGCCGTACTGATCGGCGCGTAGGTAGATTTTCACTAGTATATATTGCATTTTACGGGTGATTTCGAGTCTTATAAAATAGTTATTAATGAACTAATCATAAAAATTTCTACATATTTCAGTAGTTCCATGATGGTAGATTAATTTTATGAAAGTTTTCGATAGTAATTCTATTTAATTCAAAATCAAAATACGAGGTAAACCTGCATATTTTTTGACGTGACAACGTTTTAAATTAGGTTGCGGCTGGGAGTCACTTATGAAAAAGTGTAACGCTCGGTAACGTTACGATGAGTCTCTCGTGTTAAGTTTAAGTTTACATGTACAATGTTTTAGTAAACAAAATATATTTCTATAGTTAAAATTTGTGCAATTCTTATTTTCATTCAATTCCTTGTTCCTATTGTGCAATTTAATTATATTCTAGTAATATAAGTTATTTACGGGATTGTTACCATGTACCTTGTTTTTAGCGAGTTTCCGATATTTCGGCACTGTTGCAAGCGCCATGATCACGGAGTAACTGAAGTAATTGCGGGTAGGCTGTTATTGGCAGACATATCGGTCTACCCTCCGACGAAGTCTTTTATTGCGACCCGTACCACTGTTCACATTCTCACTATTCACTCGAAACTGTTCTCGACACACAACACTTACAGTATCGGATCGCGACACGACACTTTTTTGATTATTTCCGGTTTTACACATACGAACCACAGGATTCCAGACACTCGACAATTTAAACCCGTCCTCACGATTGAAATTTTTATGTTTTGTTATTTCAATCGCTTCCCTGACCAATCTTGGTATGTAGTGGCGTTCTGTCGAGATAATCTGAGATGGAAGAAGACAGAAGTCTGGCCTTTCTGGACGTGAAGATTCGGGTGAGGAATGACGGTTCGCTTGGTCATTCCATTTACCGCAAATCAACACACACTGACCGCTATCTCAACGCCTCCTCGCATCACCACCCTAAACATCTTAAGTCTGTAATGACTTCACTGACGAACCGTGCATATGACCTGTGTGATGAGGAACATCTTCAAGAAGAGTTGGAGCATGTACGACGAGTCTTACAGAGTAATGGATACCAGGGACATTTTCCATCAAGACACAAACTAAGACACCACAGACACAGAGTAGACAGACAACCTGTTTATTTACCATACGTCAAAGGAGTGACTGACAAGATCTCAAACATACTGAATAAGTACTCACTAAACACTGTCTTCACTCCTGTGCGAAAGGTTTCACAATACCTACGGTCTCCTAAAGACAACTTCCCCTTGGAGAAACCTGGTGTCTATAAGATCGATTGCAGCTGTGGCAGTTCGTACATTGGCCAAACAAAGCGAACAGTATCATGCCGAATGAGGGAACACATAAAAGCAATCAAGAACAACGATACGCAGAAATCAGCCATCGCGGAACATTTGATTGATTCTGGTTCTAACCACTGGATTGAGTTTCATAACCCACAGATTATCTCGACAGAACGCCACTACATACCAAGATTGGTCAGGGAAGCGATTGAAATAACAAAACATAAAAATTTCAATCGTGAGGACGGGTTTAAATTGTCGAGTGTCTGGAATCCTGTGGTTCGTATGTGTAAAACCGGAAATAATCAAAAAAGTGTCGTGTCGCGATCCGATACTGTAAGTGTTGTGTGTCGAGAACAGTTTCGAGTGAATAGTGAGAATGTGAACAGTGGTACGGGTCGCAATAAAAGACTTCGTCGGAGGGTAGACCGATATGTCTGCCAATAACAGCCTACCCGCAATTACTTCAGTTACTCCGTGATCATGGCGCTTGCAACAGTGCCGAAATATCGGAAACTCGCTAAAAACAAGGTACATGGTAACAATCCCGTAAATAACTTATATTACTATAATGTTAGTGACCATGAAAGTTTAAAACAATATATTGTTAACCGGTACGGGCCGGATACGTCTCAATTAATAAAACACCTAGAACGCGCGCGGAAAAAGTGTGAGTGTTTAAAGGAATCACTGTCTTTCCTGGTGAAGTGTCGTGATTCGGACATTATCCCTATATGCGTTAGGATAAAACCACGACCAGACATTCATGGTTCCGCGAGTATTCTGCGAAACGCGAGTGTAAAACTATTGCGAAAATCGATTCGTAACTGTAGGTACCACTTAGACAAAAGTCAGCGTGAATTATACGAAATCCATCTGAAGTGCAGTGAAACTCTTTCGACAAGTGACTTTGATATTTGCGATCGTGTTACATACTTACAAGCTCAACGTACCAGGGAACTAAGCGCTATAAAACAAGATCGTAAGTTCGAGTTGTTGTTACAAAGACAAAAGCCGGATGTCCCCTACCACGAGAACTCACTACCAACTCGAACGGTAATCAATATGTCAAGTATTGAGTTGTCCGACGCTGCACAGTCTGTTCTTGAAAGAGGGATGAATTTCGCCGTTACACCTAGACGTATTCCCTATGAGGAAGTGATTGGGTCAGTTGAAGAGGGTGTCATACGTAATAAAATACCAGCAGTAGATGCGGATACGCTCAGGCAAGATGTCGCTGTGGTGTTACGTCATGCGAGGCCACCAAGACCGAACATTACTTCTTCCGAATCAGTGGCCTTGAGAGATCTTCATAAGAACAAGAATATACTAGTACTAAAAGCTGATAAAGGGAATGCGACAGTCATAATGAATACCAGTGAGTATGAAAACAAAATCCAGAGTCTACTCACTGACGAACACATATACAAGAAGGTGAATTACAACCCAACGGCAAGGACAGATCGTAACACTCGCTCACTCATAAAAGAATGCGCCCACGCTTTAGACGATGACATTGTCAAATATTTATTACGTCCTAGGAACATCCAGCCTCCAAAACTATATGGTCTGCCGAAAATCCATAAGCCAAATGTGCCCCTACGTCCGATCGTGAGTCAGATAGACTCACCTACATATGAACTGGCCAAGCACGTGGCAAAAGTATTGCAGCCGATAGTGGGACGAACGTCGTCGTTTGTGAAGGATTCCCGCCATTTCATAGAAATCTTACACCAAAACAAGGTAGATGAAAATCAGTTGATGGTCAGTTTTGACGTAGAATCGCTGTTCACAAATGTACCTGTGTTGGATTGTCTGGAAGTGGTGAAGGTGAAGTTGCAAGAAAATGACATCCCGAAGGAATATGCCAAGCTGTTGCATCATTGTTTGTCGATGAATTTCTTCATATATCAGGGTCAGTACTACCTCCAAATAGATGGGGTCGCAATGGGCAGTCCCGTGGCTCCAGTGGTTGCCAATATATGGATGGAGCATTTTGAAGAAAAATCATTTATCACCGCACCCACAGAAATAAAACTATGGAAGAGGTATGTCGATGACGTATTCTGTATATTAAGAGGTAACAAACATGATGTCGAGTCTCACTTGGCAAATTTAAATGGTATCCATTCTAAAATCAACTTTACCTATGAGATGGAAGAAGACAGAAGTCTGGCCTTTCTGGACGTGAAGATTCGGGTGAGGAATGACGGTTCGCTTGGTCATTCCATTTACCGCAAATCAACACACACTGACCGCTATCTCAACGCCTCCTCGCATCACCACCCTAAACATCTTAACTCTGTAATGACTTCACTGACGAACCGTGCATATGACCTGTGTGATGAGGAACATCTTCAAGAAGAGTTGGAGCATGTACGACGAGTCTTACAGAGTAATGGATACCAGGGACATTTTCCATCAAGACACAAACTAAGACACCAGAGACACAGAGTAGACAGACAACCTGTTTATTTACCATACGTCAAAGGAGTGACTGACAAGATCTCAAACATACTGAATAAGTACTCACTAAACACTGTCTTCACTCCTGTGCGAAAGGTTTCACAATACCTACGGTCTCCTAAAGACAACTTCCCCTTGGAGAAACCTGGTGTCTATAAGATCGATTGCAGCTGTGGCAGTTCGTACATTGGCCAAACAAAGCGAACAGTATCATGCCGAATGAGGGAACACATAAAAGCAATCAAGAACAACGATACGCAGAAATCAGCCATCGCGGAACATTTGATTGATTTTGGTTCTAACCACTGGATTGAGTTTCATAACCCACAGATTATCTCGACAGAACGCCACTACATACCAAGATTGGTCAGGGAAGCGATTGAAATAACAAAACATAAAAATTTCAATCGTGAGGACGGGTTTAAATTGTCGAGTGTCTGGAATCCTGTGGTTCGTATGTGTAAAACCGGAAATAATCAAAAAAGTGTCGTGTCGCGATCCGATACTGTAAGTGTTGTGTGTCGAGAACAGTTTCGAGTGAATAGTGAGAATGTGAACAGTGGTACGGGTCGCAATAAAAGACTTCGTCGGAGGGTAGACCGATATGTCTGCCAATAACAGCCTACCCGCAATTACTTCAGTTACTCCGTGATCATGGCGCTTGCAACAGTGCCGAAATATCGGAAACTCGCTAAAAACAAGGTACATGGTAACAATCCCGTAAATAACTTATATTACTATAATGTTAGTGACCATGAAAGTTTAAAACAATATATTAATTATATTCATATCAATAAATATTCTACCGAGAAAAAGACGTTGTCACGTAAAATCTTCGCCCGTAAAACCGACTTTACAGGCAACCATTTTTTTTAGGTTAGGTCAGATGTTTTTTTTTTGATAATTAATGAGATGGAAATACAAAATTCTAATACATTATTTTATAATAAAAACATACTTCTGATGTCGTAGTAATTAATTTGATCTAATTGATTGAACATTATTCAGAGATTTTATTAGTATTAGTAATAATATATTCATAGTAATATTTTCTTCCGTTTTAAATCATCGAGCAGTTACATGCTTAAAAAATTAAAATCTCTTATCTATTAGACAAGTCCGTCCGTCCGTCCGTCCGTCCGTCCGTCCGTCCGTCCGTCCGTCCGTCCGTCCGTCCGTCCGTCCGTCTGTCTGTGGTGCTGTTTCAGCGGCCAAACCGTAAGAGATAGATAAAGAGAATGTTTAAGTTATAAGTTAAGAATAGTTTGATAAGACTACAAACCGGATTTGAGTAACGTAGCACTTCCGGTTTTCGAGAAATCACGAATTTCAAACGAAACCACACAAAATCTCCGAAGTTCTCAATTAATTAAATACATTTTTTTTTAAATCCGGTTTTGGTGAACATTTGGTTCACTGGTTTGCTAGTTAGTAATAATACTAACAAACCAGTGAACCAAATGTTCACCAAAACCTGATTTCTCGAAAACCGGAAGTGCTACGTTACTCAAATCCGGTTTGTAGTCTTATCAGACTATTCTTAACTTCGTCTTAAATAGCACCACAGACAGACGGACGGACTTGTCTAATAGATAAGAGATATTCATAGTAATATTTTCTTCTGATTTAATCATCGAGCAGTTACATGCTTAAAAAATTAAAATTATATGTAATGTTTATGTTAATATTTATGATTTTATTTATTTTTTAAGCATTTAACTGCTAGATGTTTAAATCTAAAGAAAAGTTTACTAGAAAAAAATCCACGCGGACCAGGCAGCGGACGGGACTCGAACCCGCATCCTTCGCTATCCGGGCGAATGCACTGGCCATTATGCTAGCATGGGCTATTATAGGGTCGTGGTAGCATAATGGTCAGTGCATTCGCCCGGATAGCGAAGGATGCGGGTTCGAGTCCCGTCCGCTGCCTGGTCCGCGTGGATTTTTTTCTAGTAAACTTTTCTTTAGATTTATGTTAATATGTTATCATCAGGGGGTATGTTCGGTGCGGGAATATATTTCGCGGAACATTCGTCGAAGAGCAACCAGTACGTTTACGGGTTCGGAGGAGGCTCCGGCTGTCCCACACACAAGGACCGCAGCTGCTACCTATGTCATAGGTGAGAAGGTTCAATTTTCCAAAAAAAGTGATATACACACCAGATGCTATGCATTTGACGACATGACGACCTCCGCCACCGAGTGGTTTGTACGCCGGGTTTCATGGCTGTCGCCGACTCGAGAGGTCCCGGGTTCGAATCCCGGCGGGGGCAGATGTTTGTGTGATGAATACGAGCATTTGTACTCCAGTCATGGATGTTTAATATGTATTTCCATATAAATATACTTATATATGTACAGTATATGTATTCTATCCGTTACCCTAGCATCCCATAACACAAGCCTTATAGTGCTTACTTTGGGGCTAGGCTAATTGGTGTGAGTGTCGGAAATATTTGTTTGTTATTTATTTATTTATTTGCTTTTATTAAGGGCTACGGTACAAACATTTATTTGGAAAAATTATCATCGAACACAATAGGGTATTTGACAGTGTTAAAAATAAAGTGCCAATTGTTAGCATATGTGTTTAGAATGAATATTGGCAGGGGTTTTTTCTATTTTTCCAATAAAAATATTCATAATTTTACTAAGAACTAACGAAAAAGATAATAGTTTTCTTATCTATTGTCACGTGACCCAAAACGCTTGGGATTGGCCGAGCCTATAATGAAATCACGCGAGTAAATCTCCGGTTAAAGTGATATTACATTGTATGGTTTGACGTTTTAATAACAGTCGTGTGACGTCACACACTAGTAAGATGCCATATTGTCCAGAGAAACGTTTTCGCGGCGATCTGAAAATGGAGTTTTTGATTTGGTTACTTTTACTGAAATACACAACAGAATGATGAATGCCAACTTTTTACGGACTCCATAAACATTAGTCAATAAAGTGAGATCGTTTTCTAAAACTTGTCAAATACCCTATTACATCATCATCAGCCTATTAATGTCCCCACTGCTGGGGCACAGGCCTTCCCTATGGATGGAATAGGGAGATTGGGCCATGACCCACCACGCGGGCCCAGTGCGGATTGGTGGGTGCTAACGACTGCAAATGCAGCCGGGACCAACGGCTTAACGTACCTTTCGAAGCACGGAGGAGCTCGAGATAGTAAATTTTTGGTCACCCATCCAATGACCGACCACTGCGAAAGTTGCTTAACTTCAACGATCGCAGCCGAACGCGCTAGCCACCTGCGCCATCGAGCTCCTCACCCTATTACAACCCATAGTTTATTTGGTTATGAAAATCTGTACGGTAACTTACGGCCACGATAAATGACTGAGCCGTCTTTACCAGAGTCATTATAATAAAATATTAATAATAATCGATTACTCATAACCCAACATTTTAAGTACTTATTAGTCCAATAATGTCTACAAGTATACATATAAAAAGCTCAAGAAATGGACCCCTAACCCAGAAACTAGCAAATAACAAAAAACACGTTAAACACTGTCTGACCACTCGGTTAAAATCAATATTTATAATAATAATATTATAATAAATCTTTATTCAATATCAATTATTACATGTAAATGACTTAAATTTAAGAAATACATAATGAGAAAAAAACTACTCAGCCTGAACTAGGATAGTCCTGTGTTTCAGGCAAAAATATCTTAATATAAATCTGCTTTAAAAAATCAAAAGCACAATATAATGATTTGGTACGTAGAGCTTTTGCCACGGTTTCTATACCGGCTACATTAGAACCATGTGGTCAGTGGCGGCGCTCGCGGCTGAGGGGGCCTCGCAAAAATTTTTTACAAGTTACCTATTTATTTTCGTTTCTCCTGGCCTGGCTTAGGTAGCCGACCCCGAACAATTCGGGGAAATAGCTAAGCAGATGATAATGACTTTTATTATTTTCGAACACGTGCGTGATGGAAGCGAGTAGTACTTTACAGGTATTCAGAATCGTCTGTCTGGCAACACTACTTTTGTAATTAAATTTCTGTTTTTTTTTATTTTTTTTTTTGGCATCATTTGATTATCAACAGTAAAACTCGTTTACTCATACGTTATTTTATAATTTGGCTCACTTAATTTAACGGTTTTTTACTGTGAAGTAAAATAGGCCTCGCGAACTTGATGTCGCCGACGTCCACATGTGGTCTGGCGCCGCCACTGCATGTGGTCTATATAGAGATGATGGCAGGAGACCTGACGGTGCTACGCTTGTACCGTGGAGACTGGGCCGCACTCTGGTGTGAGATGTAACTTGCGTTGACACGCTGGCTCCTTCTTATTTTTTTTTTTTTTTATCTCCAACACACACCAATTTAGCCTAGCCCCAAAGTAAGCACTGTAAGGCTTGTGTTATGGGATGCTAGGGTAACGGATAGAATACATATACAGTACATAGTATATTTATATAGAAATACATATTAAAACATCCATGACTGGAGTACAAATGCTCATGTTCATCACACAAACATCTGCCTCCACCGGGATTCGAACCCGGGACCTCTCGAGTCGGCGACACCATGAAACCCGGCGTACAAACCACTCGGCCACGGAGGTCGTCAACGTATACATGAAACTTGTACTAAAGTTGGGGCCGCAGCCAACCGTGCTCAGTTTCTCAAGCGTCGTAAATACTCTTCTATAACCGAAGATTATGAGTTTGCGGCGTTAGCTTTCGAGACGTTAGGATCATGGTCGGCTGACATGAAGCGGTTTATGAAGGACGAGTGGCCCGCCCTCGCTTCGCTTCGGTGTAGAGCTGTAGTGTAAACTATAGTTTTTGTTCTCAGGCTTGTGTTATAAACAATAACTTTATTTATATAATTACACGTGTTATTGTGATTCAACCATAAAAGATAGACATATGCTGTTGCGGGATATTTTTTAGACAATTTCATGTATAATATTTCCGTCATACATGATTTCTATGTAACTTTAACCATTAAAGCTTCACACGCGACGGAAGCTTAACAAATGGAGTAACTTCTCCCGTTTTTCCAATATTTCCCTTCACTACTCTGCTCCTATTGATTGTAGCGTGATGAAAAGTATACTATAACCTGCCCAGGAGTATGAAGAATAATTGTACCAAGTTTCGTTAAAATCCGTCGATTTAAGTAGTCGTAGTTTTTGCTTCTATAAGGAATATACAGACAGACAGACAGACCGACAAAAATTTTACTGATTGCATTTTTGGCATCAGTATCGATCACTAATCACCCCCTGATAGTTATTTTGAAAATATATTTCATGTACAGAATTGACCTCTCTACAGATTTATTGTAAGTATAGATATGTCGAATCGACTGATTCTCTCTTCGGGTGATCAGAGGGCTGGCAGCTATTTCGCGCAGAGAATCAGTTTAGCCGTTCAGCGAGGTAATGCAGCCAGTGTTCTGGGTACCATGCCCCAAATTGGAATTTTGGATGACATATTCCTCTTGTGAATATGTATATTAATATTTTACAGTTAATTATTAATGATAAGTTTTTAGTTTGATATTGTTGAAACGTAATTATAGTTATTTGAATAAACACAGTAATTAAAAAAAAAGCACAATCAAAAAAGGCAGTAACAAAAAACAAAATATACTTAATTGAATTTAAACGTTTTAATAAATATGATATGCAAATTTATTTGAAGGGTTTTTTGTAGGATTTCTTTGGTGGTTTTAATATTCAGCGGAAAAATATAAATTAAACCAGAATTTCATTTCGGACAAGACTTAAACAATAGTTATACTAAAGTGCCTGAGTGAATATGCAGTATGTAACTATTGTTCTACAGTAAAACAGACGTGTACAATCCTTATGTCAAAAAAGTTTTTATTGGTAACGAGATTGCTAGTAACACGTGCATAACAGACGTATACGCTAGCGTTTATTATTATTAGTAAACCTGTTATTGTAACACAAAAGAAATATTTTCTATCTGTCTGTTGAACTTTAATTGTAACACAAGCTTTACACCGTTCTGGCAGGCTAGGCTGTATATTAAATCTCATACACAAACGAAGATTTATGGATTTAAGCTTACATAGGGAATATTTTACAAAATTATTTACATTATGAAGTAGGCGTGCGTTCGTTAACTATTATAAGAGTATAATTAAATTTCATCTACCCACCTCTCCCCACAGACAAATGCTCCTATGCCGAGTGACGCTAGGCCGAGCGTTTCAATTGATGAGCGCTATGAAAATGGCTCACGCTCCGCCCGGACATCACTCGGTAGCGGGGAGACCATCACAAGGGGGACTGTGCTTCCCTGAATATGTAGTCTATAGAGGAGAACAGGTAAGTGATGTTGCTGAGAATATAGTCTACGGGGACAATGGGAATATTTTGGGGACAATGGGAATTTGTAGAGAATACTCATGGGAGTAGTGGGAATATCATATCTGATGGTGCTTGTGTGTTTTGGAGTGATAATGTGTTGCGGGGATATTGGGAATAATGGGGGGCAATGGTTTTAAAGAGAGATTGGGGTAGGGACAGAAGGAATATCATTTGTAATGGAATCTATAATCTAGTGTGGATTTTGGGAGACTTGGGGTTGTGGACAGTCGAAATGTTGTGTGATTGTGTATGGTGATGAGCGCAATGAAAATGGCTCATACTGCGCCCGGGTACAACTCTTTAGCGGGGCATTCCTCGCAAGAACTATGCTTTCCGATATGTAATCTATAAAGAGGAAAATGTAAGTTAAACGGATAAGAATGTTTGGGGGATAACGGGAATTATAAGGGACTTGGGAAAGGAGATTGCTCAGCTTCCATACATGTTTGGCCTAAAGGCCAATAATCATGAAAAATTGTTTCCTAGATTCGAAATTATATATAAATTACTGTAGAAACGAATATTATTGACGGACACCCCTGAGAACTTCAATAAACCATATACACAGAACATATTAAAATAATAAAAAACAAATTAGTTATATTATAGTAAACTAGGGAAATCAAGCCAAGTACCGAAATTATGGATTAGATTCAGATATATAGAGCATGTAGATTAACAGATAGTTGCCTGTTTATTAGTTAATGCATAAGAGTAACTTTTAAAATCAGGTGTCATTTCCGGTTATAATAAGGTACTCTGTGATAGAAACTGTGTGATGATTGTGAATGAGCCACAGATTAGAGAGAATTTTCAAACTCTCGTTAACCAAAGAAAGCTAAGAGATTTAGGTTCTATAGCCATATATTCAGTAGTTTCATTATTTTTGTTATGTTTTTTAAGATAACCATATTTGAGACTTTTAGTGTATCAAACCTTATAATTTTATTTATTTATTAATTTATAGTCAGGGAACGTAGGCCCATAGATAGATACCTTAAAGTCTAACACAGATTATAATGTGTTTGGCGAAAAATGTATGGCAATAGACTTTATGATGTCGCTTACCATCTATAACAATTGTCTGAGCACATTTGCATCTAGTGAAAATGATAATATAGTTGTGGATATTAATACCACAGTGTAATAAAAAATAAGATTTATTTTATCGATCTTTACAAAATAGATTTGTTTTTATGTTATATAAACAACTTTGATCAGTCTTTGGCTACTGAATGTTACTACACCCATAGCCATTAAAAATGATTCGTATGTTTTCCAAACCGGTAAAATTAAAAGTCCTTTTTAAAGTAAATATATTATACAAAGGTGTCCGTGGAAATCTAATGACTGTAAATTAAATTATAAATTATGCCAAGAATTACCGTATATGTCAATATTTATTGTACATTTGGGCGAATTTGAGCAATCTCCTTTGTGCCCTCTAGATTGAGAATGCTGGTGTTGGAAATATTTATTTATTTACTTATAACAAAAGTTTCTTAATAAGGTTCTTATTACCTCTTCTTCCGCAGGCATACCCCGAATACCTGATCACATATCAGATCGTCAGTACAGAGGGCAGCGGAGGCGCAGTTTGAACAGTATTTAAGCTACAGTAAGGCTGTAATATAAATTATTTATATGCCAAGCAGGCAGCGCGTCGAACAATACCTAAATAAGATGATTGTGCGATTTCATAATTTAAAACCCAATTAATTAAGTTAAAATTGAAAATAAATTGGACTATTTTAGCTTCTGTAGTCTTCAAAACAATTTCGTGGTTTCTTCAAACGATAATGGTGTTTAACGCGTATGTTATTAAAGATCAAATTTCCATGTAATAACGTTTTCATTGAAAACAGATCGAATTTGCATGACTTATGTATGGTTAAAAAAATGGTTCTACCAACAATTATGGTCTTTAACACGCATGGTATTAAGGTCAAATTTCCATGGATTATCGTTTTCATTGAAAATAGATCGAAAAAACGAGCGAGCCTTACAGTAGTCGCGTATGATGTGTAACATTTGAAACCTCACCTTATATTAGTAAAAAAAAGAAATAAAACCTACTGCAAAAGGATTACAATACGCCATTTGAACATTATGTTCTAAAATCAAATCAAATAGCGCGCGCTTTCGCGACTTCCTGTTACACACTTCCGTCCTATTTTACTAAATCACACCCACAAATAGGGTATTTGACAAGTTTTAGAAAACGATCTCACGTTATTGAATAATGTTTATAGAGTCCATAAAAAGTGGATTTAAATCATTATATATTTCGGTTAAAAACTAAATCAAAAACTCGATTTTCATGTTGCCGCGAAAAATGTATCTCTGGACAATATGGCGTCTCACTGGTGTGTGACGTCACACGACTGTCATTAAAACGTCAAACCATACAATCTAATGTCACTTAAACCGGAAGTTTACTTGTGTGTGACGTCATTTTAGGCTCAGCCAATCCCAAGCGTTTTGGGTCACGTGACAAAAGACAAGAAAAATCTTTACCGTTGGTTTTTAGTAAAATTATGAATATTTTTTCTGTAAAAATAGTAAAAACTCCTGCCAATATTCATTCTAAATACAGATGCTAACAGTTGGCACTTTATTTTTCATACTGTCAAATACCCTATTGCAGGAGAGCGAGAGGAAAGATGTTACACATCAACAAATTGTATGGCTCATGGATGGTTACAAAAAAATGTTTCTGCCAACAATAATAACTCGAATGATATTAAGGTCGAAATTCCATGGAGTCACGTTGTGGTAGTGTGCGAGTCTTTGATAGTTTACGGAACACGGGATGATCTCGTGTTTGAAGTGAAACTTCTTTACGCACGCTTGACTGGGGGGATAAGGTGGCGAATGCGTTACGCGTTACGAAAAGTGTGTTCGGGCGAGGCGAACGGGAGTTAGAAACAAGAGAAGGCAGTGCATGCGCACATTTTCTTTCTCTCTTTCTCTTATAGCTAGTAAATGAAATATGTGTATGTACATACATGTATAAATTGTACACACACACACACACATATATACAGAGTGTTACAAAAATACAAATAAAATAAAAAAATATCGATCATTTTAAGACACGTCACTAGTTCGAGGACCATTAAAAAAATCTGTTTTTATAAAAGTTAACACTTCATGCAAATATTTCAAGAAAATTAAAAAACTCCTTATATGATGTACTTCAACGCCCTTGTAGCTTTATTTGTATTTTTGTAACACCCTGTATATATGAGTGATGCGTACGCTGTTCCATTCCCCTATGCCTTATGCACCCCCTAATGTTAGGTTATTTAAGAAAAGAAGTTTCACTTCAGATGTGTGCTCCGAGCACACTTAAATTTTTTTCTCTTTTGAGAGAGTTTTATATTAAAAAATATATACTTACTTATTAGTTCCATCTGGACTGTAGAATACAATATTATATATATAAATATATACATATTTTGCTGCGCCAATATTCCTTACATTAATCAGGTATTCTTTAATGCCTACATTTTTTTTAAAATAATTTATTTTGTATTTGTCAGTTAATTAAAGAATTATTTATAGTATTCTATAATAAAAATTGAACTAAAGCCATTGTTTTATTTTATAAACAAACTAGTAGACAAAATTCAAGTCCAGATTTTTATTCCAAATAAAAATTATTTGGTAGGCAGTCATCGGATGGGTGACCAACAAAATTATTATCTTTCGCTTCTCCGTCCTTTGGAAGGCACGTTAAGCCATCGGTTTCGGCTTCATATGCAGTCGTTAGCACCCACTAACAGTAGCCGCGTGGTGGGTCACAGACTAATCTCCCTATTCCATCCATAGGGAAGGTGTGTGCCGCAACAGTGGGGATTTAAATAGGCCTATGATGAGGCATTCTTTGATAAATTAACCCTACCATTTCACGAAATCGTATAATTTTTATCTAGAGAAGGAAATACTACGTTTACAAATTAGTAAATCTCCCAAATCTCGTACCACACAGCGGCCAGCCCCCGTAGCATGAGCAGTGAGCACCACAATTTGCATTATATCACGTTTTTATCGCGTCTAACCGTCAAACTGCATAGTAATTTGACAATAGGGTATTTGACAAGTTTTAGAAAACGATCTCACGTTATTGTCTAATGTTTATGGAGTCCGTAAAATGTGGATATTCATCATTCTGTTGTGTATTTCAGTAAAAATAACCAAATCAAAAACTCCATTTTCAAGTTGCCGCGAAAACGTTTCTCTGGACAATATGGCGTCTTACTAGTGTGTGACGTCACACGACTGTTATCATAACGTCAAACGATACAATGTAATGTCACTTTAGCCGGAAGTTTACTTGCGTGTGACGTCATTTTAGGCTCCGCCAATCCCAAGCGTTTTGGGTCACGTGACAATAGATAAGAAAACTTTATCTTTTTCGTGAGTTTTTAGTAAAATTATGAATATTTTTTTTGTAAAAATTGTAAAATCCCCTGCCAATATTCATTCTAAACACAGATGCTAACAATTGGCACTTTATTTTTAATACTGTCAAATACCCTATTATAGCGTGGTAAAAAACGTTATAAGCGCATGCTAGGGGGGCGGTTACAATGAAGGCTATCGCGTCTGTATCCGCCGCTAGAGGCGCTTGTGTAGCGTGAAAATATATATAGAGTAGTAAGTCTATGGACGAAATATAATATGGTTTTTGCTATTGGCATCTTTGTGACCTGAAGTATGGTAAGTTCATCTCTGAAGTTTAATTATTGAAACTTGCCGTCACTAAATACTTATGTACCTAAGAACTTTTTTGTCATTCCTCCATCGTCCATCCTTGTCTCTTGTAAGTGATTGTGTGATAAAGAAAGCACTCCACTAACTTGTCTAAAAAAAATATGGGTGCGTGTACTTAAGTACGCGCGCGAGAAGTTATACTTCTTTTTGGAATTATTAAAAAATAGTTTTTAATTGCATGCAGATAATTAATTACAATAAGATAATAAAAGGATTGGAAAAGGATAGTCAACGCAGTCAATAAAGTTCAGCTTTAATTTGAAAAATTTAATAAATAATCAAAATATTCAATTTAAATCACTACTGAATAAAATTTATTAGCACATATAAATTTCGCATTTGTATAACATTATAACACGTGTTAAGAATATAGAAACTAGAAACATGTGGATAAATATTATAAATATGAAAACAGTGATCAGAGGCGACGAGCGTCCCAACATGTGCGACGAAGAGATCCTATTACTATTTTGTTGGAAGCTTTTTTTCGAGACTTACGAGTAATGTGCGGTTTAGCGGCCGACTTCATGGTGTTACTTTTCTGTTACAGTGTTGCGCGCGCATCTTAAAATTTCACTCTCATCATTTTTTCATAACGCGCCCGCGGCTAACTTCATTATGTTACTTTTGTGTTACAGTGATGCGCGCGCATCTTAAAATTTCACTCTCATAATTTTTTCATAACGCGGCTAAAGAAGTATAACTTCAAAAAAAGAATTCTCTATTTAGTCTTTGTAAGTATTATATTGTGATACCGCAATTACATTTGGTCGTTAGCGCGTATTCGGGTGCACGAAAGACGTTACTCGAATTCGGGCACAATATTTACACTGGAATACGGGCTGGAAGACGGTGCAAGGGCGGACCCAGGGGGGGGGGGGGGGGGGTCATTTTCACTATAAGGCTTGTGTTATGGGATACTAGGGTAACGGATAGAATACATATACTGTACATATATAAGTATATTTATATAGAAATACATATTAAACATCCATGACTGGAGTAATTTGCTAGTATTCATCACACAAACATCTGCCCCCACCGGGATTCAAACCCGGGACCTCTCGAGTCGGCGACACCATGAAATCCGGTGTACAAACCACTCGGCCACGGAGGTCGTCAACAAAATATAATTTAGAGTTTATTTATTTGACCTTCACTACCGCAAACTACCACCGGTTCCAAAATTGGGAGAGCTTGAATTGAATTGAATCGCGAATATTTGTAATGCGAAGTTATGTTAGTAAGTCACAAGGAATGTTTGACCTTATGCCCTTGAATATAAATTATAATACGATTCAAATAAAAATAGGAAAGCCAATGACCTCTATATGTCAAATGTCGCTTGAAAACTACGATTTGCAAAAAAAACTTAGAACCCCTTTTTAGCACTCCGCTAATTCAAGAATAAAAACCAATTATTTGTAAACAAATATTGATTTTAATATCGGTTGACCTAAATTTGTTTTTGTTGACATTAATAAAGCAATTTATTATTATTTTATGAAATATTAAACTTTTTTTGCTCACTCTACCTATTTGCTTTGAATTGACAGCTATGACATCACAATATGGCGCCCAGTCGGTCCTATTCTTAGTTCAATCGCATTATAGCTATTTGCTAATATGTTCCAATTGTGGTTTTTACACGAACAAATTGAAGAATGGGCGCGTGCGTTTAAATATCTCGAAATAACTATATCTTAAGCTGAAAAAAAATGTCGCTAGTATTTTTATTCTTTTTATTATTATTATTATTTTGTAATAATTACAAATTGTAAGGTTGTAATAAATTTATGCTAAAATAAACAGTTATTAATGATGAGAATGTCTTTTTTTCGCTATACATTGCTACCAAATCATCATCATCATCAGCCTATTAACGCGCCCACTGTTGGGGTACAGGCTTTCCCTATGGCATTGTCCTAATAAACGCGATAACGCGATCATCGCGCGATTAAACGATGCGACCATCGCGTGATCGCGAACTGGGTGTCCTAATAGAACGCGAATAGGGAACGGGTTAGCCCTGCCCCTCTCCCCGCTTCCTATCGACGAGACGCGATCATCGCGCGAACTTCAGTTAGGACACCTATTCATCATTAATAGGTTTGATTGCGCGTTCGCGCGAACCAAGATCGCGCGAATAGATTTTTAAACATTTAGTCGCGCGAATGCATCGCTCGATCGCCTATTAGGACACCTATTCTAGATCAATATGTTTGATCGTCGACTCGTACGATGATCGCATCGCTCATTCGCGTTGTATTAGGCATTGTCCTAATAAATAATCAAACCTATTAACGATGAATAGGTGTCCTAACTGAAGTTCGCGCGATGATCGCGTCGCGTCGATAGGAAGCGGGGAGAGGGGCAGGGCTAACCCGTTCCGTATTCGCGTTCTATTAGGACACCCAGTTCGCGATCACGCGATGGTCGCATCGTTTAAACGCGCGATGATCGCGGTATCGCGTTGTATTAGGACAATGCCTATGGATGGAATAGGGAGATTGGACCCACCCACCACGCTGGCCCAGTGCTAATTGGTGGGTGCTAACGACTGCAGATGCAGCCGGAAACAAAGGTGTTTAACGTGCCTTCCGAAGCACGGAGGAGCTCGAGATAGTAAATTTTTGGTCACCCATCCAATGACCGACCACTGCGAAAGTTAATTAACTTCAACGAACGCAGCCAAATGCGCTTACCACCCGCGCCATAGAGCTCCTCCTGATTATGATTATATTTATACAATGTGCATTATCTTTCATTAATTCAAGGGCGCGAGTGATAATATATATCTTGTATCGCACGCGTCTATAGCAGAGGTGGCCGACTATCGAATTATTATCTAATATATAATACTAGCAGATCAGTGAACCAAATGTTCACCAAAACCTGATTTCTCGAAAACCGGAAGTGCTACGTTACTCAAATCCGGTTTGTAGTCTTATCAGACTATTCTTAACTTATAACTTAAATATTCTCTTTATCTATCTCTTACGGTTTGGCCGCTGAAACAGCACCACAGACAGACGGACTTGTCTAATAGATAAGAGATTCTCGTGTCGCGGTGTTTGTGGTTAAACTCCTCCGAAACGGCTCGACCAATTTTCGTGAAATTTTATATGCATATTCAGTAGGTCTGAGAATCGGATGTAATCTATTTTTCATCCCCCTAAATGTTAAGGGTAATCCACCCCTAAATTTTTTTTTTCAAATTTTAGATATATATTTTTTTTTAATTTTTTTATGATACATTATACACAAATACATACAACCCTAAATTTTCACCCTTCTTCCACCAACCCCTATTTTTTTATGGCGGTACGAAGTTTGCTGGGTCAGCTAGTAATATATATATGTATCAGGTATTAGTGGTGATGACATGTATTTGTAATTTGAAGGAATCTTATCAAATATGGAGATAATACATTTTTGCAATAAACAACAGTTAAAGAAGTCGAGCAAAATCAGCTTGAACAGCATGTTTTTTGTTTCGCCATTCATTACCTACACAATGATTTGCGTGAAAATTTGGTACGCATACGCAAAAATTGCTGAATGGATTTCGATGAAATTTGGTATGCCTATAGTAACTGTATGACCAGCCCCCCCAAAAACTAAAATTTGAGCGACCACTTATCACACTAATATTATAAAGGCGTAAGTTTATAAGTGTGTATGTTTCTTACTTCTTCACGTCTAAACGGCTGGAGCAATTTTGATAAAATTTGATATGGAGGTAGCTGACACCCTGGATTAACACATAGGCTACGTTTTACTGCGGGAAAATATCCCTAATAAACCGCGGGTAACACCGCGTGGCACAGTTAGTATACCTACAATAAATAGTTAATGTTGTCCTCTAAACCCTGGGTTCCAAACCTGGGGGTAATTACCCCTCCGGGGGTAAATCAGCCATACTTCGGGGGTAACAAAGAACCTAATTATTTGGTCAAATCTAAATAATAGTAGTAAATAGAGCATGCGGTCCTTCTTGCTAGCGAGCCCGCGGGGTGCCGAGTGTGGGAAGCGGGGCGAGATTCTCTCCTGATGATGACATTATTATAGACGAAGATGTAGCGGCCAAATTGGAATTTCTTGGACTGATGATAACATTTTAAAGTCGGGGTAAAATCTGTTTTCCTAACAGGTTACAGGGGTAGCAGTATTGGAAAGGTTAGGAAACACTGCTCTAAACTTAAAACTAAACATCAGTCTCTCCTTTTCAATGACAAGGATACACTGTTGTCAAATTTAAGTTTGAGTTAGAGAATCATGCCAGAATTGACACCATTGTTGTAGTGTGTGTACTAGCTATATGCACACACACTCATCTCTCCTAATTAGGGCTGCCATCCGTCCGGGTTTCCCCGGATTTGTCCTAGTTTACGGGGCGTCCGGGGAGCGTCGGGCGGGGTTTCATTTGTCGTCCGGGTTTAAAAATTTCCTGTTTTGGGTTGCCAATTAATCCGTCAATTTAAATGTCTTTGAAAATGAATAAATCTATTCTAACACTGTAACCATAAATGCAGACTTCCAACATAGATCAGCTTTCCTTGGTGCTGCAAGTGTCCATGAGCAGCAGTGACCACTTATTATGAGGTAGACCGCTAGCTCTTTTGCCTACATCAACAAAAAAAGTTGATTTGTGACATTTTTAACTGTTTTTTTATTGGTCTGTCCGGGTTCTGGGCTCCAAAATCCGGGTTTATCACGCCTTTGATCCTGGTTGCCACATTTTAGAGATGGCAGCCCTACTCCTAATATACATAGCATGTAATACTAATAAATGCTCTCTCTTTAATCGCAGTCAGTTGCTTTATTTCAACGCCCCGAACCGCCAACACTGCATTGTTGTATAACAACCAGCTGGTTTAAATCAAAACAAAAAATACATTGAGATGACGATGATGATGATGACCGACGACCTCCGTGGCCGAGTGGTTTGTACGCCAGGTTTCATGGTGTCGCCGACTCGAGAGGTCCCAGGTTCAAATCCCGGTGGGGGCAGATGTTTGTGTGATGAACACGAGCATTTGTACTGCAGTCATGGATGTTAAATATGTATTTCTATATATATATACTTATATATGTACTGTATATGTATTCTATCCGTTACCCTAGTATCCCATAACACAAGCCTTACAGTGCTTACTTTGGGCTAGGCTAATTGGTGTGTTAAAAAAAAGTAAAAAAAAAAATTTTTTTTATTTTATAAGCATGTTGCTAAGCTGCTCGATGTTTAAATGTAATGGAAATATTACTAGAAAAAATTCCACGCGGACCAGGCAGCAGACAGGCATGTTTTCTAGTAATATTGTCTTTAGATTTAAACATCGAGCAGTTACATGCTTAAAAAATAAAAATTATAACTATAATTGCTATTTCTTCTTTCAAATGTTAAATACTTGCAAAGGTATTTCATTTGACATTGTGGGTTACAATGAGAAGAGATGGCGCTGCCTTGCAGCCTAAGGCTAGAGAAAATTCGACACGACCGTCAGGGCCGCGGTAGCATAACGGTCAGAAAAACACATTTTATCAAAAAACTACATTTAATCTAATAAAACCTAAAACAATAACCTTAGCACGAATCAATATCGAATTCGTAACGTTTGCGATTAGAAAATGTCGATGGAATCAGAACACAATCTGATTTTTAGTTCTGATTACGTCCATTGTTGCGCTGCTGTTCAAGTTCCCATACAAAATTTGACAATGACATTTCGTACTCGCAAAATACTTATTCGAATAGGGATGATGACTAATTTTTTTTTTCTTCGTTTATCAGGTAGATTATCAAAAAGTATTGGACGCGTATTTTTTCTTTTTTCACATAATATAAACATTGCAGAGATATATTGATTTGAAAAGTCGCATGACGTCACGTTTGAGTACACTTTTAAGTGAAAATTCACTCAAGAGTGACGTCACGGGCCCCTACTCCCAAAATTTGACGCGCTATAACTTTGTCATTTTTTGGTTGATTTCCCAAAGAAAAAATACGTGTTCATTATTTTTTAATCATCTAACTGACGGACTAAATAGAATTTCGTTTACTGTACCCCGTCATCACCCCTATTGATCTTGGTTCGTGCTAGGATACAGTAATTAATAACCAATGAGGTAACTTTAGAGGTATAAGAATAGAGTAGGGTAGATATAGGGTGTATTCCGAAATATACATCAGTATACTAGCCAGTACCCACCAATCCGCACTGGGCCCGCGTGGTGGGTGGCCCAATTTCTCTATTCCATCCATAGAGAAGGCCTGTGCCCCAGCAGTGGGGACATTAATAGGCTGATGATGATACTAGCCAGCGGTAATGACGTCACGTATCCGACGCCATGTTGTACTGGTATACTACCATATTTTTTCCGGGAAAACGAATATGAAGTATGATCGAGCGTGCGTGAGATGCATTCGAATTTTATTTCTTTTTATTTAGAGAACAAAAAGAATTGAAATGAAAAATGAAAATGAGAATGGTTTTTATTTCCCAAAGAGTCAGTTTACAGACAAGTTGAGACAACCCAGAAAGTAACACTTAATACTTGTGTTGGGATGTCTCGCTCTTAGCCTAGTGCAGTTAACAAATTTTGGGCACATAGCAACTAATTTCTTAAAGTATCAGGTGTATTTGTATCAGTGTGTGTGTGTGTGTATGAATATGTGTGTGTGTGTGTGTGTATGTGCGCGTGTGTGTGTGTGATCCTTTTGATTGATGATTGATGAGTTAAAAAAAAATCTTTTTTCGCACAATTTTTAATATTTCGTCGATTTTTGACGTCAGTGCACTGGCCAATATATTTCGGAATGATTCACCAGTATAGCGTCGATTCATGACGTCATTATCACTGGCCAGTATACTGGTATATAATACGGAATATGTCTATTTGTATAGACTCTACTACAAGTGGAAGTGTCCCTCTAATAGAAAGAGAAAGAAGATGGGAGACCGCTAGCTTTCTCTCTCTAATCGCGCATGCGCATTGGCAACCGTAAGCATGGCTATTTCGATGTGATGCCATTGGATGCCATGCGCACAAGACAGAGAGATAGCTAGCGGTCTCTCATCTTTTTTCTCTTTCTGCTAGACGGCCACTTTCAGAGCCGCCTTCCCCACGCTGTTTTTATAACTGTATAGGCAAGGGGCCGTTCAAGTATTACGTAAGCACTATAGGGGGGCAGGGGGGGTCTTTGCGTTGCTTATTTTTGATGATCGGGGGGGGGGGGGGGTCGAGATAGTATTTACGTCAGCATCATGGATTCGGGTGTCATGGACTGAAGATTGTATACATATACCAAAAATTCGAAAGAAGTTGGTTTTGTTCATAATAGGACCTTACTCAATATTGAATACTGTGTCAATAAAGGAGACCCGGCACTTTTCATAGAAAAAATGCTAAACTTGTATATAGTTGAATTTAGTATCAAAATAAAGCCAAAATTATTTGCTTCATAAAACTACTTTTGCCTTATTTTTAGTGAATCGTGGAAAGAAGTTATATAATGATTAATATTTTTTGATATGGAAACCCTAAATCTTCAAGGGACAGAATTTTACTTCAAAATATTTTTCTTTTTCTAAATGATTTTTGCTTTTTCTAAATAAAAAAACCAAATGTCAATTTGACAATCCTAAAATACAAACAAAAAAATCATTCGCATTTCGCATCCGCTCCCGCGTACTGTGATTGTGAATGTTCTCTGCTGTGATTGCCTTTTCATCCGTTATTTCTCTTGACGACCCGGCTACTTAAAGAGGTTATATTGACAAACCTACGTATTTGACATTGACAGCTAGCTGGTGATGACAAATATTGCCAGACTACGTTACCCAATTATGAAACACAGATAAAAAAGTTAAAAAGTTTACAACTTTGGCACAAAATGCCGGGTGTCCTTTGTTTCAAATTTATATTATGTGCGATAAAGTCCTCTATCCTAAGCCTATTTAGGTACTGCTGCTCATGAAGCTCATGAAAACTCATGAATTAATAAAAAAAACAATACACAAAAGGAAAAATGCATAGGTACCAATGTTTACGTAAGCACGTGAGGGGGGAGTAAGAGCTTTGCTTACTTTTGCTGACAAGGGGGAGGAGTGGGTAAACAATTGTAATAAATCTGCTTACGTAATACTTGAACGGTCCTTGCGCATCTTGAGACTTTTAAATGTAACACGCTACGTTTAAAAGTCTCAAGATGCGCAAGGATTCAGATCCCCCGTCATATTCACATGAGAACATGTGACTTTCTGTCCAGTAGGCACTGCTATTCTGAACAACTTGCCTTGGGGCATACAAACGCACACTTTGAACTGTCCAGTGGCCTGTTTATCCGTATTAGTTATTGAAGAAGCTATAGGCAAATTGTGGACGTCGATAAACACTCCTTCTTTCCCGCTCAAAACTACGGAGCCATTAATGGATTTGATGTAGATGTCCTGGTCGGCGCTCCAGTAGAGTTCTTTGGATTCCATGTGAGTGCCTTCGGAGCCTCTCAGGTGGGCTGAGCCTTCAGAGCGAATGGTCAAGTCTTCGTCTACTGGTGCTGTTATGCGTTTAGTGGAGACTTGCTGGAAAATTATGGAATAGATATTTAGATAATCCATACATCGATATCAGGAGGTATATTTATCGGAACCGAAGTCGGAGTCGGAGTTTAAAAGGAGATTGCTCAGCTTCCATACATGTTTGGCCTAAAAACCAATAATCATGAAAAATTGTTTCCTAGATTCGAAATTATATATAAATTACTGTAGAAACGAATATTATTGACGGACACCCCTGAGAACTTCTATAAACCATATATACTGAACATATTAAAATAATAAAAAACAAATAAGTTATATAGTAAACTAGGGAAATCAAGCCAAGTACCGAAATTATGGATTAGATTCAGGTATATAGAGCATGTAGATTAACCGATAGTTGCCTGTTTTTAAAGTTAATGCATAAGAGTAACTTTTAAAATCAGGTGTCATTTCCGGTTATAATAAGGTACTCTGTGACAGAAACTGTGTGATGATTGTGAATTCGTATGTTTTCCAAACCGGTAAAATGAAAAGTCCTTTTTAAAGTAAATATATTATACAAAGGTGTCCGTTGAAATCTATAGCTGTAAATTAAATTATAAATTACGCCAAGGATTACCGTGTATGTCAATATTTTTTGTGCATTTGGGCCAATTTGAGCAATCTCCTCTGATTTATCGGAGTCGGAATCGGAGTCGGAACCGGAGTTAGAGGCAGAGTTGGGGTCAGCGGCAGAATCAGCAGTGGTCACAAGAGAACAAATGAAAAAATCATTCAGTCAACCTTTTTTCATTTTAATTATAAAATAACCTTTTTTCATTTAAATTTCGACGACGACGCAGGTCGCCGTCGCTATTTAGTGCAGTCGGAATAAAAATTCTAGTTGAGGAGAGAAAAATACATTAGTTTAAAAAAAAAATATTCTACGTCAATTTTTAAAAAAAAATTAAATCGTCCAAAAACGAACATTTTTACTAACGATTTTTTTCTACTCGATCGATTCCTCAAAATTCTTGGTGAATCGAATCACCTGAATTTTTTCCCCGCTGTGCGCCTTCTGGGAAAGACGGGACAGGCAAGTACTTTTTTTTCGGAGATTGAGAATTGTTGCTAAAGTTTGCGACACAGGTCGATAAATTTTACATGACTCTCTTGGGAGTGGCGTTACCCACATGATAAACTACTTTAGAAATCAAAATGTTTATTATAACATGTTGAATTGTTGCAAACTTAAAACCGACATAATTGCAATTTACTGCTATTTGTAGAGACTGATTTTGTAGAGGGCAAGCTAATGAACAACTTTGATTCAAAAAAAATTTCAAAATACCCGTTTACAAGCAAAAAAACTCAAAAAGCCGGATTTTCTTTGTTTAAACAATTTTCCTGGCTACAAAACACGGGTTCTAGCGGGGACAAATGGAGGGCATATTCGTGGGGGTCTATACTACCTAGGAAAAAATTGGCTAAGCGCTGGTGTCTTAGAATAGAAGTCGGTCCAAATTATGGCTATTCCGACTGGACTAATTTGGTATGCTTCGACCTCCGATTAAAACCTCCGATTTAAAAGTTTCGGAGCCGAAGTCGGAAGGTGTAATAATAATCGGAAGTTCCGCCTTATCGGAATCGGAGTCGAAGCTCCGTAACATCCTTTTTGGTATGACATCACTGAGGAATCGTCGAACAATAATAGATTTGCTATTTCTACATAAAATTATAAATAATAAAATTTCGTGTCCTGATCTACTTGACTCAATAAACGTCACTGTACCCCGTAGATGCCCAAGAAAGCCACTTACGAAGACTTTTACTTTGCCTTTACACGGAACTAACCTGGGTCTTCATCACCCAACTTGGACATTTTTGAACTTTCGCAGAAAAACTTTAAAGCAACATTGTTTGAGCTGCTCGATTCTCATTGATTCTCATTAATTATCATTAATTCCGCATTATTATAGTTATTATTATTATTTTTTGTATCAATTCGACATTACATTATTATTATTTGCATCAATTTGACATACATTTTTAATTTTAAATCAAACATTGATTATTAATTGCACTATTTTGTATTGATTATTCATTCATTTATTGATTATTAATTACATTGTACTTTTCTGAATTGAATGTTGTGTGTGCTTGTAAAGGCTTGCATATATGTCTTAGATTAAGTTTTTTTTTTAATGTTTTTATGTTTAGCTGTAAGTACACCTATTAAATAAATAAATAACATCCCTGATCTATATCTATACTTAAAAATAAAATAAGAGTGTGTGTTTGTAATATTGAAATTACCTCTTTTTACTACATGCATATGAATATATGTATATACGGTACATACACCAAAATAATTTTTTTTTTCACAATTTTTGTCTGTCTGTCTGTCTGTCTGTTTGTTCCGGCTAATCTCTGAAATGGCTGGACCGATTTTGACGGGACCTTTGTTGGCAGGTAGCTGATGTAATAAGGAGTAACTTAGGCTACTTTTATTTTACAAAAAAAATTTTATTTTAGAAAAAAAGAACTAAAAGTTAACGCGGACGAAGTATAGAATATATTAGATTAACAGCCTGAGAAATGCTAGAGAACATTCGGCACGGCCTTCAGGGCCGCGGTACACTATGGTTATTAAATTCGCCTTTTTTTATAGTGAAATTTTCGTTAGCTTTAAACACCTAGCAGTTAAATGCTTATAAAATTAAAAACTAAGCTTAGTTTTGTCAAAAATGATACTGTATTTACTCAATGTTTTTTTTTTACCTACCTTAGCTCGTATATTGTTGAGGCCATCAGGTATGTTCATAGCAGGTGAGGCGGTGCTGAACACCGGCCGTCCTGAGTCAGGGTCCACCAGCTCTAAGGAGCTGACTCCTCGCACGAACACTCCTGACGTGTTCACGACTAGCTTGGTGTCCGGGCGGGAGAGTCTACCCAAATTATCATCATCATCGTCATCATCAGCCTATTTATGTTCTCACTGCTGGGGCACAGGCTTTTCCTATGGAAGGAATAGGGAGATTGGGCCGTGACCCACCAAGCGGGCCTAGTGCGGATTGGCGGGTGCTAACGACTGCAGATGCAGCCGGGACCAACGGATTAACGTGCCTTCCGAAGCACGGAGGAACTCTAGATAGAAGAATTTTAGTCACCCATCTAATGACAGAGAAAGTTGCTTAACTTCAACGATCGCAGCCGAACGCGCTAACCACCCGCGCTTTCGAGCTCTTCACGCCCAAATTATAATAGAAAATAAATATATATTTCTAGCACTCTCATCAATGAGGGCTACCGTTTTCTGCCTCACCAGATGGCGCCACTGTTGAGTGAGGTCCTAAATTGTAACTTTTAAAGTTTATTAATACGCACATGAAATCAAAGGTTACATTTAGATCGTATTTTAACACAAAAGAACCATATCCTAAACATAATAGGCCATGCCACAGTGACGCCCAGTTCCGTTTTATTCGGAAAAAATGGGAACATAATCATTTTTCTAAGCTCAAATTTTTAATAACTGACATTCATTCCACATAACTCATATTTGCCATAATTAAGCCGAATTGTTACCAATTATTCACAACATTATTTTAATTAGAAATAAACCCGCGTAGTCAACCAACAAGCAATAACATTTGACATTTCGGAGACCTCACGCTACACTAGCGCCTCTAGCGGCGGATTCATACGCGATAGCCCTCATTAGGCAAGTCTTAAAGTAAGCAATGCATCCCAAAACACAAGCCTTATGATACTAGGGTAACGGATAGAACACGTATACCAATACATATAAAAGTATATCTTTTTATTTGACTTGCCATGACTTAGATACAAATGCTCGTATTCATCACACAAACATTCGCCCCACCGGGAATTTCATTCAGATATTGAGATAGCCATCGAGGTGCAAATAGTTAACGTGTTGAAGTTCAGCAACTTTCGCAGTGGACTGTCGTTGGATGGGTGGTCCGGGCTGCATCTGCAGTCGTTTAGCACCCAATGGCCTGGCCTAATCTCCCTATTCCATCCATGGGGAAGGCCTATGCCCCAACAGTGGAGACATTAATATACTGATGATGATGATAAGAATCATCAAAAATAATCTTCTTTAGATTTAAACACCAAGCAGTTACATGCTTTAAAAAAAATAAAAATTATAACTATAATTGCGATTTCTTATTTCAAATGTTTAATACTTGTAAAAGTATTCATTTGACATTGTGGGTTACCTATAATGCGAAGAGATGGCGCTGCCTTGCAGCTTAAGAATGGCTAGAGGAATTTCGACGCGGTCCGTGAGGGCCGCGGTAGCATAATCGGTCAGTGAATTCGCCCGGATTGCGAAGGGTGCTGGTTCGAGTCCCGTCTGCTGCCTGATCCTCGTGGATTTTTTTCTAGTTATATTTTCTTTAGATTTAAACATCAAGCAGTTACAGGCTTTAAAAATATAAGAATTATAAATAATCTTCTTCTTAATCTTGCATAGCTACTTACCGAGTCTGCAGATTGAAGTTGACAGAGCCGTTTTCGCTGGTGACCATCATGGGCACATCCCGGAACCCCTCCAGCAATCCGTCACGTTTGTAAACATGCTCCAACTGAGCTTCTCCGATCAGTTTCACAGCATTATGCTCGGGCAGAAATTCCATGCTCTCCATGCCTGCGGAGAATTAAATAAATAAATATAAATATTTCGAACACTCACCAATTAGCCTAGCCCGCAAGTAAGCACTGTGGCTTGTGTTATGGGATGCTAGGGTAACGGATAGAATACATATACTGTACATATATAAATACATTTATATAGAAGACATATTAAACATCCATGACTGGAGTACCAATGCTCGGTTTCATGACACAAACATCTGCCCCCACCGGGATTCGAACCCGGGACCTCTCGAGACGGCGACAAAATGAAACCCGGCGTATAAACCACTCGGCCACGGAGGTCGTCATCAATTAGATCTCTAGTTAAACAAATAATGAATTTTATCAATGTAATAAGTATCTTACATAGACTTAGAGATATGCTCTGAGTACCTAGATAAAATAAAAAAGACAGCATAATATTTCAATTAGTTTTTGCGTGCTGGAAACGGCTTATTGTCCGCTCTGACCTAATCATTTAAAAACATCATTATAACCACAATTAATGCAAATTTTCATTTCAATGGTTTCTTGCAGGGATGTTACGGAGCTTCGACTCCGTTTCCGATACGCCGGAACTTCCGATTACTATTACAGCTTCGGTTCCGATTTCGGCTCCGATACTTTTAAATCGGAGGTTTTAATCGGAGCTCGAAGCATAACAAATAGCGACGGTGGGCTGCATCGACCGTTACGAACTGGTTCATACCCGTCGCGTTGGAAGTCTGTGTTAAAAATTAGTAAATTTAAATGAAAAACGATTATTTTATAATGAAAAAGGTTGACTGAATGATGTTTTTATTTGTTCTTAAATTAAAAATATCTCTCTTGTGACCACTTCTGACTCTGCCTCTGACCCCGACTCTGCCCCCGACTCGGCTTCCGACTAGGGTTGCCACTTGCCAGGCCATAAAATGCAAAGGCCGGACTGCGCACTATATAAGGCCTGACATTTTGCCCTAAAAGCCGGACATATTTTTTTTTATTGCCAAACAATGTTTTTACAGCTGGGCTGTTGAAAAAAGTATTTATACGTGATGTAAAAAGTGAGAATGAGATCGAAAATGAACTGTGTGCCATATATATGCATTTTATATATGCATTATTTTATGCAACAGTCTGCTCTCTTGTCCGCTCGGACGCTCGTCCGCCCATCGTCGTACGAATCGCCACTCTGATAAAATGCCTGACAAAAGCCGGACAGGCCAAACACGTACATATTTGGCCGGACGCGACACCTGGCAAGCCTACTTCCGACTCCGGTTCCGACTCCGATAAATCAAATTTAAAAACTCCTGCTCCGACTTCGGTTTGGATAAATTACCTCCGTTACATCCCTGGTTTCTTGCCAGGAGCTCGATGGCGCAAGTGATTAGGGGTTGATCTCATGTTTTCTAGGTCGCATTGTAACTTGTAACAATTTTAGTTACCACCGACTATTTCAGGGCGTACATGAGACTCGAAACTTATTTAATTTAAAATCAGGGCGCCGTGATACTGTGATTTGAGGGAGATAAATGAAAATGTCTAAAACAGCAGTGAACAAGATATTATATTGTTAAAAAGATTCAGATTTTATTTCATCATGGTTAAAACTTAATACTAGTCACATTCAAGTTAAAAATACATAGTTATATTTCTTCAAAGATTTTTTTTTTGATTTAAAGCTATTCAAACATTCAAGATCATGTGCTAATACAGTAATACTCAATTTAAGTTTCTTATATAAACAAATTATTAAGCAAGTTATAAAATATTAAATTTTGAAAATCTAACAATAAAAATTTGTTATGTACTTATAATGGCTTTATAGTTTACTAATAGAAATCCTTTATCACGTTAAACAGAAATTGTTATCCGGAGTATGCACTGGTTCAATATCAAGAAGTTATAAGTTTTACTTAGCTTGGCAAGATCATGGGAGCATCAGGATCACTCAAATGTCCTCAGGGATGAAGCAGGACTTGCTGTCATCACGTGAACCCGTCACTTTTTTTGCTCAAGGAAGCTTCACAGGCTCATATATATATATATTTCCAAGGAGATTCCAATCAGGATTAAGTAAATGTGACTATTACTGTTATTTATTAGCCAAATTAATGGACCTAGAACCAATTACATATTTTTCTTTAATTCAATAAAAGAACTAACTGGACCTACAGCCTAACGAATCAAATGTATTGAACTTACCCGTTAATCCGGGGAGAAATAACAAGTATATACTGCACTGACTACCACTGCTAGTCTTAATGCTATTTTCTAAGTATGGTCTTCAAGGTTCTATCAGCCAAAAGAGAGCGAATCTGTTTGTGCACTGCTATTTATAGGCTACTACAACACGTGACAGCGTCATTGCAAATTTCTCTCATATTACCATATTTGGTATGAGGAAGCACACGGACCGGTTTTGCTGACTCCGCCTTTCAATGTTTCCAGAACATTAATGTGACGTCACATCCATTTCCGCATCTCATTAAAAAAATTACACACTAGCTCCCTCTAACTTACATTCCAAATGCAACTACTAGGTTCACACATATATTGTACTTGTCCTTTGCTTTTCAAAGTGGATTTCGATATTGAATAATTTATATGCATGATGATAGATGGCGCTGAATAAATAATAATATTTCTACGACTTAATATTTAAGAATTATATTGCTAAGTTTTTAACGTTATTAAATTTAATTGCTACACAACATCCCCCTTATCTCAAAAAATTTTTCCCAAAAAAAATTTTTTTAATTAATTAACCTGCAACTGACTTACAGACAAATCAACAATACTAAGTATTAGCCAAGATAAAAAATTTAAACTTATATACGTGAGTATCCATTTATTTACTCCACGTAATGTTCTAAACTCTAAGTCAATAGCAACAATTAAATATTTGCTGTTTAATGATTTTTTTTTTTTTTTTTTTTTAGTTTCATGTAAATACCTTTCTTGGATCTAATATCCAGTGGTATAACATGGCCTTTTTTTTCATCTTATGAACTTAAGGTAGTTAAGAAAACAACTCAAGATTAAAGAAGTTTGTATGTTTTCTAACTCAAAAGATTAAGATTATTTTCCACAATCTTCCTATCTTTAATTATCAAGTCTAAAGTATATGTCTATTTCCTTATGCTTATGCCTTTCTTACATCAAGATCTATTTTTCTATTAAGTATTAAAATAAATTGCACGTGCTTATTTTGAAAAAAAAAACTTTTCATACATCACGCATTTCATACTACTCTCATACCCATATGCATATCAGTAAACACAACTTGACGAAAATAATTTTATCAAAAAAATTTTTTTTTGTGTTAAAATATTAAAATTCCTCGAAATTTCGTTTAAGCATATTTTTTTTTTAAAAGTGACCATATAGGTTAAAAAAAAAAGTTGTAAATAAATATTTATTTAGTTAAAAGAGAAAAACAATTTAATTTTCAGGCAGGTTTCGAACCGTAGCCCACAGATTTCCATATGCACTCTTCCTATACCATAACTCTTCTTAACCAACCGTTTAATACTGAAAGTGACTAAAATAAGCATCCTATGTGGAATTCAAAGATTTGTTAGTTCTGTTGTTCAGAATATTTTAGTATATCCTTAATATGATAATTACCTAAATATTTACCATTTAAATCGGTTAAAGTATAAACTAAAGGTGATAATTTAGCCGTCACTACACATTTAATAAATTTTGGTGCTAATTTGGAAGAAAAATTCTTTGCCTTATTGGATAAATAATGAGTACGTTTATACACTATCTGGCCAACTCTTAATTCAATGTGTCTTTTTCTGAGGTTATATTGTTTTTCGTTCCGTTGGTGGGCAACAATCAAATATTTCCTCACCTTTTGGAAGATATTATTAAGTTCAAGCAACTTTTTCCCATACTCCAATGTACTGTCTGAGGTAATTTGATCTAACGGACATGGAGGGAAGGAATTTAAATATAAATTACCATCTATTATATACTCTCTACCATGGACTAGGAAATAGGGTGAAAATTTAGTTGCTTCATTCACAGCCGTGTTTAAAGCACATTGCAATTCTATTAAGTGTTCATCCCACCTTCTATGTTCGGATTTTACATAACAGGCTATCGCATGAACTATGTTTCTATTTGCCCGCTCAGCTTGGTTCGTTTGGGGATGATACTTTGGATTGTAATATATGTTTGGTACATTATATTTAGTTAACAGCTGTCTAAAATGGGAGCTAACATATTGTGGACCGTTATCTATAAAGATGGTTTTACAAACGCCATGGACTAAAAATACATATTTTTCTATAAAGTTTGCTACAGCCATGCCTGTTGCTGACCGTATAGGGTGCAACATGACATATTTACTAAAGTAATCTGAAACAACTATTAAATAAGTATTTCTATTCCTTGAGTTTGGAAAGGGTCCCAATAGATCACAACTAATGGCTTCAAATGGCTTGGTCACTTTCTTAGGACTTCCCATAAGACCGGGACGTGCCGTGTTCACAGGTTTGTATTGCTTACACGTCTCACATTCACTTACATACTTTTTCACACATTCGTATAGGTGGGGCCAGTAATAATGTAAGGCGATCCTCCTATGTGTCTTCATGACACCTAAATGTGCACTAGTAGGGTCATCGTGATATTTCCTAAGAATTGCCGATCTATTTTCTTCAGGAACTACCAGTTTCCAATCAAATTCGCTAGTAAGATCATATTTATTTTTCGAATATCTATATAAGTTTCCATCTTTTTCCATGAAGTTAGGAAATTTACGTGGGTTATTCTTTACTGCATTTAACATATAAGAGTACCAACTATCTTTTGATAAATCTATTTCTATTGAGTCTAATTTAATACGTGACAAAGTATCCGGGAGGATATGATCCCGACCCTTCCGGTGTTCTATTTTAAAGTTAAATTGACTAAGACGCATGCTCCATCGTGCTAAACGACCTGTGGGGTTTTTTAATTTATAAAACCACAACAGTGAAGCATGGTCTGTGACTATGGTACATTCCTGACCTT